CTGTATAATTAAAAAAAAGTTTGGCACATGAACTAAACACGGCTATTCACACTGGATGCAATATCAGGCTTCAAGTGTGTTTATTAGTCTTTCCCTTGATGATGAATTTGTCGCTCACATACATGCATAACGCATGTGTGTGCTTGCAAGCATGTAAACCTCATGAACAGATTGGCACGAAACGGGGCAGGCGTGCTAATTTTGGGAACTAGAGAATTGGGAGAAATGAGAATTCATACAGATGGCATGCATGTCTGTCTGTCTGTGTGTGTATGTAACTGTAAGGATGGAGATATATATGCACTGTACAAAGACAGGAATGTAGATCGATGGTGGCTTGACGGCTGGGCGTCGTTGCGATGGCACTGTAGCGTACTAGCGGCGACGACGATGATCGATGGAGACACAGACAGTGGAGGGCCCCGTCCGGCCGGCCGACAGCGATGCCCAACTCCATCGATCCGTCTCTGCAATTTGAGCTCGATGCAGCCACTAACGACTGTTCGTCTGTTGTTCGATCGATCGATCGTTTGCAAGCCACTACTACTAGTAATGGTTTTCGTATGCATCTGTTCATCTTTTTTTTTTTTGAGAACTCATCTGTTCATCCTTGGATGGATCGTTGGAGAGACAAGGCCCCGACAACCGTCACCTCCATTGCCATTGCAGTCCCACGGCACCAACAGCTGCTGCATCTCTCTGCATCTGGAAAAATATATTCATACTGCACCTTTTTTATACTATGTATATAGCGTTGTTCATTGATTGTTTTTAATTATCTGATCATTATCCAAGCAGAGAATAATCTGGTAATAGCTGGTTGAATCAGGTACATCTGGCTAAGTTAATTAGTTAATGGTCTAACTACGAGCAACTCCAGTGCTCTTGTGCTTTGTACTACTGCCACTAGTCCACTACTAGTACATGTCCATATAGTATACTCTAATTAATGTGACAGTGGAGTTAAGCGCGGTAATTAAGAGAAGAAAACGTGGTGACAGTACATGCAAGCTAGATCGACCACCAGGATTAATATATCGATTGCATTGGGGAAGTAATTAACAATGTCTACTCTAAGATCACCCTGTGACCCTTGTCTCTACAAGCTACCATATACAGGTATACTAAATCGACCACACTACAAATCCAAGTTGATCAACTTGTGTGTCGATGGATGCATGGTTTATCTAAAATTAATGTCGATGGAGTATATAGTACTAGTATTAATTTGCGTTTGATGGAACGCATGAGCTGTGCTATTCAGTAGTAGTAACAACTAGAATATCTGTTTGCTTATTTGAGTTTCAAAACTTAGTTTCAGAATTAACTTTAGGGATTTTTTTTCATCGTTTTCGTTAACCATACTTCGTTTTAATTAGACCATTATGGGTAAAACTGTAAAAATATTAGTTTTCTGCTCATAAGCCGTAGTCCAAAGAATTCCCTCCAAGCAAGCACATAATCCATCTATATATCTACTGGCTGAGAGCTGTGGCTGGCATGGAATGCTTTTCCACTTATTAATAATTTGTTTAAAATGCTAAAATGAATAAGAGAAAAATACACCTCAATCCCTTAACTATGGCCTTGGTCTAATTTTGGTGTCTCACCTATGAATCCGTTTACTTTTGGTCCCTTAACTGTTCATATATATTGCAGTGGTTTTTGATGACATTATGCCACCTGCCATCCTAACAATTTGAAAATAAGTAACATATAGGATTAAGGAGAGAAAGATAAAAAGGAAGTACTTATATTGACATGTTGGCTGTAACGTTTTCTTCGTTTTTCTTTTATTTTCCTATTATTTATTATTGATTACCTTATTGATGTCATCTTTTCATCCCATGTGGACTCCACTAGCTAGGCAGCACATCATCAAAAACCATATCGGTTTGTTCCCATAAATAAAATGCAGATGGTTTTAAGAGTCGAGGACTAAAAGTAAACCGTTTCATAGTTGAGTGATCAAAATTAAACCAAGGTCATAGTTGAGAGATTAAAAGTGTACTTTCTCAATGGATAATAATACGCAAGCACTATTACATGCATGTTAGGCACACAGGGAAAAAGAGAGAGCAACAAAAGGAGATCAGGAGGTGACTTATGAGTATATATAGTGGGTTCTTTATTATTGGAAAAAGAAAAGGTTGCTCATGTGTGCCAAAAGGGCAAAAGAAAAACATACCTTCAGCTCTGCACTCATATATATGCATGGTTTATCCTCAAATGGTAGTCCGATGGTACATTTTGCATGCATACATTCTTTGATTAGTACACATTACGTGTAACACGCCACATATATAATGTATTATTTTGACGTTCTAAAGCAAGTCCACCTGCAATAATCAGAAAGTGATTAAGAATAATCTAAAAATGATAACCAGAAAGTAACCATAGACAAGCAGAAACTAATCGTGCTTGATTGCAGGCACTACTAGTGAATTGATCTTTTAACGTAGTACCCAACATCACAAACATCTCGGTTAGATTAAAAACCGGTACTAAAGATGCTTTAGTACCGGTTCTAAAAGTACAAATCCCTAGAAACATCTTTAGTCTACCAACCGGTACTAACGACGCCTCTAGGTTAGTTTAAAAGGAAAACATCTCTATTCAAGCCAGATGTATCTAGTAGACGATATTGTTATGCGAGTGAGGGTTGAGGTGAGATATCTTGAGATCGAATCTCACATTCCACATATTTTTTTCACTTGCTATGTATTTTTTTTAAGTACCGGTTATCTATTTGCTCATCTCAGTTACTACAACTGGTAGTAAAAGGAGTCGTAAACCGGGACTAAAACTCGTTTACCCTGTAATGAAAAAGGAAAAGGTAATAAACGAAAGGAAGTTGGTTGCATATCCATTCACAAATTAAAGAGCCCTCAACTTGGGGTCTGCCAAATATGGCAAAAGTTACCCTGCCAAGAAAGTAAAGGAAGGAAAAATAAACTCACGCAGATCATGTGCCTAATATCACCTCTGCCCAAAACCATGAGCTATATTGGATCAGGAATACACTCGTACTCCCTCCATCTCTTAATTAAGTTAAACTTCTCTAAGTTTAATTAAATTTATAAAAACACAAAAGCACTTTTAACACCAAACAAATATTATAAAAATATTTTCAATGGTGGATTTAATAAACTTAATTTAGAATTCTATAAACTTAGTTAAACTTAAAATAAATGACTTAGGAAAGAACCAAAACATCTTACATTATAGTATAAAGAAGGAATAGCTAGTAAATATGTAGTAAGAAAATAATTAATTAACACTAATTCATGCATGTGAATGTATGCTTGTACAACGGTGCTTGTTAACTATTTCTCTTTATTGTCATGTAAGTAAATTTGTTAATCTGAAAAAAAAGATAGGAGGAAAGAAAAGCATCATTGCTACGCATGATTCTTAGCAAGTTAGCATATACTTAAAAAAAGTTGTTGCATGGGTGAAGAACATGAAAGAAAAGTAGTAAAAAAATTATGTTATTAATTGTTTATTTGATACGAGAGTCACCCAGGGATTTTTCGGCTAGCTCCACAAGGTGGTGGGCTAGCCGGTCTGAGTTCGAAACTTCATTCCTTCTATTTATTTAATACTAGATCATTCCCAAATATTCACGTTTTTTAAAAATTATGTTTATATATTAATGGTTAAAAATTTTTACTGTCTTAACTATTATAAAATGATAGTCTCTAAATGAGTGTGTATTTTAATAAAAAGCTCATATCGAACTTTACATTGTACATGCCCTCAGATCATCATTTATATATGGATGGAAGATGATGCATACATATCTTTAAAATCACCATGTTCCAAATATACTCCAGGTGGCAGGTGCATGCTAACAATTACATATATCTTCCGAAAACGAAAAAAAAAAAGAAAAACAGGGGGCGAACAGCTCAGTGCTAATTAAAGCATCCAAACTATTAGCAATCAAAACAGAGAAAGAAATTAAAGTACCTCCGGTACACATCTCTATACTTGTCAGTGTACCTAGTGATGTACCCGCCGAATACGTACGCGTGTATGCATGGGTAGAGAGGCTAACATATAACAACATCCTTTTAGTTTTAATTAGTTTATTTTTCTGAAAAAAAGAAGATAAATGAGAAATATATGACACGCAAGCACACAGGTCATGCAGAGAGATGCTGAAATCATCACGTCGCCTAGACCGTCACCTGGAGTATGTGCTGTAATGATATTAACTACAGTAGATGCCATATATGCAGAGATATACTTATATGTCTTAAAAAACCCAATTCTAATGATGTATTTGGATAACGTATATGTCTATATACATCATTAGAATTGGACTTTTTCTTTAACGGCGGAAGTACACACCAAATTAGTCATCATACATATCTTTTCAGACTGAAAAATGGGTGTAGAGACAACAGGGTTGGTGACTGCAGATATTATAGTATGTGCTGAAATCATTTTAATTGACGTATACATATAGATAGATATACGACCGACCGTATTAATACTCCACCTAAGTACACCCACCGTATGTGGATACAGTTGTCAGTATAGTGTACTCTACGGCGCTGGATACATACACACGTGTACGGCTCCAGCCAGAAGGCACGAATCTTCACATCACAATTCACAGCAACGGAGGAGGAGAAAAGATATACTCCCTCAAACATTTTTAGTAAAAGTTTAAAAAATATCAATCAATTTAAAATTGATGTTACCAATAAACTATCAAAATATGTAATTATTTTTATTTAAAATATCTTATTTTTATATATATTATTGATCAAAATAACATGTAAAGATTACATCTAAGTCTAAAAATATTTATATTTTGGAACGGAAGAAGTAAAGAAAGAAAAAAAATGAAAGAAAAGGAAAATGAAAAAGGAAGAGAAGACAAGGAAGTAGTGGGGGGAGGAAAGAAAGAGACAAGGAAACGCATAGAGAAATGGAGTTGGAGGCCGATGCGAGGCGAGGTCACCTGCGCCCTACAAAAGCGGGGGGCACACCCCGCAACCCCGCACACCCGCTCTCTCCTCTCATCTCCTCCTCCTGTGTTCGTGTTCTTCTTCTTCTTGTAGCAGCGCTTAACCAACCCATCATTAGCGACCAAACCTCTCTCCCTCTCCCCCTCTGACTAATCAAAATTAAACAATTTCGATCTCCACCTTCCTCTTCTTGATTCCAGTTCCACCAGAGAGAGACAGGGTCTTCTCTAATCCATGTGGTGCTTGTTGGTCTCGCTTGCTTCGTCTTCGTCTTCGTCTTCCTCTTCTCGCACCTAGTCCCGCCTCGTCGCCTCCTCCGGAGACCGGAGCCGGACGGGACGGTTGCCGGCGAGCGGCGGTCGCTTTCTTCTCTCGGCCCTACTCACGGTCAGTGATTGGCTCCCTTCCTTCCTGGTGTTCTATTGATCCTTTGTGGGGGAAAAAAGGCTTCGATTTGGGGGGCATGTTCTTGCCTTTTTCCTGTTTTGGGGGAGACGAGACGGATTTCAATATATTTTTTTAATCTGGGGGGATTATGTGTGGAAAAGATTGTTCCTCGTTTATCTGGGTAGTATTTGGAGGGTCCTATGGGGATATTCTTTGTAAAGCTGGGATTTTTAGGTGGTAAAATAATGTTGATATACTTTCAGAAAGAATATACTGCAGAAAGTTTTTCAGAGATAACAGATAAGATTAGGCCGTCCTTAATCTCCTTTCTTTGCGTCTGTTCCCTCCAACTAGGATGGAAAAGAATGGCGGATTGATTAGTCAGAAACTGGCTGCTGAATACTCTGAGATTTCATTTCATTTCAGCCTCTGTTGATTCCTCATGGCTGTCTCTAACTTCTTTGCTTGTGCTTCCGATTTCTTTGGCGGTAAATAGCCTCCACGAATCTCTGGTCAACGAGGTATTAAAACTTAAAAGGGCTTTTGTCTCAGGTTGACCCGAGCCATGATTCGCCCCCCTCCCATGCTTTGCAAACAAGATATGATACGCAGTGCTGGTACAATTCAGAGCATATGTTCTTTCCTCTTTTGCTTTGTTTCAGACAGCAACTTTTAGCAGCCACGCCTCTCACAAGTTGATAAAAAAAAATTTTGTGTTGCTCTCCTACTACTCATCACTTTCTAGTGCGATATAGTAGTAGTAGTAGTAGGAGTATATGCTAGCACTATCCACAGTTTAGCACACAGATTGGTGGCACCTGGGCAGATATAAAAGCTTCACATTTTTATCAATGTCTGCGCAGTTATATTGTCGATTTGATTCCTTTTATAGATATTACTAGGTCAAGTCGTGTCGCAATTACTCCCCCCCTTTCCTCCATTGTAGGGTGTTCCTGTTTAGTCCGCGGGGGATGCTGCTCCCTGAGCCTGTGTGTGTCTCTTGATTTTTCTTTCTTTGCTCGCACGCAGCAGCAGCAGCATGTTTTGTGTCGGTGTTAAGGACCCTACATAAATAATTCATCAAATCAAGTATCTTTTGTCTGTTTTGGGGAATCTCCTTTGCGGTTCGTCCAAAATTTCGCGAAAGAAACAATTCTATATGACTGCTTTTGTCGAGAGGTTAGACATCACTGCTAGAGTAGTAGAGCAATGCTACACGTACTAAATTTTTCTTACTAAACTTTTACTAATAATCATCTCAACCGTTTGATTTAAGTAGATGGAATTTACAAAAAATCTAGATGCACTCGTAGCATGACACATCAGTGTTAGTAAGAATTTAGTAAGAAAAAGTTAGTACGTATAGCCTTTTCCAGAGTAGTACTAGCAGAGTGTTAGATTGTATCACCTGCTCGGGCAGTTGTAAATGGTATGGTGAGTTGGTGACTGGTTTTTACAGTTTTTTCATACTTGGGTTTATGGAGGATTTACTGTTATGGAGACCTGTAAAAAATGTTACATATATTGCTACTTTCTCATTTGGATTTCGGATGGCTGTTTTTTTTATCATTATGTTGGTAAAGTTTTGCATCAAGAATCTGAACCAGCTTAGCAATACTAATAGTAGATGGTTCAGTAAGCTGCTTCCATGTCCTTGCAACTTTGCAATGCTGGCAATTTTTTTTCGAAAAAGAGCAAGGCTGGCAATATGTGTATAGCTTTTGTTTGGCAATATATGTTGCGATTCTAGCGCTGGTGGTATCTCAAGATCAGAAAAAGTGAGCATCAATGTCTTACTTTATTGGTTTTCTGACTGATTACATTAGTAAACGCTGTGTCCAAAAGTATAGAGTAATACTAGTTATATTTTCTTAATTGTCAGTGACTCAGTATCCGCAGATGGTTTGTAAAGTGCCCTTATTTTTCATGGTCGTTAGCTTTAGTAGGTATATAGTGTACTCTTGATGGTTTATCCTTTTTTTCGCCCCTTTCTCCTTTGTCATCTGGGCGCACGTTGCTATGCAGTTTCATGAGATGGTTAGTGCGTATCCAACTATTCTGTCGGCAATAAAGTTCCACAATCTTCAAAATTTTCTACCATTCTGATGCCAACTCCTACTGCACTATCAGCTCTTGGTTTCCAGCTCAGTTAGTGGTTAGAAATTGCAGCCTACATGAAAAAGTAACTAATAGATTTTCTCGTCTCCACCTTTTATAGTTATTTTCAGTGACTCTTCTTCCAAACCAAGTGGTAAAGCCAGGATTCTACCATTACAATGACGATCTGCAGCTGTGAGGAGACGATCAATGAGTTTGAGATGTTAACGCGTGATGCTGCGCGTGTGCAGAAGGATACACTGAAAAAGATCCTTGAGATAAATGCTAGTGCTGAGTACCTGCAGAACTTTGGGCTTGGGGGGAGGACTGATGCCGAGAGCTACAAATCCTGCATCCCATTGTGTGTGCACAATGATATTGAGCCCTATATCCAGCGGATTGTTGATGGCGATACCTCACCAGTGGTCACTGGAGAACCCATCACCAACCTCTCTCTCAGGTACTGTACCCATTGCTTGAAATTTGTCACCTTATTATGCTTATCGTTTACTAGTTTATGATAATAAATGTTCATAGTCTGGCTTCTTCTGTGGCTTTCATACAGTTCCGGTACAACACACGGAAAGCCCAAGTTCATTCCATTCAATGATGAATTACTTGAGACCACACTTCAAATATACCGTACATCTTACGCGTTTAGGAACCGGTAAGGATCTCTGATTTATTATTATTTATGCTCAAGTAATGCTGCTTTTTCTGAATGTTCAACAAACTTTGATGATCAGGTTCAACATGAGTTATTGTTTTTATACACTGTTTTGCATGCTATTAACTTGTTGCTTCTTTGTGTATTTTTTACTCTGCATCCCAGAATATTAGAATAACCTTCTGTTTTGTGTTTACAGTGAATACCCTATTGGCCAAGGAAAAGCACTGCAGTTTGTTTATGGTAGCAAGCAAGTCATAACGAAAGGTGGCATTCTTGCAACAACTGCGACAACAAACTTGTATAGGAGACAGCGCTATAAGGAAGGCATGAAGGATATCCAGTCGCAGTGTTGCAGTCCTGATGAAGTTATCTTTGGCCCTGATTTCCACCAATCCTTGTACTGTCACTTGCTGTGTGGGTTAATATACTCAGAGGAGGTCCATTCAGTGTTCTCAACATTTGCTCACAGCCTAGTCCATGCATTCCAAACATTCGAGGAGGTTTGGGAAGATCTATGCACTGATATAAGAGACGGTGTTCTCTCAAAGAAAGTTACAGCACCATCAATTCGTGAGGCTGTTTCAAAAATCCTGAAGCCCAATCCTGAACTTGCTGACTCAATATACAAGAAGTGTATTGGTTTGAGCAATTGGTATGGAGTGATCCCAGCACTGTGGCCAAATGCAAAGTATGTGTATGGTATCATGACAGGATCCATGGAGCCATATCTGAAAAAATTAAGGCATTACGCAGGGAACTTGCCACTTATAAGTGCTGACTATGGCGCATCGGAAGGATGGGTTGGCTCTAACATAGACCCTACTGTGCCACCAGAGCAGGTGACATATGCTGTTCTCCCACAAGTTGGTTATTTTGAGTTCATTCCTTTGGAGAAACCAATAGGGGAGGAGACAGAAAACTCCGCCTCCATTCATTACATAGAATCAGATCCAGTTGGCTTGACTGAAGTTGAGGTCGGCAAAATCTATGAAGTTGTAATAACTAACTTTGCAGGTATATTCTCTCTTTTCTATCTATTCTGAATCTTAAATTGGGTTAAATCTCCATTATCTAGAAGTATAGCAATGAAAATTCTACAAAAAGCAAGGGGCAGCCATCCCTAGTTCTGCTTCTGGTGCTGTTATCTGGTCAGACATGATACCAACGGGATTTATCAGAAATAACTAGATAAGTTTGTGTGACATATTATTTCAAAAAAGAAATATTTATTAGTCTTGCCCCTTCAATCTTAAACCTCTTTTTGACAAGAGCTCCTTATTATGTAAAAAACATAAAAATCACACGGTTGCAATGTATACATCAATATTATTAAGCACATGGGGGAGTAATTATTGTGAATGTTTGTGGTCCACTCCTTGAACTCTTTGCTGCTTACTCATTATGATTATCTTAAAACTCTATCAGATGATATATGTTTCTTTTTGTGTATGCCAACCATGCCAGACTCACCAATAACATTTTTATTCTTTAATATCTCTGGCTAACATACAATTATTTTGTTTTAGGACACAGAAAGTTTACTTATTACGGTGATGTTTAAGAAACACTAAAATCTTTTTCTTTTTTCTATTTTGTTCTAGGTCTATATCGGTACAGGCTAGGAGATGTCGTGAAGATAGCACGCTTCCACAACTCCACACCTGAGCTCCAATTCATCTGTCGCAGAAGCCTAGTGCTGAGCATCAACATCGACAAGAACACCGAGAAAGACCTCCAGTTGGCTGTTGAGGAGGCATCAAAGTTCCTGGAAGGAGAGAAGCTCGAAGTCATGGATTTCACGAGCTTCGTGGAACGATCAAGCGATCCAGGGCGCTACGTGATCTTCTGGGAGCTGAGTGGCGATGCGAGTGATGAGGTCTTGAGCAGCTGCGCAAATGCCTTGGATCTAGCCTTCATTGACGCAGGCTACACGGGCTCGAGGAAGATCAAGACGATCGGCCCCCTTGAGCTCCGGATCCTCAGAAAGGGAACCTTCAAGGAGATCCTAGATCATTTCCTAAGCCTTGGTGGTGCGGTGAGCCAGTTCAAGACACCAAGGTTTGTGAACCCATCAAACAGCAAGGTGTTGCAGATACTGAGTAGAAATGTCACCCAAAGTTATTTCAGTACTGCCTATGGATTTTGATACAAAGAAACATATTAGATGCTAGCAGCTGCATGTAATTACCTTTTTACCTCTTGTTTTTCAGCTTTACTGTAGTCTCCACCGGAAGAAAACGTTTGGTTTAGTCTCTTGAATAATCTATTTTCTTATCCTGTTTGTGACTATCTAGAATCTATGTAAATGGCCCAGCTCTAGTGAAAGTTATGGTGATGTTATCAGGAAAGAAAATGTGGTGTTTCCCGTAACAAGTGCTGCAAAGTATTATTCAGACTCTCATCTAAACATCATATGGTTCAGTTCTTTTGTATGTTAGATACGGAAGAATTCAGTGATATCAATCTCTAATCATTCAGCTAACAAGTGTGTGAAAGATGACATACGGACATAGGAAAAGTGAATCATCAGAAACATTGATGGATCGCTCTTAAGATCATATAATTGCAGTCTTTTGTTTCTTTTTTTAAAATAATGGAAGCTTTATTAAGACTCAATCAATTACATCAAGATGATATAATTCAACCGAGGCCATCCTTGGCCTCTGCATGAAGTCTTTTGTTTCTGGCTTGACCATAAATAACACAAGGAAAAAGATATGTCTGCACCTTTGAGATGCTTCTGACGCAGGGTCTCACCAACATCTTGCTTACTGCAACAGATTAACAACTTGATCTGAGATCCAGACCCAGATTAAAGATTTTAAAATCCAACGATCGAAAACAATTTGATACCGTGATGTATCGGTATCCCAAGGTATTTTTTTAGACCAGAGCAAATCTCCAAATTAAAAGGCCCTGATTATTTCAAACAAGCTAGGAAGATAAGCTCGGTAACTAACTACGCATGAAAATAGGCAATTAGTTCAAATAGGTAATCGAGATTACTTAGTGAATATTATACTTATATATTATTAATCTTACATGGACTTCGTAAAATAAACTAAAACTTTTATCCAAGTAATTATGTACACCAAATACAAAATTAAAAAAATATTATGCAACTCCTCATAGTTCGTATTGGTGAAATATCTTGTAAGGGTATATGATTGAATTCTACATGTCCTTGTCTTTGTGGATTGAATGAAGATAATAACAGAGTATGCTCTAATAAAAAACTATCATGAAGACATAGCGATTAGTGTCAGGGAGGGAAGAAAAGATTTAGTTTTAGGATTTTTTTACGCCGGAACATCTATCAATGAGACATAGCGATTATAAGCGGCAGATCGACATGAAGTAATCAAATGGGTGAGCAACAAATAATGGTAATGAGAGAAGTTAGAAAAGATTATTGGCTAAGAATTACTAAATTGTACATGTCTGTGTTATTCTTTTTCTGTTTTTCCTCATTTACCCTTCTATAAATCAACAGTAGATATCCATCATGGGAAAAGTTACGTTACCTTCCATGCACAATAAAAATCCTCATAAAAAATTTAGTACTCCTAATAGGTACCAAGAGGTATATCAAATTTACAATAAAAAAAATGATACCTCATGATATCTTTTCAAGAACTATAAAATTGCTCTTACACTTATAGATGGATCCAGTTTCAGAATAATGTCGATCGGAGTTTCCAATTTTCGTGTTCGAATTTCTCTCCCAAATCGATCAAGCACCTCATGTCTGGTAACAGGGAGATGGTAGTTTCAAAAATCCATCGCGAACAGAACTGTGTTAATCATGTTCTAGCTAGTCAAAAATCCACCTCCTTCCTCCCCGGCTCAGCTCTCTCGGTCGTAACCTCCCTCCTCCTTCCCACGCTAATGGGACGACCTAGTTGGGAGTTAGTTCGTTAATTCTACTGCTGGTGTGTTGTTGATTCTGTGTTGCTGGTTGCATTCTCTGGTTCCCTGAACTATATCTTTAAGTGAAGGTAAATCTCTACTATTATAAGAATTGAAGTTGTTTTTTCCGATACTTGGTACGTCATCCGTGTATGAGTCAGTTTTTAAATTTGTTCGCTTTTGCAAATACAAATCCATATTTGAGTCGGTTTTTAAGTTCGTTCGCTTTTAGAAATACAGAAAGAATCGTATAAGAAATCTCTTTAAAAAACTCGCATGCTAATTTAAGACGATCGGACTTCTAATTGCAGCTCATGATTTTCTAACAAAATATATATCTAAGCGAATTTAATGCAGTGAATTTTATCTTAACTATACTATATAACAATAATAAGATTAAAATAGCCTTCACCCGTTGCACGCACAGGTATTTTTTTCTAGTATATCTAACATTGTATGGTTTATAACTGTTTCCATATGTACCAACATTGTATGCTAAGACCTGATTGCGAATATTACACACTATTTGTAATCATTTTTTTTTCTAATTATATAGGTTGAATTTAAACTTACATATTTGTGGATTGATATATCTCATATATATTGATTTATCTTGTCAAAATATTTTTTCAATTTTTTGATAATTTTTTAAGTGACATGCACAAAACAAACAGATATATATATATATCCTCGAATGATGAAAATCCATCAACCAGTTAATTTAGGAGTTAACAGTTAACACAGCTAGCCTTTCTACATCACCGAACAGTGCTAGTGCTCCATAATATTACACTTAGCTAATGTATTGTCATTAATCAGATATATGGCGTCATTAATCAGATATATGACATTGTATTCACTACTAAAGAGAGCAATGGAAATTTTATTTCTGTAGCCCCATACAAACACAGAAGCAGCATCCAAGCTTACAAATAATCTTGTTCAATTAGGTAACTCCTATAGTTAATTAATTAAGGGTACATCTCGATCTACATACTATCATTGAACACTGAACACCAGCATATATATAATGCAGTGCAGATATATAGTAAATAAGTTGATTGCATATACTTAGTTATCAGTCTACACACATAAGCTAAGCACACCCACTCGCTGGGCACAAATATAGTGTGTGTGTGTGTCTATATCTATATATATATATATATATATATATATATATATATATATATATATATATATACATATATACATATATATATACATATATACATATATATATATATACATATATACATATATACATATATATATATACATATACATATATATATATACATATACATATATATATATATATATATATATATACATATACATATACATATATATATATATACCCCCTTTTTCACAATCTTGAAGAAGAGAGAGATTTCATAACGTGTAGTTGACGTCGATGAAGCTAAGGATCTGGTGGACGGCACCGGCGATGTCCTCCGCCGAGAATCTTGCGTCGCCGGCGATCTGTCGCGCGCGCGTAGCAAATTAATGTAACAGTTCTTCGTTTGTTCAGATGATAATTCGATAGTATTGTAGAGTGTAATAGTAATTGATTTTTATATATACCTTGACGTTGAAGGAGTAGAGGACGGTCTGATCGATGGTGGTGATGTTGGTGTGCAGGATGGACATGTGCATCTCCTCCAGTGCCGCCACCGTCTTGATCAGCTGCCCCGGCCGCCGCCGCGACAGGATCTTGATCATGGCGTCCACGCCCACCACCCTCACCTCTATGTCCGCGACGCACGACTTGTTCTCCGCCATCTCCTCCCGGACCCCGCCGCCCACCTCGCCGCCGCCGCTCGCGTCGAGGTCCAGTGCGACCTTGGCCACGCCGGCGCCTGTACCGTCACCGGCGCCGGACGACGCGGGGAACGGGATGCTCGGGGGGAAGAACGGCGGCGTCGCCGGCGGCGGCTGCTGCATGGGCGCCGGCAGAACTGCTCCGTCGGCGACCGGCCGTGCAGGTGGCGCTGGCGCGTCGCCGCCGTACAGGCGCCGCCGCTTCTGCGACTCCAGGCACTGGATCAGCTGCTCCAGCTCTCGTATGAACTCTATTGCACCACCTATGATGGATGCTTGGTCTCCCTAAATTAAATGCATGCGAGAAAGATCGATCAGATTCAGATCATCATGTGTGTTCTTACTTGTGCAAATCAAATCAAATGCCATGGCGACGCCGAGCGATATAGGTTACCCTTTGGACGTAGGAGCCGGGCATGAGTGAGCGGAGGACTCGAAGGTACTCGTTCATCTGGCGGCGGCGGTTGCGCTCGACGGCGATGTGCGTCATCCGCTGGCTCTCCACCTCCTCGCTCGTCTTGACCGTCCGGGGACGCTTCCGCCGCCCGCTCTTCCCCTGCTCACCGGCCTTCTCCGCACGGCCGCCGCCGCCGTCAGCCTGCTGCACCAGCGTCGTGCTCTCGGACACGCCGCCGGCGTCGACCGTCTGCTTGCTGCCCTCCTGCTCGTCAACGACCTGATGCGCGGCGGCGGCGCCGCCACGAGGAGGGGGAACGGCGGGGAGGGACGGCAGCGACTGGAACCTGAGGAAGTAGCTGTCGTCGTCGTCGTCGCCGTCGTCGCCACCACCGCCGCCGTTGTCCGACGCCGCCGGCTGGTTGAGCGCGAGCTTGGGGCCGAAGTCGGCGAACTGCAGCACGTCGGAGAAGGTGAGCTTGTCGAAGGACACCTGGCTCTGCGGCCCGGGCGTCGTTGGCGGCGGCTGTCCCAGCATGTAGTCCACCATCTCCCCGCCGGTGACCACGGTCTCCTCCGGTGCCGGCGGTGGCGCCTCGTCCAGCGCCGCAAATCTCTCCAGGTGGCTTCTCTGCTGCACCTACATGAATACATACATGATCATTGAACACAATTAGCACAACACACACAAAATAACAAAAAAAACTCAACATGCATGCATGTCAAAGAAGAAGATTAATTTGCTTCAAACTCAACAAGCAGCATGTGTATGCTACCTCTTTGTCCATCAGCGATCAGAGGAAACAGCTGATGGATCGATCAAGCTTTGATGAACTCACGACGGGCACATGCAGGGGAGGCTCACACATCGTACGTGTGCATGGTTGCTAATCTCAGTGAATATGAATTTCTGAACTGAACTGAACTGTGCTCTCTAGCTGTTGCAAAGCTAGCTAAAAACTAAAAAGATGGGAGAAAGAAAGAGGATTATTCTGAATGAGCTAGCTAGACAGATGGCTTTAATTAAAAAGGGATGGGGGATGCATGCACGGGAGCGGAGAGAGGAGCCAGCTGCCGGCGGCGGCGATGGAGGACGATGAATTCGACCGCCAAGCTAGCTAGGGATCCATTCCATCTCCCGGCCGGTGAGTTATTTTTTTCACATGCGAGGCGCTCCTCGCCTCTGCTTTTCTTCTTTTCTTTCTTTCTCCTTCCGTATGCATATACTGCTATGTTGTTGTTAGCATTCTGCTCCGTGGTCGCATCGTCGGATGCCTTTTCTTCGCTGCTTTTGCTTGTTGGACATGTGAAGCTCGCCATTGCATGGCATGGGTCAAGATCGATAATTTGATCGGTTGATGTGCCGCTCGCCCGTGATAATTCTCCACTGCGTTAAAGACATATCGATGATGATGTATGTATGCCGCCGTGTCACCGCCGAAATTGTGTGGTTTTTCTTCCAAGTTTGTAATATTAGGCCTGCAGACAGAGCCCAGTTGTAGGTTTCGTGTTCGGCCCAGGTTGAGTCCTGAAAATGCCCGGCCTATCGCTGCATAGCAATTGAGCCAAAAAAAGAAAAAGAAAGAAAAAGGAGCAGTTCTATGACAGATGGGAATGTTTAGGCAAAAACAAATTCTGAATGGTTGCACGGGAAAAAATTGAAGAAGCCAAGAGATATGAAGGGGAAAGTGAGGCACAGGAGGACAGGAGCTCATACCTCCAAAGCAACGGCGATGCCGCCACGCTAGCACAGAAGATCGCCGCCGCCGCGCCCTGCGTGAGAGCACACGGCCGGAAGGACGAGGAGGCGGCGGCGGCTTCAATTCCCTTGTGGCTGTGACTGTGAGGAGCTTGGAGGCGGTGATCTCGGAACAGAGGAAGTAACCGGCCTGGCCCATCTCCACACGCGGGCTTCCGGCCCCGTCCAACCTCAGGGGGTGGGCCGTGAATTCAGTTCGACTTTCCAGCCCATCAGCGGAAGGCTAACAGTGGGCTACCCATGTGATGTTTGCCTAACTGTTTTGCTGTTAGGCAAACAGTGAAACAGATATAATGCATGTCTGGTTTTTATTTTTAATTTTGGTCACGCATGAACATATATGGATACAGTTAGAAAAGGAGACACTGAAACGAATATGATTGCAGAGCAGTCGTTTCACAGATGCTACAAATCTGAATCGCATGTACACTTGATTTGGTCCCGTATGAATATCTTACAATACATATATGTCTGAAAGAAAATACTAATGTTTTTTTTTCAGATCAAGAAAATGTTAATGTTATGGACAGAAACAAACACATCCTTATTCTTCATTCAGATACCACTTTTTTTTTCAACTAATTTCGTCATGTTCTTGGATACAAACAGCGCACAAACCGGACTGTCCGTACCGTTTTTTCAGCACGAAAAAGCTGCAAATCTTCTCCTGTTAAGAGGACACACTCATCTGAAAACTAGAAGAGGACCGACGGTCGTCGGTGTAGCATGGGCTATTCGACAGGCAAATTACTAGTTTAATTAAGCAAATTGAATGCGACTTTCATGTGGCCAAATGTGCAGCACTGGCATCTGCATCTTTTGGAGCTGTCTGTCCGAGTGTCTGTGGTTGACGGTGGTTGGTTGGCGCCCCCTAACTAGTTTGTTTGGTGATCGATCTTCTTTGGCCACTTCCGACCTCGAGAGTTAGGTGCATTGCTTCGCTGTTTTCTCATCACCCATGACATGACTCGCCACTTTTCAGCCTTTCTTCAGTCCCCACTCCCTTCATTACTTTGCTAATTAATCTCAACCTTCATTGTCCACATAGCTTGCCTAATTGTATCCTGCATTAGGCAGCTACAGCTAGATTGCATTTAATTAGCATGCAAGCATTTAGAGTTTGGAAACATTTACAATCATGCAGGTTCAGGTTTCATTATCTGAATAAATGTAAGTTCAGGCTTAACTATCCTGTGTACTCCAGAACCCAACAGCCATTACAGTTCCCTGTCTGAAGATATACCCAATTATACAATTTTGGTTCAGGTTTCAACATCTGAAAAATGTAAGTTCAGGTTTAACTATTATGTATGTACTCCAAAACTCAATAGATATACAGATCAATGCCAGAAGAAAAAAAAATACTCAAGTAGTACAGTTTTGGATCTCTCTGAACTTTCTCATTTTCGTAGCACTGCATGTTTTTCAGGCTCTTGTCAATGCCGCCTGTGTTTGAAGGCTAAAACGTCCTGTAATGAATGTTCAGCCTCTTGTGTCAGATATTGATCAAATGCTGATGGAATATAACCTGACAAAATTCTAATAAAGAAACAGGAACATGCCACATGTTTAGGTCCATATATTCGTCTGGTTTGTCGTTGACAAACTGATTGCTTGGATTATAACACACTGTATGCTCTCATATATTACTATAGCTAGAAGAACAAGTAGTATTGTTGAAGAAATGAGATATATACCTCACTAAAAAAATGAGGTCCACGAGAGCTCATTTGTTAACGTGCACTAACCACTGTTTATTGCGGCTCTTACAAGGGGCTGCCCCCTGATACACAAATTTATATCGCAAAAATGCGCCGTACAACACATGTAGATTTAAAATCGAATTATTTGATCTCTGTCAACTCCCCTTAGGATGATATTTAGCAAGCTAACTCCTGCATAGTTTGCGAAAAGCATGTGGTTGTTATGCGTTCCAAATTATGAGATGAACCTTCGAATGCTAATGAAAAGAAAAGATTTTAAAATTACAAACAAACTATACACAAGCAGCCTCACTCACCTAGATAGATATATAGATAGACAGGCCGATTATTATTATTATTTTTGGTTACTTTTAGTTGGAGTATTAATGTTGTTGAGCACAGCCACTAATCACGCTGTTACTGTGTTTGACATAAAGCAAGCAATGGCGCGTTAAGAAAGGGGGGCTCTTTTCTAGTCAAAGCCAGATCAGACCAGCTGTCACGTGGGCCCACCTCGTCAGCGTCTCAGCCAGGTCATCCCCAACTGAAACCCAAAGCTACATCGCGCCGAAACCCCCTAGAAAGTTGATAATTACAAACCAGTCCCTGGATTCCCGCCGATTTAGGCTTCTCTTTTCCACTTCACCCCCACTCGTCTTCTTCCTCTCGCCGCCGCAGCGCGCGGCCGCCACTCCATCCACCACAATGGCGAACCCCACGTCCCACCGCCTCCTCCTCGCCGCGTAGCCCTATCGGCGAGCCGCTGCCGGTGGCTTCTCCGCATCCCCGCGCCGTAGAGTCTCCGCCGCCGCCGTGTGCTCCGCAACATTGGGGTCGAGGTAACCGCCACCGCCGCCTCCTCCGCTTCTCCGTAGCATTCAGAAGCTTCGCTGCTCTGATCTACATTGGCGTCTTCCCATTTCGTGTTTGGTGGCTACGAATTTCGAGCGACTCATTGGAAGTTTTCCCCGCAGGGTTTTCGATTCGGCGAAGGGGGGGGGGGGGGGGGGAAAGCTCGTCCCGTGGGAGGCGCCATGGGGAGCGAGGCGAAGGAGATGAAGTACAGGAGAAGGGCTAGGGTTCCAGAGCCCTTCGATTACGGGCAATGCGGCGGCGACCGGAGTGGCGTGCTGGATTGGGGCGCGCTCAAGGAGAACCCCGTGGAGCTGCTCCGGAAGCTCGACGAGCTGCGGGACCACATCACCAGGTCCTGCGAGATCACCGACCAGCCGCGGGAGCGCCACCGCATGAGCCGCCGCACGGCCTCGCTGCGCCCCTCGCACGCCGAGCCGCCGCCGCTAGGCCGTGGGCCGGAGCACTACCGCTCACGCTACACGGGAAGGTACGGGTCTGGCTTTCCGCACAGTCCGAATGACCAGCTGCATCGGTCTATGCATAGAGATAGGTATGAGAGGCAGCCGAGTGGGCGGTTCCGGCAATGGCCGGAGAGGCAGTGGGAGAATTCTGGGTATCTTGGGGGGAATCACCATCAGAGCACCTGCCAGTGTGCACAGTGCCTTCATGGCCAGAGAGCTGTGATGCAGGAGGAGCACATTCCCATGACGAGGTACTTTGCAGGCCAGCAGGGGTCTCACCTGTTCGATAGGTCCCCATCAGTCTCATCGGAGCTTGACCGGAGGTCTGTCGCTTCGTCATTGTACTCTCATTTCTCGGTGTCGAAGAGGAGGACAGAGTTTTTCAGGAAGAAGGCAGAGAGTTTCTGTCGTCCTGTGAGAGGCGCCGCTCCTTTCGTTGTATGCAGTTCTTGTAACCAGCTGCTGCAGCTGCCTCCTGGGAAATGCACAGCTCGGAAGCAGATTCAAGTTCGGTGTGGTTCGTGCTCGGAGATCGTTAGTTTCAAGCTTAAGGAAGTGAAAATTCATCCTTTGGTTGCGCCGACATCTTTCCCTGCATCAAAAACAGTGGGGAGTTCCAGTCGTCAGGTTAACAAAAGTTTTGGGTGGTACCAACATCAGGATGAAGGAAATTCTAGTTTCCATAAGCTGCAAGCACAAGAGAGATGGCAGCAGAACAAGGATCTTGCAGACAATATTTCTGTGTCTTCTACTTCTAGTTATGACAGAATAGACAAAGAGTGTGGATCAAACAGGAGCAGTCAGTTACTATCAGTATCTGTTAGAAGGTCCAGACTTGCAAATATCCCAAAGGATATACTATGTCAAGGAGATGCATACAGTCAAGTAGAAACTTCAGCATTTAATACAGGCAATCTACAGGCCCCAGTTATAGAGGACAAATGTGTCGATCCATTTTCCAGTCGTCTAAAAGATTGTAGTGGTGGAGATCGCACAAGCAAGGAATGTAGCCTAAATATCATGGCAGATTCTGTTGATGCTAATGTTAGGGATGAAAGATCGGACGTGACATATGAGCAGAACAGCAAAGATCATAAAGAAGGATTTGGAGAAGAAACTGTCAGCAGTAGACATGAGCAAAAGCTCAAAGAAAGTACAAGTGGCTTTTGTGATGATGGAAGCATGGGTAACATAGACAAGCTGACGGCTGATAATGATGATACCAGCAGCCTTGAAGATGGAGACGTGAGCAAAAAGTATGAAGAAAAAATCAAACAAGATGACAACAACTTTCAATCAGAATTCATTACTGAGCGATATAGCAAATGCAGCAAAGAAGATAATAACAGTGTCATTCAAGTTGAAACTATAGCTACGATATGCAAACAAGATGACTTAGATGATTGTTATAGTGAATTGCTCTCCCCAAATTCTGAACATGCCATAATGCCATCGAAGCTTGAGTCATCAGTTAATGAGCGCACAAATTCTAGTTCTCGTGTTTCTTCTGAGGCTGAACTAGACGAAGTTCAGTCTGCAGCTACTAAGAACGGGGATTCAAAGTTTTTTGCTGGTTTTTTGAAGAAAGGTTTGAAGGACATTTCTTTGTTCAATCAATCAGTGGACAGTGCTAAGGTTTCAATCAATGGCCATTCAATCTCCGAACGTGTCCTACGGAAGGCCGAGAAGAAGTCTGGTCCAGTTGGCCCTGGTTCATATTGGTAAGTCACCTTCTCCCTTCATAAATTTGGAAATTGTTATGGACTGATGTTCTTAGCGTTTGATATCTACCGTGTTGGCACTTGTCATTGTTTTCTTTAGCATCTTTTTATCATTTGCCTTTGAAATCAAGAGACGCACAACTACAGGCAAAAGAGATTGGTGTTATTCTTCAGAAGAATCTATCTTAACAGTAGGAATTAAGATGACTTATACTGCACAGCGGTGATTAAATGACTGTGTAATTCTCAATTGCATATTAACCAACCTATGTACCTGATTTCCTTGATAACTTTTCTCAGCCAAATCAACCACTTCCCTGAGTTGATTACTAGAACATTTTGTACAGTGATGAGATACCTGGAAGATTCTTGTCCTGCAGAGTTTTTTTTTTTTTTTTGGCTGTTGATTGCTCCCATTAAATGCTAGTAGCTCAAAAAATTTCTTGCATGGCCTAGTTCATGTATTAACATCTGTTAATTTATTATCACGGTCTTACTTTGTCTCGGCATTCAGTAACTATGTGCAACATTAGTTTTGTTCTGTTATTGTTAATCGTAATGGTACAGTGTGAACTATAATTTATTTTCACACATCTGCATGCTTGCGACATGCAAGCTCCATAATTCAATGGTCTGCCTTTTACCAGCTACAGTTTTAAAATTAATCTGATTAGTATACAAAGACGAGGAAAATGCAAAGTTAGTACAGTAAAAATTACTCTGGGAATATCATCTACCTAATGTACTTTCCAAAGCAACTTTGTTGGATCTTCACCAACTTAAATTCACAAGGCATTGGGAATTTCCGTGTAAGGTAACATTCCGTATTCTCTAATTGTGATTCAGGTATGACTACCGCGCTGGATTTTGGGGTGTCATGGGACATGAGTGTAGTGGCATCATCCCTGTAAGATGATTATTTTTCTCGTAGTTCTTTCTCTAGAACTTTGTGGTAGCACGTCATGACAGAGCTTTGTTTTTGCAGCCATTTATAAAGGAATTTAATTATCCAATGCCGAAAAATTGTGCCGGTGGGAACACAGGAGTTATTGTCAATGGTAGAGAACTTCATCAGAAAGACTTTGAATTGCTTGCAGGAAGAGGTCTCCCACGGATATCTGGAAAATCATATTCTGTTGAGATCAATGGAAATGTGATTGATGAAACAACTGGCAAAAAATTACGAAAGCTTGGAAAGCTTGCTCCTACGTAAGTTTCTTCTTCAGCTCAGTTCGAACAACACCATGTGAAATAGCATTTCCAGTATTTTGTGGTCACGTAGTGTCCATTCATTTCTTGCACAATATTTTCACCTTTTGGCCTCCTTACACTAGTCATTTTAAAGAACAACCTAATGAACAGAGTCTGACTAATTATTGAAGTTGGGAGTTGAGTGTGTGATCCAACAAGAATAGAAGAGCCAGGAGAAGGTTCAGATCATGGCTTAAGATGTATTAAATTGGTAAGGCATTGAACACATGCCAAACTGGTGAAACAACTCTGTACAACATAACCAATAAGAGAAGAAAAGCCCGAGCTTACTAACTGAAAAAAGCATGAGAAAAATGCAAAATTTTAAATAAATAAAGATGTTGTGCCAGGGGACAGAAGATCTAGGCTGGACAGGATCTAGCAGCAATATCTTTCAAGTTAAACAACCCTAGTCAAATAGCTCTAGTGTAGTCACAGGTTCACAGCATCTTCTGACAAAGCTAAAGACAACCAGATCTTTATGTTGCCAGATTAACAAAAAAAAAAATCAGGCATCAACAAACATGAATACCAGGCAATTCAGTCAATTGCAGTGGTGTTTTCATGTTGCACCTGTTGTTCTTGTGTCCCACGTTTTGAAATCATGGCCTCCAATGCACCGTATCATCTATGCCAAAGAATTAGTTAATTTGTTGTTGAATAGGAGTATATCATTTCAAAGTAAGGCCTGGTTTAGTTCTCAACTTTTTCTTCAAACTTCCAACTTTTCCATCACATCAAAACTTCCCTACACACATAAACTTCCAACTTTTCCGTCACATTGTTCCAATTTCAATCAAACTTCCAATTTTGGCGTGAACTAAACACACCCTAAATATAAAAACCCAATAACAAGCAGCCAACGACTGTACATGATTTTTTTTCCCTTTTCACCTCAACTCTAATCACAGAATACGAAAAGTCCTCTGTAGTCTCTGCCTCTCTGGACATCTAGGCCAAGCTAATGCATCTCACATAACAGGCCAGAGGAAATTTAGGGGTTGTTTGGATTAGTCCCTGTCACATTGGATATTTGACACTAATTAGAAGTATTAAACGTAGACTATTGACAAAAACCATTCCATAACCCTGGACTAATTCGCGAGACGACTCTATTGAACCTAATTAATCCATGATTATAGCCTATGTGATGCTACAGTAAACATGTGCTAATTATGGATTAATTAGACTTAAAAAATTTATCACACGAATTAGTTCTCATTTATGTAATTAGTTTTGTAAATAGTCTATGTTTAATACTCCAAATTAATGTCCAAACATCCGATTTGACAGGGACTAAAGTTTAGTCTTTGGATCCAAACACCACCTTAGCTATAGAACACTAGAGCATGACATGATCAATACTTTCAGCTTGCGTGCATAGTAGTTACAACTCTTCCAACCTGTCTGGTCTTATTTCTTTAATTAGATTTCCGGTTTTGTTTGTACTAACTAGATTGGTCGTTATGTCCTATCCAAGCTTCATTGTCCACAATTTACGGGCATCGGATCTTTTGCCCTCCAAAGAATAGAGCGCTCTATGCATAACCTTGTCTTTTAGCTATTTTCATCTTGCTGTGGTTGTTTCAGTATTTTCATTGTTTGTAGTCTATTGTATACGTAGAAGTAAATCATCAGATGATATTGTGCAAGCTCATCATATCGTTCCTTTGGATGAAATTACGAGAGTTTTGTGTTACTAGTTTCTTCTATTCATAATGATTACTCCCGTGTCAACGCTTAGACTCAGTAACATAAATTTTATCAGCAACTACGTTTTGATCAGATTTCTTAAAACCAGGCACTAACAATTTCAAATTTTAATGATCAGAGTTGAGAAGTTAAAACGTGGATTTGGCATGCACGTCCCTGAAGAGAAAAGTTAGCTCTCTGGCTCTGATGATGTTCCCTTGCTTTGCAAAAACTCATTTCCACGTAAAAGCTGTCAAGGGAGTTAAATTGGATTGTGGCATGGAAGAAGCCTTTAGATTGTACTTCTTGAAGCTTGAGTGTGCAGCAACAGTAATACACGAGTACCTAAGACGACCTGTTTTTTATATATATTTACCACTTACTCATTCAAAGTTGACAAATTGTCGTACAAATTCCATTACTTCATTTGAAGCATTCTTTAGGTATATATGACCTAAGCATGCGAACAGCTCTAAGTTCCTCATGTGTCTGGGTATGTTGTTTCCTGTCCCCTGCATATGTTGTTGATACAGAGCAATAGAGTATAGACAATATTCTGGGTGTGTATCGTTGTGGGCTTGTAATATGTCTGCTATACCAGTGCCTTTTTACATTATATTACACATGTATGTAAAGTTGTAAATATTTAATCTTAACCACCTTTTGCTAGGTGGCAGATGTGAATGTTTGATGATTTGGGCTTGAGGTTTCATTTACAAAGGTATTACATTTGTTTTTTATACTGAAACTCAACTCTAGTTTGGCTGACCAAATGCGCCATTATATTACTCAATCATGGAAAACATGCATGAGCTTACCAGTGCATGGTTCGAAATATTTAATAACGTACTACTCTGTTGTGATTCCAGTTTTTATTAATATGCTTTTTTTAATCGATAAATGTATTTTCCTTGTCAACAGTGTTTTGGCACATGAACACCTTGGGGGGCTGAAATCAACATGTTATACATTGTAAAGGATCTGTTAGTAGATTTTTTTTTTAAGAACAAACTTCTACTATGTCATATGGAAAGCCAAAAGTACTTGGATATTTATATTTTGGGATGGGAGGAGTAATATGGAAATTCGCATTATATATGCACATTGCACAGCTGCTTATCTGCCAGAACAATTCCATCTTCAGTTGGCTGGAGTCTGGAGGCATTTTTCGTACAGTACCATGCATCTTGCATGTGTATCGTTGCTCGTTGGGCATTGCAGCGTTGACCTGTATATTTCCTACAGTTTTTTCAGCACGCCCCACTGATCCCTCTAGTCTGTACGAACTAACGAACAGTTTATTATCGCTGCATTTGTGTACTGTACAAAACAAGCAAGTGGTGATCCCAGAGCTAGTGTTATTTTAGTACTGTTCTTGTCAGTACAGGTTGTGTTATGTTGCGTTTATACTACGTACTATACATCTCTACATGTGTGCCGCTGTTAGTACAACCTGCACGCTAAGCAAGATGATTATAGATAATCTCTCTGAATATCTTGGGTTGGGCTGCATTGTAGCGTTTGCCTGGAGAGTGGATTTTAAAATCTCTACTTCCATATTATTTAACACTTAAATAGTTATTAAAAAATTTAAAAACATTCAGAAAATGTATTAACATATGATATATCACTCTACAAACATGCAATTTAAAATTTAATTTCTACATGTCAAAACGAAAAAAGAATAAATTTGACTATAAATATACGTTAACTAGTTATAATTTAATTTGTTTTTTTTGTTACGATATGTAGGAGTTGAATTTAAAGTTGCATGTTTATGAAGTGATATATCACATATTAATACATCTTCTCAATTTTTTTAATTTTTTTCATAATTGTTTAAGTGGCATGCAAATATAACTAGGGGACATCCCCTCAAAAGTTTATTATAGTTTCCCCATTGGCCTGTACTTTACCCACAGTAGATAAATACAGTGATATTCAACTTCATTTATCTAATGTACTACTCCCTCCGTTTCAAAATGTTTGACACCGTTAACTTTTTATTACGTATTTGACCATTTGTCTTATTCAAAAAATTTAAGTAATTATTTATTATTTTCATATCATTTGATTCATTGTTAAATATACTTTCATGTACACATATAGTTTTACATATTTCACAATTTTTTTTAATAAGACGAACGGTTAAACATGTGCTAAAAAGTCAACGGTGTCAAACATTTTGAAACGGAGGGAGTACAAAACAGGCTAGTGGTGTTTAGTTTAGAAATCCTTATTGTCAGTATAGGTTCCATGTTGTTGGTATAATCTACATGTGTGCTGCTGCCTGCTGTTAGTAGATAATATCTGTATCTGCCTTGGGTCTCCTGCAACGCATGAGCGGTTAGTTGGCTTGATGAGAAACTGAAGCGTCACGGTTTGAGTGGTACGTGTCTCCAGCGCCGTGGGGTGGGAGTGGGATACAGTCAAGACTCCTTCAATAATCTTCTTGTCAAAAAGAAAAAGGTCAACGGTTTCAGGCCTACTTCTCTTCCTCACGCGCGCTGTCCTGGTTGTAGTTGTAGTTGTAATCCACAAGAAACTCAAATCAAAACGCACACACAATTCAATTCTCGTCTCATCTCATACCATACCCCTGTAAGGCTGTAAGGTGTAAGTGTGTTCAGCGAGATGCGAGCTTCTTCTTGACCTCGACGTAGATCCATGGCCGGCACCGGAGGCAGCCCTCTGCTCCGCTCTCCCTCTCCGGTGATGAACACCATGCCGACGCCGCCCTCCGCCGCGGTGTTCGACGTCGAGGCCGCGTCCGGCGCTCGCCGCCTTGGCATCAAGCCCGCCGCCGACGCCGGCGCCGCCTTCGTGCTCGAGTCCAAAGGTCACCTAATTAACCTAGCTACTACCTGATCACATCACATATGGCCGGAGGAGTATATATCTTGGATTAATTGTTGGTGAATTATGATTCCAGGGAAGTGGTGGCACGCCGGGTTCCACCTGACGACGGCGATCGTGGGGCCGACGGTGCTGACGCTCCCGTACGCGCTGCGGGGGATGGGGTGGGCGCTCGGCCTGGTGGCGCTCACCGCCGTCGCCGCCGTCACCTTCTACGCCTACTACCTCATGTCCAGGGTCCTCGACCACTGCGAGGCCCACGGCCGCCGCCACATCCGCTTCCGCGAGCTCGCCGCCGACGTCCTCGGTCCGCATGCACCTCATCTTCTTCTAAATGTAGAGATTAATTACCTCATCATTAAGAGTGTCATTAATTCAATTTTGTCTCTTCTCTTGGCAGGATCTGGATGGGTGTTCTACTTGGTGGTCACCGTGCAAACTGCCATCAACGCCGGTATTACCATCGGGAGCATCCTTCTTGCGGCTGACTGCTTACAAGTATGTATAAATCGTGCACGCATGCATGGCTTCCCACGAAACTGAATTCACACTAAACTGAATAATAAGTCCTCATTTATTTATTTGTTTATTTATGTTGCACTTCATCGTTCTCTGTCAAGATTATGTAGAAAATCTGGACTTTGTATTCAAGTTGTTATCATCTTTTCTTTGTGGGAAGGGATCATACAGAAATAGAATAACTGAATTAATTCTGCATACTCCTAACAAAATGTTTGCCTTTGTCAACAATATTGGCTACAGTGAGTTGACTTAGAGTTGCATTGTGCAATACCATGATCTCACCTCAGAAGTTGAAATAGCTTAGACAAGTTGTACTTTTATATTTCGTAGATAATGGAAGACCAAGCCGTACTTTTTATATACGACAAGGACAGAGAAACCCTGAGTTTGACCACGCAATCCAACTTGTCCAAGTGGTACTGAGGCTGGTTTAGTTCCCAATTTTTTCTTCAAATTTTCAATTTTTTCATCACATCAAAACTTTCCTACACACACAAACTTTCAATTTTTCCATCACATCGTTTCAATTTCAATCAAACTTTCAATTTTAGCGTGAACCAAAACACACCCTGAAGAGTCTACTACTGTATGTCCTAGCCACTCTGACTTGTGGTGAATTACGAATGCTTGGTAATTTCATTTCATCGGTGTGCTGATTTATGTGTCAATTAGGAATGTTTACTATATTTTTTTTGACATTCTGAAACTCCTGTGAGACATGATGATTTCACTTCACATATATGTGCAGATAATGTACTCGGACCTTGCACCAAATGGACCCCTGAAACTGTACCATTTCATCATCGTCGTCGCTGTGGTTCTGTCCTTGCTCTCCCAGCTGCCGTCGTTCCACTCCCTGCGTTACATCAACCTCGGCTCGCTCCTCCTCAGCTTCGGCTACACCATCCTTGTCTCAGCTGCCTGCATCCGAGCAGGTAATCGCCTGCCATTTATTTACTTGACATTCAGATTCAGAGTTGAGTGTGTATTAGAGTGTAATCTCGTACTGACAAGTGACACTGTGACAGCAAGAAACGACAGGATTGACATGACACGACACCATGTTAACCTCATCTCTTGTGACTGAATTTTTGTTGTAACAATTAGCGATGTTGTTCTTGTCTGACAGGTGCTTTGAGCGATGTCCCGGAGAAGGATTACTCCCTGAGCTCATCCAATTCGGAGAAGACCTTCAATGCGTTCCTCTCCATTTCCATCCTCGCCTCCGTCTTCGGCAATGGCATTCTGCCTGAAATCCAGGTACTAGCAGCTTGTTTGTTTCTGAGAATCTGACAGCTGCAAGCTGTGTGACTGATTTAACGACGTGATGGCAATGTTTTCAGGCGACGCTGGCGCCGCCGGCGGCCGGGAAGATGATGAAGGCGCTGGTGCTGTGCTACACGGTGGTGTTGTTCACCTTCTACTTGCCGGCGATCACCGGCTACTGGGCGTTCGGCAGCCAGGTGCAGTCCAACGTCCTGCAGAGCCTCATGCCGGACAAGGGCCCTTCCCTGGCGCCGACGTGGCTGCTCGGCCTCGCCGTCGTGCTCGTCCTCCTCCAGCTGCTCGCCATCGCGCTCGTCTACTCCCAGGTGGCGTACGAGATCATGGAGAAGAGCTCGGCCGACGCGGCGCGCGGCCGGTTCTCGCGGCGGAACGTGGCGCCCCGGGTGGCGCTCCGGACGGCGTACGTCGCGGCGTGCGCGTTCGTGGCCGCGATGCTGCCCTTCTTCGGCGACATCGTCGGCGTCGTCGGCGCCGTCGGCTTCATCCCGCTCGACTTCGTGCTCCCCGTCGTCATGTACAACATGGCGCTCGCACCGCCGAGGCGGTCGCCGGTGTACCTCGCCAACGTCGCCATCATGGTCGTCTTCACCGGCGTCGGCCTCATCGGCGCCGTCGCCTCCGTACGGAAGCTCGTGCTCGACGCCGGCCAGTTCAAGCTCTTCAGCGGCAACGTCGTGGACTGAAATGGACCTAACGAATAGCGATAGTGCTTGGTTTTTGGCGCCTTTTTGACTATTGACATTTGTATTCATTAGGTTTCACAAAAAAAAAACATTGTAAAAGAGAAAGAGGAAAAATCATCGATTCATGAAGAAAAAGAAAAGGCCAAAAAACGTAAAGACGCGTGTGCTGAAGAAAGTTCACTAAGGTGTTGTGTTGTAAATTTCATGAACACTGGTGAAAATTCCAGATTCGAACAAATTATGTTCTTCCCTTCTTTTTTCTCTTTTTTGCGTAGTGCAAACTTGGTGGACACCGTAGATTTCCGTAGGCGAGTCGTACAAGATGACCATTCAGCGAGAAAAAACGGCCGAATTAGGCCCACGTAAACTCACAATCTTGTGGACCTCAGAAATTGCAGAAGAATTTGTGCTAATATAATTCCAAAAAAAAAATCATGTGGCCACAAATTCAGCCCAAATATTTACAGGCCCACTGAATTACAGCGGAACACCAACCCATGCAGACTTTCCCGATTTCTCCGCCTCCACGTGTCACTGATCGGTGGGCCCAGGGACCCGAAGCCGAAGCGAGAGATCCCGAAAATATCACGCGGCTTATGGCCATCGCCCACGTGGCGCGAGCCTCATCCACGCATATCTCCCGCCAACCTCGTGCGCCCCTCCGCGCCACGCCGCCGCCTCCCTCACCGTCCGATCCGTCGTCCCGTGGGTTCCTGGCCGTCCGATTCGCCGGAGGGGAGCTCGTGGCGGCCGTTGCGCCTTCGCCTCCGGCCCCTTATATGGCGTGGCGGGGAGGAGAGGAGCATCTTCTCGCCTGAGATTCCGTCGACGCCATTGCTTGCTTGCTTGTTGCTTCCATTCCATTCCATTCCACACACGAGTGAACGAGCGGGGAAGGTTCTAGAAGGTTCGGTTAGAGTTTTCTGGTCTGCCATGGCGTCCACTGTGACGACGCCGAGCCGGCCGGTATCCGCCGGGTGCCACCGGCGCTCGCCGCGGCGGTCAGCGCCCGTCGTGCTCTCCCTCGGCGGCGGGCCGCGGCGGCGCACGCCGTCGTCCACCAGCTGCTCGGCGCTCGCGTCGCCGGCGAAGCAGGGCACGGCCAAGCTCCCTCCGCCGCAGCCGACGGCGTCGAGGACCGCGGCGGCCGACGCGGAGCGGGAGCGGGAGCGGACGGACTACAACGAGGTGGCCGCCGCGCTGGAGAGCATCTACAAGCTGAGCCCCGCCGTGGTCGAGGAGAAGGACGCCGACGAGGAGGACGAGAAGAGCAAACAGACCAAGCGGAAGAGAAAAGGCAGAGTGGTGAGCATCCTAGCTAGTCTTCTTCTAAATCAAATCGAAAGAATGGATTCTCGCTTGCTAGCTAGATCGATCTTGATCGTGCATGCGTATGGGTGTCATCGAAGGGGAGGAGCCGGAACGCGACGGTGACGGTGAGGAGCAGCCGGAGGAGGAGGCGGGGACAGAGGATGGACCTGGGGAAGAGGGTGGAGATGAGGAGGAGGGAGGAAGAAGAGGGCGGCGGCGGCGCCGGCAAGGTGGAAGACGAGGAGCGGGGGTTCGAGGAGATGCTGCTCCGGGAGCACGCCGTGTCCACCGACATGGGCAGCCTCGACTGGAAGCGGATGAAGATCCCTCCCGTGCTCACCTCCGCCCAGAGCATCCGCCTCTTCAGGATCATGCAGCCCATGAAGGTAATTGCCAATTGCCTTGATGATTCTAACTGTTTTAGCTAGTTTGATTAGTTGGAGAAATTGACTAATTAGGATCCGGTTGATGGATCAACATATTTCAGGCGATCATGGAAATGAAGGAGAACCTGGAGAACGAAGTGCAGAGCGAGCCAAACGACGCACAGCTCGCCGAGGCCATGAACATGTCCGTTCTTCAGATGAGGCGCCATCTCGAGGTCGGCCGAGCTGCCAGGAACAAGCTCATCAAGGTACTCAGTTACTCACTAAACTAGTGTCACTACTGTCACGTACGCAATCAGTAGAGACTGATCATGAATAATATAATAATGGCAGCATAATCTCCGGCTGGTGCTGTACACGATCAACAAGTACTACCCGGACATGTCCAACGACGAGAGGTTCGACGACATCTGCCAGGCGGGCGCCAACGGCTTGATCACGGCGATCGACCGGTTCGAGCCCAAGCGCGGCTTCCGCATCTCCACCTACGCCCTCTTCTGGATCCGCCACTCCATCGTCCGCGCCATCACCCTCTCCAACTTCACCCGCTTCCCCTTCGCCATGGAATCCGTACGTACTCCTCCTCCTTCTTCTTCTTCAGCTCGATCTCGTCTTGTCCAATCTTCAGATTGGCTGATTGATTGATTGGGTGCAGGAGAGGCAGGAGATCCACAGGGCTCGGGAGGAGCTGGCGTTCGAGCTGGGGAGGGCGCCGACGGAGGAGGAGGTGATGAAGAAGGTGGGGCTGTCTCCGGCGAGGTACCGCGACGTGGTGCGGATGACGAGGCCCACCTACTCCCTCCACGCGCGTAACAGGGTCACCCAGGAGGAGCTCATCAACGAGGTCACCGACGACGACGCCATCGGCGTCGACACCAGCAGCCACAACACCCTCCTCCGCCTCGCCATCGACGACCTCGTAAGTTGTAAATGAACAGAACAATTCTGTTCTTGAATTTCCTTTGAAATGTGATTCGAATCGAATGTATGTATAAATGTGCAGCTGGATTCGCTGAAGCCCAAGGAGAGCGTGGTGATCCGGCAGAGGTTCGGGCTGGACGGGAGGGGGAAGCGGACGCTGAGCGAGATCGCCGGAAACCTCAACATCTCGAGGGAGATGGTGCGCAAGTACGAGCTCAAGGCGCTCATGAAGCTCAAGCACCCCACGCGAGTGGAATACCTGCGCAGATACATGTGAAAACCACCATGCAATCGTCTCGTCTCTCTGCTGTGCATAAAACATGTAGTACAAGCATGTATTCCTAGCAATCTTACTAATTCCCCAAACCTGCATAGCATTAGCAAATACCAACAACCACAGGTATTCATTCTACTCTGCATATTCTGCTGTATATAATTTCTGCATGATCCCCTCTGCATTGCAGATTACAGATACAAAATACACTGAGATGATTCCGTGTTATAGATACAGGAACGGTGTGTGTGTGTGTGTGTGTGTGTGTGTGTGTGTCCACGAGTTTTTTTTCCAAGTGAGGTTGCGGTACATATGCACCTCAGATGTAAGTAATTCTTACTTAGCATATAGATACGGTGCAGGGGATGATCCGATCCCTGCTTAGCTTAGCTCATACGCTGTGCATTCAAAAGAAAAGACATTTCCTTTTCCTATCAACTGATGCTCAGTCTGTATAATACTTTCTGAAGTCTGAACCTGAAGAATTGAGTAGCAACTCTGAACCCGGGAGTTGAAACTATTTTAATCCCTTGAGAGAATATCCCCTCGTTGATCGCATGTCACTTAAATGATTATGAAAAAAATTGAGAAGATATATTAACACATGATATATCACTTTATAAATATGTAAGTTTAAATTTAACTTCTATAACTCGTAAAAAACAAATTTAACTATGAATATACGTTAACTAGCTATAGTTTAATTTGATTCATTGAACTGATGCTGAGCCCGATCCCTCCATTTCTTAATATCTAAATATATTATCGGTCATCGTCTCGATGAATCAAGAGCAGGTGACACCTGAATTTGCAGACATGCCATTGCCAGATGTAACACTGGTACAGTTCCCGGCGAGCAAAATGTCCATCTGGATTATGGAGGCAGAAACGCCAATCTCCAAGTCCCCACTAGCTTTCAGAGATTTCGTCGGGAGGCACACAAGCTCTGGATGCCATGCATAGCGCCACGTAGTCGCATGCCATGACTGCGCATCCAACAAACTCCCCCCCGCCCACCGCATTGACGCACTCGCGCAACCGCAACTGTTACTCGTACTTAGCGGATCAGCGAGCGTTTGCTTTCGATCGGCGTCGCGTTCAGTTGAGGAGCTGAGTCCCAGGGCGGCCATGGTGAAGCTAGCCACCGCCAGGGAGGCGCGCATGTACGGTCCGGCGCTGGCCGTGCGGCGGTGGGAGTACATCAACGCCGGGGCGTACGTGTTCGCGGCGCTGCTCTTGGCCGTGGCGCTCGCGGCGCTGTCCGCGGGCGGCGGGGGCGGGGGCGGGGCCAGCAGGGCGGCGCTCGCCGTGGCCGCCGTGGCGCTGGCGCTCGTCGCCGCCGTCAACGCGCACGACCTCGCGGCGCACCTCGCCGGCGTGGACTGCCGCGTGGGGCTGGTCAGGTACGACGCCCAGCTCGGCCTCGTGGAGCTCCTCGTGCCGGCGCTGCACGTGGCTGGGTGCGTCCTCGCCGTCGTCGCCATGGCCTTTCTGCTCTCCCAGGTGCGTTTCAGATAGCTAGATCGTTGGCAAAAGTGCACAACGCGCATGGCGATCACTCTGCTTTGACATGGAACAGGGCGAGAGGGAGACGCACGCGGCGAACACGCTGCTCGCCGCGGCGCTGGTGTGGCTGCTGGGGTCGATACTCAACTCGTGCCAGGTGTACGAGCGCGCCGACGGGCGGGCGCAGCTGCTGCAGTCGAGCGTGCAGGTGCCGATGCTTCTCGGGAGCCTGCTCTTCCTGGTCGGCGCCGTCGTCAACCGCCGACGACGCCCCGAGCCGCCGGTGCTAGTGGTAAGCGCGCGATCCATTCGATCGAGCAACCTCGCCGCCGGCGTTGGCATGCACGACGCCATGACAAAACCGTGTGGTTTGACTGTCACGCAGGGGCGGAGCTGGGCGTGGACGATGTGCGTGTTGGGGAGCGTGCTGTGGCTGGTGGCGGCGGTGTTCAACATGGGGAAGGTGTTCGTGATGCACCAGAGCGACGCGCCGCGGCTGGAGAAGCTGCGCGGCGGCGCGCAGGAGCGGCTGAGCCGTGACCGGGAGGGACGCTTGCCGCTCAACTGGGAGGAGGCCGCTAGGAGCCGGAGGGTTGCGCTGCCCGCCGAGCTGCGCTGATGGCAACCATCTTCTTCTTCTTCTTCCTCAGCCCCGTGTGCTGTAAAAGTTCAATGTTGCCCCTAACGTCAGTGACGAAATAATTCTACGGGATCTAATAGTAATCAAAGATTTTAGTTGTTTTGACGTGTTTATTCAAGGGTCACAATACACGGATTGAGGATTGACAAATATAGGGAACGAGAATTGCTAATCTTTAGGGTCTGTTTAGTTGGTGAAATATAAATTTTTGGGTGTCACATCGAACATTTGACCGGATGTCGGAGGGGGTTTTCGAACACGAATAAAAAAACTAATTTTATAACTCACTTGGAAACCGCGAGACGGATCTTTTGAGCCTAATTAATCCGTCATTAGCACATATGGGTTACTGTAGCTCTTATAGCTAATCATGGACTAATTAGTCTTAAAAGATTTGTGTCACACCTCAATCTGGCACCGCCGTACAACGGCACCTGGCAGGAGCTTGTCGTAGTAAAACGGCGTGAACCGCGTCCTACGAAACCGCGATCTCAGTACCAGTCCCAGGACATAGCGCTGGTACCCACAGTGACAAACATGAATCATTGCAAATCCTTATAATTAATAGAGGACTTATTTACCTTAACTTAGGTTGCAGCTCAGACAGCCCGAGAATGCAACCGGCGACACAGACGAGGCAAACACTAACAACAGCAGCAGCAGCGGAACCAACCAACGGACTAACACCCAACGCCACAGGCAACGGCAGGGAACTAGGATGAAACCCTAATCTTCACTTCACTTCAACTTCATCTTCGGAGCTGGCAGAACTATATTTATATAGAGAGCAAGGGTGAGTACTTACGTACTCAGCAAGCCAGGGGAACTTAGGTGGTTAATGCAAGCTTAAAGGGAAGGCTGTTATTTTGCAAACAGTTTTGTTTTCAAGTTTTCAACAATCTAAGTGTGTGCTTTCCACAACCAGAGCGAGACAAGTCTCAGCTCGGTCGGGAGGTGAGAAGTAACAAATTTATTTATCAAGATTTGCACAACTCCCAGAGTTGGCTTCAAATCTGGTTTTCCCAAACCAAACCAATTTTCCAAACTTCTCGATAATAGTGGTCCCCAAACGACCAATCACTTCTAGGGACACCCGGTCCCGCTGTCCCCCGGAAAACTAAATGCTTCCCAAGCATTAGGTTTCCCAAACCTTAACACATTTTCATAAAACAGGGTAAAACAAAAACTACGTTAAGGAATCACCTCACATCCGCCCATGACCGTGGGCACGGCTATTCGAACAGTTTAATAACCTCTGCAGAGGGGGTACACTTTACCCACACGACGTTACTAACCTAGGTCACCCAGCCCGTGCAGAACAGCCACGTCTGGCGACTTTGAGGCTTTCACGACAAGGCATTTCCAAAGCCGACACAGGGTTGCCATATGCCAACGAGAGGGGTCCCAGACCAACAACAGGTTAGGTCCCAGACCATACTGTGCCAGGAAGCCCGAGGGTTCTCCCCGACACCACCCCGTTGAATCCACATGTCTCTTGGCATCATGGTTCTCCTGATTAGCTAATTACTCAGCCAGGGGCGTCCCATTACACCCATGTGGCCGCACTGTTGTATGCTCGGATGTAATTCCGAAGGAATCGGTCCTTAAATGCGACTGCACAAGTATTCCACCCAGGAATGGCCTTGTGTCGCGAGTTTCATTTTTAAAACTCATTTTCTTTCACAAGGCACCGACCCAGGCGTCGGGTTTTCCAAAACTTTTGTAAACCAAGTGTTACCCAAGAAGTTACTCAAATTTTAAGTTTGAAGGCGACCATCGATACTCGCACAGAGTGCACGAATTATCGAGGCGCAACTAGATGGTTACAAGGAAACATGATATAACAATTAACAATAGAAGGATCAGATGCAACAAATTAGGTAGGCCCACCGGTCTGCCTTGCAGACGGGGCAAACAGATTAAGTGCAATCCTATCAATGCATAATATTTTGCAAGTAACATAAATAAGTTCAAATATAGGCTCAATATGTTCAAAGGTGGCTTGCCTTGCTCAGGGTCTTCACGAAGCTTCACAAATCTTCGAGAAATCCGCTTGAAGAAAAATATCCGATAACCGCAACTAGGCGCAAACAATCAAAAACCTAAGCAAAGACCAAATAAAATGTCCGATTTAGGCTAATTAATAGTGCCATTAGATAGATCACAATTCAATGGAATTACTGGAAGTGGAATGGAGGCAATCGGATGAACGGATCGAGGGATATGAATTTTGGAAGTTTAAATGAATTTTTCTGGACAAGGAGATGATTTGTCGGAATTTTCTGGAATACGAGAAATGGTTTATGGAATTTATAGAAATAATATTCTCAAGAATATTATTGACATCCACTGACATACGGGCTCGAGGGGACGAATTATTGGAATCTCCGGATTAAGAGGATGGGTTTATGGAATTTGGAATATAGGAAATGATTTATTGAATTTCTAGAAAAGAGAAATATGTGTGGAGTATTGAAAAAGATATTCCCAAGAATATCTTTGACTCATTGACACGTGGGGCCAACAAGAAGGTGAGAGAGAGAGGAGCAATTGGAGGGAGTAATTGTGGACTTTTAGCTCTTGGGTGATGGACACTGGGCTTGGACAAAGGGAGTCTATGTGGACTTTGTTTGTCTTACTTATCAGGCCGAGGAGGAGGGTGGCTACTGGGCCAAGCCCAAGAGCAAGAGAGAGGAGGCGGCTGCTGACTGGGCGTCGGCTGACTTGGTCAAGCGGGGCCGACGGCTGAGGTGGCGCCAACGTGGACGTCACGTCGGATGGGGAAGGGAGAGGAGGTCGGGCGGCTCATGGCGCGCGGCGGGATCCGGCGAACAGCGGCAAGCCGGAGGGGCGGCTAGCACTGGCGGCAGGAGGAGGAGAAGGGGAACTCATTCCATCGCTCGGATCGGGAAGACGACGCGCGACGACGGCTGGCGGCGGCGGCCAATCTCGCTGGCGCGCCGACGTGGCCGCGCGCGAGAAGAGCGAAGGGTGCGCGGGCTCGGACTTAGCCGAACCGGTATGGGGTTGCGACGCGCACGCGGTGACGCGGGACCCGATGGTCACCGGCGATGCACGTGCGGTGGCGTTATGCGGCGGCGGAAGGGGCGACACGGCGCGGAGGCAAAGGAGAAGGCCGGCGGCCTAGGGACAGTCAGGGGGAGCTCAAGGGGATCCCCGGGAGTGTGGCGGCGAGAGGAATCGGCGCGAGAGGTGCCGACGGTGGTGGATTGCGGCGGCGGCAATCACCGGCGAGCAAAAAGGTGAAAACACAACGAGACGACGAGGATTCGATTCAAAGGGGTGGGAGCATCTCCAGGGTTCAAGGAATCCGTTTCCGGTGTCGGATGGGGCGGAGAAGCACTGAGGAGGGCCGGCGACGAGCAGCGGCCTCCGGGAGCGGACGGTAATGGCGGTGAGGCCATGCCAGGCGACGGCGGTGCTAGGGAATGGTTTGAGGAGGTCCTAGGGAGCTCAAGGACAGTGTTGGCGAGGGTGGTCGACGAGCTGGGGCCCGACGACGGCGCGCGACTGCGCGCGGCAGCGGAAACAGAGCAACGGCGAGGCGCGCGGCGCATCGTGCGGCGGCGGGCGCGGCATAGCAAGCGGTAGGAGGAAAGGGTTCGGCAGGGAGCTCACCGACGAGAGGAAACGGCGTCGCGGATCGGAGGGAGTCATGGCGAGGTGGTCGCGACGGTGGGACGGTGCGGCACCGAGTGGGCGCGGCCGGGGAGAAAGAGAGGAGAAGTGGCGCCCGGAGCTCCTCGTCACGCGCCCACGCACGCACCGGTTCCTCCGGTGCTCAGCGGCGGACGGCGACGACGAGATCGGGTCGAGCGGCAACAGGGCGGCAATGGTTGTTCGGCTGTAATGGCGCGGTGGGGGGCGAAAACGAGAGAGATGGAGGGGAGGGGCTCAGCTGTGGTTTTATAGGCGCGGGATGTCGAGCTTCGAGGGGAAGGAACCGAGCACGGACGATCAAGGAGAGGCGGTGGCAGACTCACGGTCAAGCTGTGACAGAGGCGGTCACGGGTGGCAAAGGAGGTGACGGTGGCGCCGGTCGGGGAAAAAGCAAAAAGGGGGAGGGAGAAAGGAGCTCGGCTCCTTGCCGATTTTGGGCGATCTGAGGGAGGAGAAAGCGCGTGGGAGAGAGAGGCGCTGCCTCCGCATCTTGGACACACGCGCGCTGCGGCGCAGAGGTGGGGGCGGCGGCAGAGTGGGCGCGGGCGGCTGCGCAGCGCAGGCGGGCCAGGGCGGATGGCGACCAAGGGCGGTCAGCCACCACGGAGGGAGCGCACGCGGGAACGAGCGAAGGCGGTGGAGGTTTGAGCGATGCCGGCGGGAAATCGACGTCGGCGCGTGAAAGAGAGAAAGCATCGAGAGAGAGAAAGAACGAGAGAGCGAGAGAGCTCTCTCTCGGCTCGGCTCGGCGCGTGCAACGCACGTGTGAGGCTGAGGGAGGAGATGGGCCAAGGAAGGAAGAATCGGCCCAACGACCAAGGGGGAGGCAAAATAGACTTTTGCAGAGAGATGATTTGGAAGAGATTTGGATTTGGAATTGAATTTCGAATTTGATTACTTGGACTCAGGGAAATAGGGAGGAGTCAAGGAATGGATTCAAGGTGGACTCGGATATTTGTGGAATCGGGACAAGTATTTGGCGAGGATTCAAAGGAGGCGATTGAATTTCAGGATTTGATTTCGGAAACCTGAATCGGGATTGGAAACTTGAGGTGGAGGATTTTGATGGCGATGAGAGGGAACAATGATGGAGATTGAATTGAGATCCATGGCACGACTTAGACTCTCACTCAAAGAACGAAATTTTTGCATATAGGATTTTGTCGAATTAGTTTTTAACGTCACGCGAAAAGCGGAGCGTTACAATTCATCTCGCGATATACATACAAATTGTGCAATTAGTTTTTATTTTTTATGTATATTTAATACTCTATACATATGTCTAAAGATTCGATGTGATTTTTTTGGGAAAAGTTTTTGAGAACTAAACAGCCATATAAAATCGAAGATCAAATCTTGTAGGTTTTGGATCATTGGATATAGCTTCGTGATTCGTGCTCGAGTGAGCTTTTCAGCTATCTCAATCGGTTAGCATTCGGGTTTGAGTTTAGGGTCAACATAGGAGGGTTGGTGGGGAAGAGGAAAGATGGGAGTTTTTGGGGTCCAGAGAGATGGTTGTAAGAGACGAAGAATTGGTATTGGATGGTGGACACTGGTGGGTGACGAGACGGTGGATGACAATGTCAGAGTTATGGGGATGAAGGATAGAACTATAGGGATGGAGGATAGCGGTGGGTTGGCATCAAAGGCGAGGACAGGGAAATGAGAGGAGTTAAGAAGTAAGAGTGGCAGTTGCGTCACCAATGACTACGGTGTCGACCCCGCATTACGGTGGTACCGTCGCCTGCCTTTGTCCGCCACACACCACCGTTCCACAGCTTCCCAAGCCATCCATCTAAGCTCGATCCCCCACTTCCTCCTTCACAACGTCCACCTCCCCCCTTCCATCCCACCTCGAAACCCTAACCAGCCATTTATCGTTACATTGTTAAAAAGCATTCGCGAGATGTCCATGTCACGAGCATTGGCACATTAGGCTTTCCACATATGGAGGCGTATTCTATATGTCTTCCTTGCAGCGGCTCCCCTTTCCGGAGATGAATTCTAATAGTTCGAGTGGACGTCCACTCGTTTATTGCATGTCAACTAGATGGTTACGAAAAATTTTCAAAAAAAATGACAAGATAGATCAATATGTATTATATCATTCAATAAACATGTAAGTTCAAATTCAACTTCTATAAGTTGTAACAAAAATAACAAATTTAATTGTAAATATGCATATAGTAATTTGAGTTTTGTTTGTTATTTTTGTTATGATTTGTAGATGTTGAATTTTAACTTCATGTTTGTGGATTGCTATATTACATATTAATCTATCTTGTTCATATATTTTTTAATTTTTTTCATAATTATCTACTTCATCCGTTTCACAATATAAGTCATTCTAGCATTTTCCACATTCATATTGATGTTAATGAATCTAGATAGATATATATGTCTAGATTCATCAACATTAATATGAACTAGCATGGTGGCCCGCGCAAATTGCGCGGCTAGCATCATTATATTTTCTTTCATATAATAGCATATATATTTTCTCATTATATTATTCAAATATATTAAAATGACATCATAATTTTAAATTTTGCAATAAGTTTACGAAACTACAAATGTGTAATATTCTATTGTATTTTATATACGTGTTAGTTATTAATTATTTTTAATATCAAATTTTAGTTATTTGTAAATTATATATATTACTATATGGACTCTAGACTCGTCTTTTAATATTTCCTTTTTTTAATTTCGAATTTTCTGTAAATTGTATTTCTATATAGACTATAAGCTCTTCTTCCAATATTATTTATTTTTATTTCTGAATTTTTATTGTTTCTAATTGTATTTCTATGTGGACTCTAAACTCATCTTTCAATATTCTTTAATCTTTAATTTCGAATTTCAGTTACTTCTAAATTGTATTCCTATATTGACTTTAAACTCTTCTTTTCATGTTTTTCTTAATTTCGAATTTTAGTTATTTGTAAATTGTATTTTTATACGGACTCAAAACTCTACTTTTAATTTTATTATGTTTATTCTGAATTTTAGTTAGTTTTAAATTCCTATATGGACTCTATACTCTATTTCTAATATTCCTTATTTTTTAATTCTGAATTTCTATTTTTTTTCTTAATTGTATTTCTATATGGACTCTATACTCTACTTCTAATATTCCTTATTTTTAATTCCGAATTTCAGTTATTTCCTAATTGTATTTCTATATGGACTTGGTACTCTACTCTAATATTCCTTATTTTTAATTCCAAATTTCAGTTATTTCCTAATTGTATTTCTATATGGACTCTGGTCTCATCTTCTAATATTCTTTATTTTTTAATTCCGAATTTTAACTATTTTTAAATTGTATTTCTATATGGACTCTGGTCTCCTCTTCTAATATTTCTTATTTTTTTAATTTTGAATTTCAGCTATTTCTAAATTGTATTTTCTATATGGACTCTGCCTTTTCTTTTTCTTCGATTAATGTGAGGAAGTAGATGACATATATAAACGGGTAGACGTACGTCCACCCGAGCTATTAAATCAGTTTCCCCCCTTTCCCCCTTCTCTACCGGCACACACCTCTGTTCTCTCCCTTCCGCCGCCGCTCTCCCCTTCTGGTGATGGTTTTATATTCCTTTTTCTCTCTTCTTTTCTTTTCTTTTCGAGTAGATATTGCAGTTCGGGCCTCCCTTATTAGACGGACCAGGCCCATCTGGACAGGCCCATGAAATCTAAATAGGCCCATCTTTCCACATATGTTGACCTTATTTCTCTCTCTTAAAAAAAAAAGTTGACCTTATCCTTCCTTCCTTTCCATGGCGAAGGCGCAGGCGCAGCTCGTCTCCCTCTCCTTCCCACCTCCCGCGCCACCCTCCGCCCGCCCCCGCCACGCGCCGCCGCTCCTCAATGCGGCGGCGCTGCGCACCGGCGTGCCGCCCTACTCCGCCGGCGTCCTCGTCTCCCTGCTCCGGGACTGCGCCGACCTCCACGGGGATGACACCGACCACCGCGTCGCGCGCCGCCTGGCCCCGCAGCTGCACTCGCTGGCGGTCAGGACCGGCCTCTCGCGGGACCCCCGGGTGACGTGCGCGCTCGTCGACCTCCTCGCGCGCCTCGGCCGGGGTCCCTCCTGCGCGCGCCTGCTCCACGAGGCGGCGGAGGACGGCGCCAAGGACGCCGTGCTGTGGAACAAGCACGTCGCCATGCTGGCCGAGGCGGAGGAGTGGGACGAGGCGATCGCCGTCTTCAGGGAGATGCAGGCGCGCGGGGTGCCCGCCGACGGGTACACCTGCGCGCGGGTGCTCCACGCGTGCGGCCGCGCGGGGGCGCTCCGCGAGGGGAGGGCCGTCCACGCGTACGCCCTCAAGCTCGCCCTGGACGCGCACCCGCTCGTGCCCGGATTCCTCGCCGGCATGTACGCCGAGAACGCCGACGTTGCGGCGGCCACTAGGGTGCTCGACGCGATGGGGGCGGGCAGCGTCGTGCCGTGGAACGCGGTCGTCGCGTGCTGCGCGCGGCTCGGACTCGTGGACGACGCCCTGGAGCTCGCGGCGCGCATGTCCAGGTCGGGGCCGGAGCCCAACGTCGCGACGTGGAACACCGTGCTGTCCGGCTGCTCCCGGCACGGCCGCGACCGGGAAGCGCTCGGCGTTGTCGCCAGCATGCTGAAGCAAGGGCTGCGACCGGACGCCACCACCGTGTCGAGCCTCCTCAAATCAGTGGCCAACACGGGGCTGCTTCGCCATGGCATGGAAATCCACTGCTTCTTCCTGAGGAACCAGCTCGAGCCGGACGTCTACACGGGGACGGCTCTCGTCGACATGTATGCCAAGTGCGGCCGCCTCGATTGCGCCCAGAAGGTGCTCGACGCGCTGGAGCACAGGAACCTGACCACCTGGAACTCGCTGGTCGCAGGGTACGCCAACGCCGGGCGGTTCGACATAGCGCTGGAGCTCGTGGAATTGATGAAGAAGAACAGGCTTGATCCGGATATAACCACTTGGAATGGTCTGATCACTGGTTACTCCATGAACGGCCAGAGCTCGCAGGCGGTGCTGCTGCTCCGGCAGATCAAGGCAGCTGGTGTGACGCCCAATGTGGTCTCATGGACGTCATTGATCTCGGGTAGCTGCCACAATGGGGAGTATGAAGATTCATTCTACTTTTGTCATGAGATGCAGAAGGATGGTGTCCAGCCCAGCTTGGTTACCATGTCAGTGTTGCTCCGGGCTTGCGCTGGATTAGCTCTGCAAAAGAAGGGCAAGGAGCTGCATTGCTTCGCGCTGCGAAGAGCATATGACTGTGACATGGTTGTGAGCACAGCGTTAATTGACATGTACTCGAAGGGTGGAAGCTTGGTTAGTGCAAAAGTGATATTTGAAAGCATTCAGCAGAAGAATTTGGTGCTCTGCAATGCAATGCTAACTGGTCTGGCAGTCCATGGGCAAGGTCGCGAAGCAATAGAACTGTTCCATGATATGTGGAACTCAGGATTGAAGCCGGACTCCATAACCTTCACTGCACTTCTAACTGCCTGTAGATCGATGGGCTTGGTTACAGAAGGGTGGGAGTACTTCGACAGTATGGAGACTAAGTATGGTGTAAAGCCAACGACAGAGAATTATGCCTGCATGGTTGACCTCTTGGCAAGGTGTGGTTATCTTGATGAGGCAATGGATTTCATTGAGAGGTCACCGATTGATCCAGGAGCAAGCCACTGGGGGGCACTTCTCACAGGATGCTCAATACATGGGAATCTTGCTCTTGCAGAGGTGGCTGCGAGGAATTTGTTCATACTGGAGCCTTACAATTCAGCCAACTATTTGTTGATGATGAATTTGTATGAGTATGAACGGATGTATGATGAAGCTGAGAGCCTGAAATATGCAATGAAAGCAAGAGGAGTGGATAGTAGACCTGGGTGGAGTTGGATACAGATTGAGCAAGGTATCCATGTCTTTGAGGTCGATGGGAAGCCGCATCCTGAAACTGCAGAGATATATGAAGAGCTTATTCGTCTGGTGTTTCAAATAAAAAAGGCAGGATATGTGCCAGACACCAGCTGCATAGCGTATAATGTTCAGGAAGAAGAGAAAGAGAAGCTTCTCCTTGGCCATACTGAGAAGCTTGCTATCACTTATGGGCTGATCCGCTCAGATGCAAGTAGAGCGCCTGTCAGGGTGATGAAGAACACCAGGATGTGCAACGACTGCCATGAGGTGGCAAAGCATATCTCTTCTCTATGTGATCGACAAATTATTCTTCGTGATGCTGTTAGGTTTCACCATTTTGTGGATGGGAAATGTTCTTGCAATGATTACTGGTGAACACTGAACTAGCTGATCAATTCACCCACCATTACTGGCTCTTATCGGCTTTCTTCATCCAGGTTATATGACGCGGAAGAGTGAGTGTGCCAGTTCGAGAAGAGGGTGAGAAGGAGAAGATGGAGAAGGAGGAGAGGAAGGTAAAATGACCTCTCAGTTCTTTTACTTTCAGTATAGGTTGGATGGATCTGTGAATAGTGAATTATATTGGGCAATTCAGGCTGTCTGGGCATTGAGCTACTAGTACTAGCTAAGTAGGGTTCCACCACCTCTCCGTAGTCCAGTGGCCACCACCTCTACGTCGTCGGCACTTGGGCAGCAAACAAGAAGGACTAGTGTCGCTAGTTGCCAATCCCAGGCGGTCGTGCCCGATCTTGTGGACAGGGACGAATTGCAGGACGCCAGATTTTCGTACGAGGATTGGAGCTGTCTGTCACCAATTCCCGCGTGGAGGACGAGGATCCCACGCCGTCGCCGTCGCCGTCGGCGGCGCTGACAGTATCTTGTTCTCGGACGAGCTGAGGACGCGTCGCGTCCGATCGATGTCTCGCGCGGCGCGCCTGGGGGCAAGTCACAGAGAATTCCTTCACCGGCCTCGCCGAACACAAGCTCTGGTTCGGCCTCTCCAGGAATCGTGATGCAGGTTACCCCTGTTGCGCCTGCGACCTCGCCGCCGCCGCATTCCCCATTCTATAATGTTTTTTAAAACATCAATTAACCAGGGGATCTCCTGCAGAGCCAGATACTTAACTTCTATTTCTGTAAATGTCGGTATGATTACGATTTGTATACAGAACTAAAAAATGAATTGAATTTCATATGCATCGTCTCTTGCTTTTTTTTTTAATCCATACATACAATTGTAATTTGTATGCATTTCCCTATTGGGGAAGTAGATTTGACGTAGTTTTACAGATACATATGAACGCAGGAATTGATCTTTTATGCCACATATGGTACTGAATTATTATATTGGATAAGTACAATTCATTGTTTCAGTTACATTTTTAATCAATCGGCACAACAACTCAACCTTTTGCCAAAAAAAAGGAACATGACGAATTTTATTTCAGGATGGATTATATGACTATCATTCACTTTTGTATCTGATCTAATTTGTACAAAAGCTCATCTCAGATGTACTTGTCAGCTCTGCGCACGGCGATGGCTGCACATCAAGAGCGCCACCGCTGACAGCTCGGCATTTCCATGGACCAACAGAATCACCACCATAGAGCTTAACATTTGAGAGGCAAATCCGACTGAAAACCGAGTCCCTGATACCCCTTACCAGCCCGGCTTGCCGGATGTTCTGACCCCAGACATTTTTTATCGTCACGCCGTCGACGACAGGAAGCTTGCTCGGATCATATGATGCATCAGGATGCCCTCCAACATCTCCGGCGATTCGCAAACCGTATCGAGCTCCATTGAGGGTCACTTCTGAGACCGTGATGTTTCGGATGAATCCTCCCCTTCCGGAGTTGGTCTTGACATGGATTCCGACACCCATGCCGAAGAAATTCAGGTGCTCTACATGGACATTCTCCACACCACCGGAGGTTTCACTTCCCACTGCAAAGCCTGCAAATGGTCCTGATCCTGTTATACGTCTGATCGTGATGCCGGAGCTGGGTCGCCCAAAGGCTATGCCATACTCATCCCAGCCACTCTTGATGGAGATCAAGTCATCTCCTGTCGAAATGTAGGAATCCTCAATGCAGACATTGCTGCTTGAATCTGCAGTGTTTGAGTCCAAGATCTTGATTCAGAATAGGCATAGGGAATTTTGCGCACAGATTTACAAAGTGAAACAACTCTTGTACCTGGATCAATTCCATCGGTATTTGGGGAGTCATGTGGAGCCAACACGGTTACGTTCGTAATTACTACATTGCTGCAGAAGCACAATATGCTAATTTTTTAGATAATGGATTAAAACCCAGCCTCTACATCCATCAAAGTGGATCTACATTGCTGCAGAAGCACAATATGCTAATTGAACGGAGTGTCCAAAAGCCATATGTGAGCAATGGAGTTCACAATAATGCCTGGAGTGTAGGCTCTGAAGTATAACAAAGTGATCTGTTTGTGTTCACCTGCAATACACCGGATGGATGTTCCAAAATGGCGAATCCTGGAAGACGACATTGGAGATGATCACATCAGTGGAGGATATTAGCTCCAATAGATGTGGTCTTGTGAAGGGCAGTGTTCGCTTCCTCCACATATCCCACCACACGCTGCCTTGCCCATCAATTGTTCCATTCTCACCTGCACAGGTCACAGAAAGACGGAATCTTGAACATCCCAACGACACAAAAGTTCGATGGCATTCTCATCATCTTGCTTCAGAAGTCTAAACAAACAAAGAAAATGTGAACTTTTTAAAATTGCAGGTCTGATTTATTTTGCCGACTGCAAGTTAACTGGGCCATGTGTAGTACACGTATTGCAGTGAAACAGTAACTTGAGGACAAGGTGACAACTGACAAGAAGTGAGGTGTCATCATGTAGAGAGAATTAGAACCTGTAATGAACACATCCTGGAGGCCATCACCATGGATCAAGCTCATGTATCTTCCTCCTGGCAGCTCGCGTCCTCTCCCGTACGATGGCAACGGGTCTATCAACGGCCAGCTCGATGTGTCCTGATCCAGTACAAATGCTCGACAAGATGAAGATGAGAGGTCTTGGAGGTAAAAGAAGGACATGGCCATGGCGATGGCCTAGCAGCTGAGCTGTCGTCTGTGCTGTGCCTGTACCTGTGTGGCGCGGATGACGGCGCCGCGGGCGAGGAAGAGCGTCATGTGGGAGGTGAGGTTGAAGGGCCCCGTCAGCCACACCCCGGCCGGCACGTACAGCAGCGCGCCGCCCCGCGCGCGCCGCCGCTCGATGCGCGCCACGGCGCGCGCGAACGCCGCCGTGTTGAGCGCCCGCCCGTCGCCGACGCCGCCGAAGCTCGCCACGGACATCCACGCGCCGCGCGGCGGCACGTCCGCCGGGCACGTCGTCTCCCCCTGCGCCGCGGCCAGCGGTGGCAACAGCAGCGCCACCGCCACCGCCAGCGCCGCCGCCGCCGCCGCGGCGAGGGAGAGGCGCAGCGACGCCACCATCGATCGCTTCTTGGCAAGAAGCAGCAGCAGCAGCAACAGCGGCGATGATGGCGAGCACGGCGAAGTGAAGTGAAGTGGACACGGTCACACTGAAAAGGTGGTGTCCCTCGTGTTGTGGCTGGATGTACGCGTGGAGTGGAGTTAATGTGGTCCGCAATTATGTGTAGTTGTCATGGATCGAGCTAGTATTATGGTTTGGTTTCTTGCACTGTGGCTCACTGCCTCTCTCGTCCTTTCTGGGGTGGCATGCAAATATGCAGTGCAAGAGGACAAGTTACTTGGGGTCAATATTTTCCTCGAGTATTTATTATTTGAGGATTTATCTTTTTTTCTTTTTTTTTTGCAACATGTTCAATTCTTCAAAAGTAGCATATCCTGATTTATTAATGGAGTAGCAAATCTTCACGTGTGCAACTTTTCGATTGCTCCATCAAGGCATGCCATAGGAGTCTCAAATGAGGCAGCTCAATTTCGGTAAGAATTGTGGTTGTTCTCACATTCCACGTGGCCTCAGGACTAAGTAGGTGGAGTCACATTCTCATCTAACGGCTTTTCACTTTGCTACCATTTTTAACATTACCTTTTTCTGGCAAAGTTACCCAAAAATAAATGACTACATTTAATTTGTTGTCAAATTTTAGTGAGTACATATGAAATCTTACTAAAATTTGGCAACCTTTCTAAAATTTGGCAATGCCAAAAACTAATAAGGTTGAAAATGGTAGCAAAGTGAACAAGCCACAAGTGTCTTCTTTTAACATAGGCTAGTTATTAGTGTTCTCATTTTGCATGGAATTCTGGACAAGAATACCTGGCTGCTTACCAGTTACCACCAAGCTTTTTTTTCTTTTCAGAACAACCTAGCACCAAGCTGAATCCAGGTTGGTGCCTGTGTAGTATCAAGTGATAGCCTTCTCGGTGTGCATTTGTTGGAGCACAATACAGCATTCAATAGGCAGTATTTCTGGTTAGAGCATAGGAGTACTTAAATAGTGTAGAACTGGCAACTTAAAGGAGTACTCGAATGCCTTGTCTGGTCTGTAGTTCTACTGTACAAACAGTAGGGATGGAACAGGTAGAGGTGGTCCAATGGGCTCCATCTCCCAACGGCACTACTGGAACCAAATCCACAGTACACACAGCCTTACGGTGTTTACGGTACGGACACGCCGTAGCTACCAACGCAATCGAATCCATTCTCACTCAAACTATTACTCTGCCGGATGTACCACACAAACAATTAAATGGAAATGTCATTGCTCAAGCTTGTAAACTTGCCCCCAAGGCTAAAGCAGCATCTCTGTAGAACTATAGGGCCAGGAGCAGGAGCAGGACCATCAATCATCTTCCTCTCTGGATGGTCGATCCATGGCCCATGGGAATAGAGCAACCATGTGTAGTTCACGTTCTATAGTGCTGCTTCTGCTCCAGATCTTGCCAGCCTTGGCAATCCTGTCTGTGCTTCTGCGCACATGACATAAATGTATTTCAAGTTTGAGCCATGCCATTGCCACGGATCAGACTATGAGCCCATTTAAACCTCCAGTGCCAGAAAGATGGTAGCCCAGCATTGGGAGCTCATGTAATGCAACTCCACTGGCCTGGGATCAGTCTTGATCAACAAGCTCATCCATGGACTTCACACATATTGGCTTGGATGTATTCGGCCCAGGAAAGATTTCATTCTATAACATCTACAAAATTGCAGACTAAAGAGAAGTATAGATAGCAATACCAACTTGTAAACCACCAGAGGCACCAAAATTAGGGATATATAGACAGGCGAACATGAAGCGAGTCTTTAGTACCAGCTACGCCATTGTAGGGACCATATGAAGCCGGGAAAATCCAGCTGAAGTTAAACGACCGACAACATGTATAACAAACAACAAATGGAATCAGCTTTTATCGCTTGTTGGTGAGGAATCACCGTCCATCTTGTCATGTTGAAATTTCACGACAATGCATGTGATATTGTCACCACTCCCTCGGGAAAATGCAGTCTCTGTCAGCTTCCGAGCTGCTGCCTCAGGTTCCTCCTCAATCTTCACGAGTGAAACAGCATCCTGCATCAACATAGGAGAAACACGATGAGGCGAATTAACTATGTTTTAAAATGCACTATGAACAAGAGGGGAGCATAATTAGATTATCCATTATGACATGATGTGTGTATATTCAAGAAAAATTGCAGCCATGTGAGCAAGACACCAATCAGAGAAATAACGCTATAGTCAGTAAGAGTGCCCTATATAAGTGTAAATGGTTATTATCAGTGTCATGTGTTAAACCGCATTCCATAAATGCAATATGTGATGTGTATGTTCAAGACAAAATAGAAGCCACATGAGCAAGAAATCAATACGAGAATAATGTTATTCACTCCCGTCGGAACTTTAGAAGTTTGACGGAATCTTGTCCTAAACATCAACTATTTATGACCAAGAGAGTACAATCAGTAAGGGTGTTATGAAAAATAAATACCAAGCCCTGTAAAAGTATGTTGATACAATCATGTGTTACACTGCACCTCCATAACAGAGTAAAGATGCTGCAAGTTCCATGAATGCAAGCTTCATAGTGACACGAACATGATAGTGGTGTTACAACAAATTTATGCACCAAGCAACTCAGATGTGAAGGAGTAGGTTGTGCTCCTGAATTAGGACCTTAATGTCTTAATTAAGTATAAACCTAGTCAAATGCATCATTGTTTATATTGTTATGACCATAATTTTATGGGACAGCAGTAGCACACAGTAGTTGGACAGCAAAATCACAGTATATCAGAGCATCGCCCTAATGCTGTTCACTGCCGCCACATGTTGCACATGCCACAAATCCAATCTTTGAAGCCCAATAAAGTATATTTCATGTATATAATGCAAACAAATGAATTTCTGCACCTCTAGGGAAGCTATAGATTAGCAAACTAACCTCATTCGGAACCACATCCCACAGCCCATCACTAGCTAAAATCAGAAACTCCAATTCATCATCTATTTCTTGTTCCTGATAAAATAGTTGAAGAGTTCACACTTCATAGTAAAGTATAAGCCACAGAGGATCAATGTGTTGCCATATTTATATATATGTGCTGCTCATGTTACCTGAATCTCAGGATCTGCAACAACAAATTGCTTCAACAAGCGGTTGCCAAATGCCCGAGACATTGCAAGTACACCACCTACCCTCCAAGTTCCTGCAAAAGTCCATTTACCATCATCAGCAAGATGATAGTCGCAATTTGCAAGTCTCCTCCACCTATGTATGTCAGTGACTTCTCCAAAATAAACAGGCACGATCTATGGCAACTCAGATTAGAACACAGATATTGTAGTATTGTGTGGTACTCTAGGTGTTGATGGAAGCAGGACTTACCAGCCCACATAACAACCCCACCAGCACTCTCAATTCGCTTCCTCTCATCGCTTCTATTTGGCTTGTGATCCTCAGAGAGTGCAATAGCTATAAATAGGAGGGAAACGAAATGTTTAACAACAATTCAGCAGGTACACCGCCACAAAGAATGCAACAACTGCATCCAGTATTAAATAAATGAACAACATCTTTTGTAAACAGAAGCACCTTTGCCAGCCTTTGATATTACAGCACGAGAGTCGCCAACATTTGCCACATAGAGATGATTTCCAACCAAAACCGCTGTCGATGCGGTTGATCCATCATCTCTATGAGTGTGGCTTTCAGAATCCAAAAACTCTGAATCAGTTTTTTTATATGTTTCGCCTGTGGATTACCATTGATCAGTTTACTCCATCACAAGAAATATCAACAGGATCTTGAAGAAGCTAGTGGTACAGCTAGGAACAATATCATACTTATTGCTAATTTTGTATTTGTCATGAACTCTGGATGTTTCATGAGGTTCTCAAACAAGTGCTCCTTCAAATACTCAGCAGCACGTGAACCACCATGACCTGCAACAGAAAAGAAACGTTTAAAATAGAACAACTGATAGACAACAAGAGGTCTGAAGGAAAATTTTCCAACCATCAAATATTCCAAAGAGGCTTATTTGTTTATCATCAATTTTAGATGATTTTATATCATAGAAGTCTTCCATGCTTGCTCTTTTTCCTCTAAAACTCGAATATCCACAACTCAGAAATCCATCCTCACTGCAAATCAGTCAAATAACAAGGCCTAATGTTAAGAAAGAAATAGATGAAAATGCTTATGATATTCATGTAATATAATGGTAAAATTAACTTTACATTCTGATAAAAGGACAGTGCCTATTCAGTTATTCTTCTACAAATAACAATCTACTGGCATGAAGAAAAAGAAGCCATATGTCAATAGAAATTAGTTACAGGTATTTGAATCAGTTGGATTTCAATAATATGGGGGCTGAGGGTCCGAACAGTTACTTGAGCGTGAGAAATCCCATTCAATTTTTATCACGTCAATCAGCAAGTACCAAGAAAGGATTTTCTGCCTGCAAAACCTGGCTAGATAACGCTACTACCATAAAACCATTTAAAGTTTATTTCACTCCATCTAAACTATATAATCTATCTGTATCAAACAAGAAAGTGAAAATATTCTATTCCTGAGTTGCTTCATCTCCAATAATGGACCAGCCATTAAACCACCAGACTACATTTCAAGCACCAAACTCAAAGTTACCCATTAGCAAAGCAGAATGGATTGATGTCTAATTTTCTATCACCAAAGATACTAATAAATACAAAAATAGATACGAAGTGCAAAATATTCATTATTTGGCAAATGTGATGGAGCATAACAAAGAGAGGCACACATAAAAAAAATTCTAGGAGAAGTTAGCTTAGTTTGATTAATGAATGTAATAATGAAGTGGCCTACTTAATGATCTGATGTGTTGATATTATGACCAGATATCACATGAAGATCTAAGTTATGATAACAACAAACATTTTAGCATTGAAAGCACCCTTCTGTGAAGAAATTTGTTCCGGTATCATATGTTATTGCGCCTGTTATTATAGCTTGCCAGAACTCGGTATGAACATTTTAGCTAAAGTAGCATGGTAGAATGTTTACATTACTGCCACGTAAGCAATTTTTTTTTAATGTGCTATCATATTTACTTTTGTACGCATTAAAACCATGTTCTTTCTTTTGTTCCTGATGACATTACAATATTCCATGAATAGTAATTCATAAAAAATCCAGAAAGATGCTGCCAAATAGTGGAACTACATAAATACATCAAAATGCTTCTTCAGCACAATCATAACACATGCTACTCTTGCATGCAATTTCAGACAAGACACTTTGTTTAGAACACACATGCTAGTCTAAGAGATCATAGAGCTTGAGGTTCTGGTCCACTGAAATGCACAATTCTAAATAGGTCAATCACTATTACATTTCTGGTTATAATGGAGCATTGCAAATCTACTAAAAAGCCACATCCGCTTACTGTCGCAAAGCTATGTTGGGCATGCAATGTCTATTTTATGATCAATGTACGTCTATTACACCACTTGATATGAACGACACCAGAACAGAAGCATGATCAACGTACGTCTATTACGCCACTTGATATGAACGATACCAGAACAGAAGCATGCTCTCAACGTACGTCTATTACGCCACTTGATATGAACGATATCAGAACAGAAGCTGTATGGTGTATTTGAATTAAATGCATAAACGAGAATTCCTGCCTACAGAACCGATTATCTGCAAGCTCCAATAGGGAAAAGAGAAGCAAGTATTACCTCTTCCATCCACCACTCATGTAGCCCACTTCATCCACCCTCTCTCTCTCCTTCTCCCTTTCCCTCTCTTTGTGCTTATTCTCTTGATCCTTGTGTTTCTTCTCCTCCACTGCTGGCACAGGAGCAGCAGCAGCAGTCTCCTGCTTCCTCTCCCCTTGAGAAACCACAGGCGAGGACACCTCCTCCTCCTCGCCTGGTCGGCCTTCCAACTCCGACTCCCCCACAGCCACTGCTGGCTCAGGTGACACCTCCATTGCATCCCCCTCCACCACCTCCATCTCTGCCGGTGCAGACGACACCTCTACATCACCACCCTCCTCCTGTGGTGGTTCCCTCTCCACCGGCGCCGCCTCCTGCTCCACCTCGCTGGCCTCCTCATCCGCCACCTCCTGGGCGGACGGCGGATCCCCGGGCTCCACCATCACCTTCCCCCCGGCGCGGAACCTGCGGTGCTTCAAGGGATGCCGCACGCCGAGCCGCTTGTCGTGGGGAGGCCTCGGCGGTCGCCCACTCACAGCCGCCCCCTCCTCCGCCGCCCCAGCCCCCGCCCCCGCCGCGGCAGCCGCTGTTACCTCCGACGCCGCCGCCGATGCCTCCGACAGAGCAGCCGATGCCGACGCCGGGTTAGCCGAGCTCTCCTGGTCCTTCACGGCGCCATCGTAAACCATCTAAATCGCGGGGGCGGCAAACCGGAAACCCTAAACAGCATCAGGCGCAGAGCTCAGATTCAATCGAGCACGCGCATGGGTTCAAATCGGAGCCAAACATGGAGCGATCTGGAAGCAATGGGGAGGAGGGAGGGAGCTCACCTTGGGGATCCGATCGGGCGGGCGGCGGGGGAGGCGATCGGATCGAGGAAGCGGCGGATCCAGAAGGTTCTAGATTTGCGTGGGGGGTGGGTGTGAGCTGGAGAGGAGGTGGTAGCGATCGGGAGGAAGAGGAGATGAGTGTGCTGTGCTGTGTGCGTGAGAGGAGAGGAGAGAAGAGAAGCAGGCGGCTGCGGCTGCGTCGCGGTGCGGTGGGAGATGTGTTTTTTTCTCTTCGTTTTTTATTTATTTTTTTCTTTTGCCTTTTTTTGGATGTGTGCGTACGTGGTTCGGGAGGCGAGACCACCTGGGCCTCGCGCGACGGGTAGTGAGTCACTGACGTGGTGGGGACAGGTTGAGTGGGGCCAACTGTGAGTGGGGTGGGTACATATAGGTCAGGTAGTAGTAGGTGAGAGGAGTCCCAGGGCGGCAGCAGAGCACGGTGGGGAGTTCGACGAGGCGCGCCGTGCTGGGCCCGGGGCTGAGCTGTGGGCCGGCGCTTTCGGGGTGGGGGCCACGCGTCAGTGGACTGTGGGATCGATTATCAGTCTCTGATCTTTCTTTTTTTTAAAAAAGCATATCAAACTCTCCCACAAAACTTGCTCAAGGGTGTGTTTGAGAAGAAGTGGATTGAGTAGATTGAGAAGATACGCAAAACGAGGTGAGCCATTAGCTCATGATTAATTGAGTATTAATTATTTTAAATTTTAAAAATAGATTAATATGATTTTTTAAAGCAACTTTTCTATAGAAATTTTTTACAAAAAACACACACCGTTTAGTAGTTTGGGAAACGTGCGTGTGGAAAATGAGATGCTTTCTCCCTCAATGTCCTCCAAACGAACGCTGCCCAAGTAATGTTTCATTTTTTTCAGGTATGTATTATTCTTTGTGTTTTTATAGGTATAAGTATAACACTCCTAAGTTAAACCGTTTTCAGCAACGCTGAGTTTTTCTTTTAAGAAAACAAATCATGATTGATGAGTTTCTACATGGTTTTTGGAGGAAATTGTCTGAAATTTAACGACATTTCTATGCACATGTACACTGAATGGAAAATGAATAGTAGCTCAATGAAAATAGAACATGGGCGTGCTCATGATGGCTAGCGCACATCATGAAAGTCGTATAATCATTTCCACCACAGTTAGGCCCGATCAGGAATGATTCTTTCCACATGAATATTCACTATGAATCCCATACAAATTAATCATATCATCATAGAAGACGTATGTTTTAAAAATCATGGAATAGGAGATATAATCAAGAAAATATAATGTATATAGCTGGAGCAAATATATTAAAAAAGAGTAAAATATTTCTAATTGTCTTATAACGGATAGTGTAGCAGTGACAATTTTTTCAGACAACAATACAATGTGCATATGTTTTCATGTATCTCTCTCTTTCAGTAAACGTATTCCCGGTCTAAATACACAAAAACAACAAATTATATATATGTAGTGCATCTATTGTTTTTAGGTGCCATATAATATCTATATTTACCATCGTATGGACACTGATATAAGAATATTTTTTTTGGAATAATGTTATAATAATATTAAAAATCTTAATTTCTTCATATATGAGTATATGACTAGATAATAGAATCCTTTATTGTTCTCTCTTTCTTTTTTCTTCTCCACATGATCTTAATATATGTTCCACATGGTTTTCTCGATTAGAACAGATCTGCCATCACCTTCTGAGCACAAAACGCGCGCGCACATAGATAGATAGATAGATTTCTAAAAAGATAAAAATAGATAGATAGATAATATTGGTATGAAACAAGATTAATTGATTCCCTCCCCTGCCTCAAAGTTGAATGTTGTTGCCAGAGATAGGTCCTTAACGGGCTTTATTGCTGCTGAGATGAAATCATTGGCAAGATGTTTTACTTAAGTTTCTTTTGTTCATGTAAGCGTAAGCCATAAGCCGCAGAGCTGATGAGGTGGTTCATATGTTAGCTAGAACAAGCTAGCTTGCTGTTCACTTGGTTTACTAACAATGTATCCCTGGTTGTATAAAGGATCTTGTAAACTCTGAATCTTTTTACGAATGAATGGGTCAACCCTGATATTAATTTTTAAAAACATTGAACGGCAGGAGCTCTGCTGGATATATTAGAACCTTTATATTAAAATATAGAAGAAAAAACTATCTCCGAGAATCTCATCGATGTATTCCTTACAGTCAAGACAGATAATATATGAGGCCCTTGGCTGGCCTTTGCTGTGGTCACTAGAGGAGAGTAGGGCTTCGGCTGGTCAGTCGTCACCACTGCCGCTCTCCTCGGGTTCGACTCTCCACCGCTGTCACTCACTCTGTTGTCGCCACCCAACGAGGCCCACAAGAGAGGAAAGAGAGATAGAGGGAAGGTGAGGAAGAAAACAAGATGAGGAGGAAGTTGCTGACATGTGAGTTCTACCTGCTAACTCAACGAGTCAAGTACGGTCAACCTACCACGTTAGAGAAAACCGTTTTCCAAACCATAAAGGAGTTAATTTGTATCAGTTTTTGAAGATGGGAGATGCGCTATACCAGGTTGTGTGGTTGAGGGAGGTGATTCAATTAGGAGCGAACGATAAGGGAGCTAATATACACTTATTCCTCGCGAGGTTATAGATTTTAAGGCCCATGGGCCATTCATTTGAATGGGCTAAAATCTCGTCTCGTCCATCGCAGCAGTAGATAACGTATTCTTCCATCGCAGGAGGTGCGCTTCCTATCCCCATCGCCACCCATGGCGACTCCCGCCGCTTCCCCTCTCCTGCTGCCGCTCCCCCTCCCCCTCCCGGCCTCCACCTTCCCGCCTCGCCGCGCCGTTCCCTGCGCCCGCCGCCTCGTCTTGCGGCCTCCCCGCGCCGGACGCCCTCGCCTCCGGGACCCGCCTCCCGCGGCACCCCCACCGGCGGCGGAGGAGGTCGGCGAGGAGGAAGAGGACGACGATGCCCCCCCGCTCAGGCTCCTCGAACCGCCCCAGGAGGACGACCCCTTCCCGCCCGAGGTGCTCAATCTCTTCCCGCCTAGTTGCTTCCGTTGCTCACATCTCTTCTGCTCGCGCGCATGCATGCATGATGAACAATGTCGTCGTGTGCAGATGGAGCCGGCCGACCCCGACTTCTACCGGATAGGGTACGCGCGGATGATGCGGGCGTACGGGGTTGAGTTCTTGGAAGGCCCCGATGGGATGGCCGTCTATGCCTCCCGGGACGTCGACCCACTCCGCAGAGCTAGAGTGAGCCTTTCTTTAACTATCCCATCATTATCTTTCCAATTCACTGCAATTGGACATAAGTACTATACTTACAAAGGGGCATTACAAATAGCATGTACAAGTACAATGTAGAGCCAGCCACAGCCAGTACTCACTCCACTCCAGTACATATATATGGTCTACATTCTGTGGTTGTTACTTTACCATTTACTGCTAGTTGGTTAGCGTATGTATGTCCTACTATCAGAACAAATATGAATTCTACTGAATAGTACGAAATGAAGTCAATCTTTGAATTTGTTAGGTACTTTACGCTTACATATCTTCTGCTGCCTTTTATAATGCTATGCAAATAATCAAATATGGTGTAAGGACTGCTCACATTCAGTTTCTGGATGCAACTAAAGCTTGCTAGTGCTTCACTTTAATATACCACATAGAACTGTTCTATTTCAGAAATCATGAGGCAGCTTGCTCGTGTGTTCACTACTTTTTAAGAACTAGTTAAGTTTAATCACACACTTATGCATAATCTTCTTGGCATATATATAAAAATTCATTTCACTTTATCAGGTGATTATGGAGATTCCATTGGAGCTGATGCTGACTATAACTCAAAAACGCCCTTGGATGTTTTTCCCCGACATTATTCCACTAGGCCATCCCATATTTGACATCATTGAATCAACAGATCCTGAGGTAAATGGAGCCCTCTAACCCTCTAATTATGGTATGTTCCAGTGAAGACTGTATGTGCATTCCAGAGTTTGTGTTTTTTAGTTTCTACAGAATCACTTATGAGGAACATTGTGTAATTAAGATTCAATAGCGCTTTGACTGCCCATTCCATCTACTATGAAAATAAGCTGTTATATTGGATAAAAGGGATGGTATTACTCAACACTTGCAACCTGTTTTCTTCCTTCATGCGGTGTCAAAGCTTCATAAGTGATGTAGACTGCATCCTAACGCAATCTGTACCCTCTTGCAGACAGATTGGGATCTAAGGTTAGCTTGCCTTCTTCTCTATGCATTTGATGTAGAAGACAACTTTTGGCAGCTATATGGTGATTTTTTGCCTAGTGTTGATGAATGCACTAGCTTGCTTTTGGCACCAAAGGTATTGTAAATCTAAACAAAATGAATTGTAGTCTTCTTAAACCTGACAATACAGTTTGAATGAATTTACATGCCTGGCTTGCCAGGACGATCTAATGGAACTAGAAGACCAAGATCTTGCCACGAAAATGTTAAAGAACCAGAAGAGAGCAATTGATTTTTGGCAAAAACATTGGGTACACTTCTGTACTATTTGATCAACTTCGCTGGCTTGGGTACATCTAACACTAGCTTGATGGGTAATGTCCAGCATAAAACAATCCCTCTAAAGCTAAAGCGTCTTGCCCCTGACCATGAAAGATTTCTATGGGCACTGAGTATTGTTCAGTCTCGCTCTGTCAATTTGAAACTGAGAATGGGAGCCTTCCTCCAAGATGCAAATGTCCTAGTGCCGTATGCTGGTACATGTTTTCTTATCTGTTCCCCTTTATGCTCTTTATTTTTATTTTCAGTGTGTATTAAGCACCGATTACTAAAATTAAGAATAAAATCACTTAGTTTCTTCAGCTTGCGATGATAATCAGATGTCTAACAGTCTAAGTCAAGGCTGCGGTCTGAGGGATCTTTTGCTCCATTTATTTTGAGCTGGCGAATGCTATAAAGGTTTTTATAATGTTATAGCGCTAATGTTACTTGCACAGTAAATCATAGTTACCAACTGATCCAAGATATTATATTTTCTAATATCAGCACTACTTCTGTATGGTTAAACTCTGTTGGAATAAGGATCTAACTAATATCTATTGTCATTTTTCACACCAATACTACGCTTTATTCCTTCTAGACGTTCTAGTCAGGCAGTATAGTTACATTGAATTACTTAATAATTATCACAAAGGCATGAAATTCAAAACTATACTGTTCTGATAATCAGCATATTCTAGCTTCTGATTACTGATACTGAGTCTCATCATAACTTATAGCTTGCCTATTTGTCTCCAGATATGCTGAATCATTCACCTGATGCTAATTGTTTCCTGCATTGGCGTTTCAAAGATCGTATGGTTGAAGTCATGATTAAGGCTGGGCATGCTGTCAAAAAAGGAGATGAGGTACTGTTTAGAGCTTAGAGTACAATTAGCTTCCTTGTGAGCAAAGAGCGACTAGTTTAATGTTATATTATAATTAAAAATTCCTTATTTGCATGGAAAGTTGCCAACTTTACTTAAATGCCATCCAAAATTTCAAACCAGTTTGATCATTTCATTCTATGGACCCAGTACAGATGACAATTGATTATATGAGTGGAGTGAACAGCTCATTTATGGAAAGATATGGTTTCTCATCACCAACGGTATGATCATGTGTTTGATTTTAATTCTTGCTTGTTCTTGCAAGCCACATCTGTCCTTTCCCACTTGGCAGGACTTAGCATTGAGGAATATTGTGTTGGGTATAAGTATAACTATATCTGCGAGATTATGGTTCTGCTTAAAGGAAACAACTCTAGCATCAAATATGTTGTGCTGCTATGCTAGATTGCTAGGCATGTTAATACGATACCATGCATTGAAACAACTACAGTGTCATTTTTTTTTTTAAAAAAAATGTGACTTCTTATATGGTTGTGTGCACACAACAAACACTACAGAATCCTTGGGAGCTTATAAACTTCTCGAGTGATGCCAAGATTCATCTTGACTCCTTCCTGTCGGTCTTCAACATTGCTGGCTTGCATGATGAGCTCTACCACAATGGTAGGAACTAGGAACACATGACCTTGCGAACCATTCTGCAACATGCCTTGATTCGGAACCTTTGATTTGAACTATCCAATGTGTTGCAGCTGCATTGACCTCAGGAGAAAACAACTTTGTTGATGGAGGAGTCGTGGCAGCAGCAAGAACTCTGCCGACATGGTCAGAAGGTGATGTTCCTGCCATACCAAGCTTGGAAAGAAAATCTGCTCAGGCATTACAAGAGGAATGCCATACGATGCTGGAGTCCTTTTCAACCACTATTCAACAAGACCAGGAGATTCTAGGTAAGGCCCATCAGGATCCCAAGTATTAATTTAGCCTTTTTCATAGTCCTTCCGAGAAATACATGCAAATGATTGGTCTGTAATGTGTTGCAGATTCTGATGGACATATCAGAAGAACACGTGAAATCGCAATCAAGTATGTGAACTAGCAAGTTGTTTTAGCCATTGCTCCCATGAAGTTTATGTTTGTTTGTACCACTTGCTTGTTAACACATTTTTTCTGTTGATATGCAGATATCGGCTACACCGGAAGCTGCTCCTGCAGAAAATCATCGATGCATTGGATATCTACCAGGATAAAATTTTGTTTTAGATAGCTGTATAGGCAACAACTAGTTGAGCTCCAGTGCTAGTTTGCTAAGCGCTGGAGTGTCTTTAGATGATTTTGTGAAGGGGGTTTCACTCACATCTGTAACAGTAGGGATTTCACCTCATTCTTTTAGATATTTCCACTTTGGTAGATAGCAGTATAGTGAAATAAAGACAGTGCCCATGAGGTAGTGTAGTTTCCAGCCAGTGACCTGCAGAAAATCAAGTAATCCCTCTGTTTCGAACTACTTGTGTTCTAGTTTTGTCCTAAGGTAAACATTTTAATATTTGACTATCAATTTCTATAAACTCATATAGTCAAAGATATGTTTGACTTAGGATAAACCTGTAACGGCAAGTAATTTGAGACGGAAAGAGTATGAACCGAAACAAACGAGTTTTGAAATGGAACAGAAGCCGTGTACCTGAAGGGACTGAAATGGAACAGAAATTGTGGTGTTATGCTTAGCTTGTCTGCGTGCTTGGCGGCGTGTCGGTGCCCAATCTCTGCAGTTGTGCAGCCTGCTTATACTTTGATCGCCATCTTATTGAGATTGGAGTGCATAGTTATATTGTCGCCATGTCGGCCTGATATCAGGGAAAAAACTTCTCTTTTCCCCGGAGATAAAAAAAGGGGGGCGACCCCAAACAAACAAGCAATGAAATGGGACACGCGTCAACGAGTGTCGATGAGCAGAACATGTGTTGGTACCCTTGTTAATGGCAGGCAGGCTTCAACGACAACCCAGCGATGAAATGGTCAGTGACACACTCACATGGCTCACTCAGCTAAGCTAACTACTCTTCTGTATCTGAATTCACACGAGCCCGGTCTCTACGCAGAAATTCCGACAAGATTGCTAAGCAGCTTGCTTCACTTCTACACCAAGAGATCCAGCATTACTACCTCTTCATCAGCCAAGCAGTAGTAGTAGCTGTTGTTTCTTTTTTAACATTAACATTACATTCATTGTGCATTAGTATCTGCAGTACGACACATTCCAGTGATCAAGTCAAGAACCAGAAGACAATCTCTAGTTACTACAATCAACATTGCTGCTACTCCTACCAAACCCTGCCCAGTGATCAAGTAACCTGCACTACATCTCGTTCATCATGTGGACCTGAACATGTGTGTGTGCAAACTGCAAAGCACCCACAGCTTGATTGGTTTCAGTCAGATCGCCATAGGACTGCAATTCTAGCGTGCAGAAGAATCCTGATTGGTTTCATCAATGGAGATGGCCAAGTGTCCAACACTGTTTAGTTCCAAACTTTTTCTTTGAACTTCCAACTTTTCCATCACATCAAAATTTTCCTACACACATAAACTTCTAACTTTTTCATCACATCGTTCCAATTTAACCAAGGCTATGTTTAGTTCACACTGAAGTTTGAAAGTTTGGTTGAAATTGGTACGATGTGATAGAAAAGTTGTGTGTGTATAAAAGGTTTGATATGATGGAAAATTGAAAGTTTAAAAAAAACTTTAGAACTAAACAGGGTCCAAACTTCTATTTTTGACGTGAACTAAACACACCCAAAAACATGGCAGCATTGCATTGGATTGGACTATCATCTCTCGAGACTCTGACGACCAAATCACGTCACGTTGTTGCATGCTAGTACTAGTATTTGCATTGCACAGCAGTCAGTCGACACCTGGAGGCTGGAGTATACCAGCCAATCCACTGAAAAAAGTGCAAGGCTTTCAGAACTGACGAAAACCACTCTGAAATCTATGGCTGGATCTTCTTCGATTCTCAGAGGAAAAATAAAGCTTTCCTTTTCTCTTTCTTTCTTACACTCACTACCAAGTTCGTGGGAAGTTGCGACAAGCACATTGCTGGACGACAGGTGCTTCAATCTTCAGCCACAAATGATGCAAAAAAACAAGTAAACAAGAGCGTGGCCGGTGCTTCTTTCTCCAAGAGATTCCTGTTACTGCTGTGCTGTGCATGAAATCTGCTGCAAAAGCAGCTACTCCTATTTCTGTAGGAGCAGTATTATACTACAGTAGGAGGTACTTGCTGCCTAAACAACATTAGCACAATCCTGACAGGTGGGCCCAATCTAAATCAGACAATCAAAATTATGAAATCATCTGCTACTTTTGCAGTTTCTCACCGACTATAAGTAGTTAGTGTGCAGCACACCTATGAAATCATCTGCTGAAGTTACAGCACACCTATGGTTTTGACAAAATTGTTGCTAATACAGAAACAGAAACATGCTTCAACATCACAGCAGCACAGAAATGGAAGCAAGACTGCATATCTGAGTAGAAATAAGAAAGAATGTTGGGCTATTTTTATTCATAAAAATGTCAGCAAGTAGTATATATGTATCAGCACCACAGACCCAGCAGAGGCATATGCAAAGAGACATCAACCACCTCCCTCATTATCTCCCTACCAATTACATTGTCTTTCTTCATCTATCTTCTCTCTACAATTGGCAACTAGCCCTGTACTTCTGTCCACTGCAAAGTGGCACCACCATCCCTCCATAGAATCAAATCTTCCAATTGGTTTCATGTTTTTGCTATATGGTATATGTACATGTAATGAAAAAAACCAATTCTGTCTGCAGCCTCTTATTTCTTTCTCTAACAACAAGCATGCCTGCATCTAAACAATGTCAGAACAGAAGCATTCTTTTTCTTGAGGAGTGGCCTATGGGCTGCAGCAAAAATGTGTCAAATGCATTATGAGGTGGCAGAACAGAATGTAAGAGATGAAAGAATTGCACAATGCAGGTTGGCCGAACGATGGATGGGTGGGAATAAGCAAATGAAGGAACCTAAATGATCCAAGAATAAGGTTGGAAGGATGAAGGATCAGAAAATAGATGCAACAGGTAACAAAGGAAAGATAGCCAATAGGAAACTACTTCGTGAATCAAGCTTTAGCTCATTATGCTCAGCGGAGAGTAACTATGCAGCTGGAGAAATGCTGTGGAGGCTGATTATAGAGAATAGTTTGTTGGTAAAATGTTGGTAGGTGACAGGGAATTATATGCATCAAAAAATATGAGTGCCACTAGTAAGACCTCCTCAAGAACTGGAGACAGCATAATGCTTGACTGAATAGCGCAAGATGTGTAAGCTGGGGCAGATCATCTCCTTCATTCTTGCACCGTCCTTGTATATCTTGAAGCTCGGGACTATGCGCACATTCTCCGCTCTTGCTACCATAGGACTCTCATCAACATTTACCTAAACAGTTTCGATACAGAGGGGATTGTATTAGCACCTTTGAAACTTCTATCAAATGCGATGCACATTGTAGAGAGAGAGAGAGAGAGATGTTAGGTGGATTACCTTCAGAAAATTCACTGAAGGGCACTCGGAGCAAAGAGAGTCCACGGATGGGGTTATCTGTTGACACTGCTGATTCATCGTTGCCATGAAGTAAACAACAGATACTCCTGAACAAATACCACATAAATTATGTTCAGGCTCATGCCGCCTTGTGAACTTCAAAACAATTAAATACATGCTGATATGCAAGATTTTGAAATTTTATCATGTAGTAAGTAGAAACCTAGTGAAGTGTGTCAATAAGAACAGTGATAGTTCTGATTACCCACAATACTAGAACGGCTATAGTTCAATGAGTAAATGCAAAAGACCATGACAGGACCTTGCGGTACAGCAGCAAAAATCTGTAGAAGAAAAGCTCACCAGGTGAATGTATAGCATCTCGGAGTTGCTCTATGCTGGTAATTGTCTCAACCTCTCCTCCAAACTTCATATTTGCTACCTCCTCCCCACGTGCTGTCTTCAGTGCAACTTGCGCATGGAACAATGCTTCCGCAACCTCCGTGTCGTTAGGAAGCTCCTTGCGTAGCACCTCATAGTCCCGCACACAATCGGCCCAGCGCTCAAGCTAATTGAGTGTTAACAGGGAGATATCAACACCACAATGCGCAAATAATCAGAAATACAATGATACATGTATCGCTTACCTTTGCATAGGATGCTGCACGTCTTAAGAGAGCCTTCGTGTAACCAGGATGGACTTTGAGGGCCTCATTGCAATCTTCAACAGCTTTCATCCACCGACCTAACTTTGACCAACAAGCTGCTCGATTGCAGTACAGTACTGGATTTGAGGGCTCATATTTGAGCCCTTCACCATAAGCTAAGGATGCCTCAGCAAACTTGCCTGCCTTAAAAAGCTCATTTCCCTGTCCTCGAGCTTGTGCAACTAATCTTATGTTGTTTGTAATCCTTCCAACTTCTGTATTTCCAGGATCAATAACCCTAGCCTTCTCAGCCATGGTAACAGCTATGTCAAACCTGCAGGAATAAACCTCAGTGCTAGTTTTGCTACGGACCACGAAAACAAATCATAATTATCAAGATGAGAATCATACACACCTTCCAAAAGCCATGTTGACCTGGGCTTCGACAACATGAACATATGAATCAGCAACCATGCCCGATAGTTTAGTTGACATTGAAGATAGCGATGCAATGTCCAGTTTTGACAAGCTTGTAATAGTCGAATCGGCCTCCTCTAGTTTGTTGAGACGGAGAAGTGCTTCAGACCGTAAGGCAAGAAGCTGCAACCATAATTCGATTCCATGTTCATTGACTGAGTTTTAACACTGGCCACAAAACAACAATGCCTACAGGACAACAAAGATATAAGCTGGAAGGGGATATTACCAACTGAGAGGAATCCGCTCCATTGGCAATGGCAGCATCTGCTTCCCTTAGCGCACTCTTCCAGTCTCCAGTTTTCCTCGCATCCATGCATCGCCCCAGATGTCTTTCCACCTCTTGGAGCCTCTGAAACTCAGCTGGGTCTGACTGATTTACTTGCCCAGCTAACATGAAGTGCTCCCTTGCCCTCTCAACCATTCCAAACCTGCATGCAGCCGTCATGGTGCAATTTTCAGTGACAAAATCAAACAGCTACTGCCCATAAATTGATTGAACGTTAGCACTGAATAGATTAGGACCACCACTGACTCCCCTGTACTACGGTCTAAATACAATGTACAATACAGGTAAGCACTCACTCTCAACTACATTGTTTTGATGCGAATCATATTAAGAGCACATTGATTAACTTCAGCATACCAACCAAAGAGGCAAAGATACAAACATTTCCAGACCTCCCAGTCTCACCACACAATTGCTAGCCAACTTCAGTTTAAAAAAAAAAAAACTTCTCAGTAACTTCAAGATCAAACTTTTACTTCCAAAACAAGTAAATTTGTTACTGGTGATGATCAGCAAAGGCAAAGCTACTGATCATCTCAAATCAAACAAACAAGAAGACAAGAGAAACGGTAGGTATACGGAGCAGCATATATCGGTAACAATTCCCTGTTCTATTGACCCACAAGTTATGTCAGGCACTAATGCATAAGCAAAGACGAAAGCATCAAAGATCGGAGATGTCAAGGCGAGATCTGTGAATCCGTTTGGGGCTGTGGAGCACACGAATCTGCGAACGCGCAAGGGCGAAAGAATCTCACCGGAGGCAGAGCGCGGCGAGGCGGCTGTGCGCGCGGCCGCTCGCCGGGTCACGGCGGATGGCCTCCTCGCACTCGCGGAGCGCTTCGGCGAGGCGGCCGAGGCCGATGAGCGCGGCGGCGCGGTTGCTGCGGCACGCGGCGCTGTCCGGGCACAGCGCCACCGCCTGGTCGTAGTGCCGCAGCGCCTCGCCGTAATGGCCCTTCTTGTACCACTCGTTCCCGGCCCTGGTCACCTCCTGGAGACCCCCGCTGCTGCCCTGCGGCGCCGGCGACCTCGAGTAGCTGCCGTGGTACGGACTGGCGTCAATGCTGCTTCTAGGGGGAGTCATGCCGCCGCCGCCTCTCATGATGCTGCCGTGGCCATAGTGCCCCGTGCCGGATCCAAGCACGTCGGGACGGGCGCGTCGGGGCGGCGCAGGCGCCGCGCTCGCGACGCGGCCGGACGGGCAGATGTTACCGGTAGGCAGCGCATTGGTCAGCGGCGAGCTCGCCGTGCTCCCGCCGCCGCAGCCTCCTCCTCCTCCTCCGCTCCCGGCGCTGCTGCTCCCGCCGGAGAATATCAGAGGCCCAGATCCGGAGCGGCGGTGCCCTGGCGGCCGCGGCGGGTTCCCCTCCGCCACCAGCTCGCCTGAGTGGCTCCCCCGGCCTCCTCCTCCTCCCCTACCCACCCCCGCCCCAGCATTGCACAGCGCGGGCGACTTGGCCGAGCCAGCGGACGAGGAGGACGACGACGGCGTGGCCGCGGCGCCGCCAGGCCGCAGCCGCAGCGGCGACACCGGCGAGCCAAGATCCGCGAAGACGTCACGCTTGGTGTCCGGCTTGTCCCTCCCGGCGGCAGCATCGTCGAGCGCCAGCGCCGCGGCGCGGATGCTTAGCCGGTCAGCTCCCGACATCGCCGGGACAGTCACCACCGCTGACTAAGCGCGGCCGCCACCGCCACCAGCAGCTCACTCGCTGACCAATCAGGCATGCAACTGCTTGCTCTCTCTCTCGACAAGAAAGATCACAGATGATGGTAGAGAAGCCTAGCTAGGTGCCGGTGGGTGGTGTCCAACTCCAACTCCAACTCCAAAGACGAAGCAGCGTTGGATGGAGGGGAGAGGAGAGTGGAGGAGGAAGAAGAAGGAAGAAGTGAGGAGGAAGGAAAGGAATAGAAAGAAAGAAGAAGAAGAAGAAGAAGAAGAAGAGGAGGGAGGTTGATGCCCCAAGTTAAAGCCTACTCTCACTCTCGCTCACTACAAGTCACTAGTCACTAGGGATTAATATAATACTAGGAGTGTAATTATTTTTCCTATACATATATATATATATATATGCATGTATAATAAATACCAAGTATATTGTTGTTTTAATAAGAAAATAAAATGACAACTCATGCTCTTCTTTGGTGCTTGTAGGAAAAAAAAGTTCTGGTAGTGGACATTTTTGGTGATTTTCATACTTAAATTTAAACTATTGGCATTCCTTTTTTTTTTGAAAAAGAACATTTTTTCTTTGAATTTATTGAGTGATTTTGGGTTGTGATCTGTATTCTGACTTCACGAGTTGGCCAGTTGCCAGTGGTGGCCTGTGGGGGTGTGGGCCCACCCCAGAAAAACATGGATGGAGGGGGTATTCCATTCCATCCTTTTGGTCCAACCTAGCCAGCAGAAACAGCCCATTTCTTTTGTTTTTTTGTCCTACATAAATGTGCATATATATCACTTGTTTTGCTCATGTTTCCACCCTGATTAGGGTGTTGCTGGCACCATTTTGTCATATCCATCTCTGCTTAAACCAGCACTGAATTACTTACCATTAATTGATGGATCATCATCAGCAGCAGCAGCAATAATCTACCTAACAAGCATATCTAGCAGATGACACATTCCTGAAATTGGAGTGTAGCATGTAATTCCACATAGATTCAGACAGCTCTGCTAATTTGCTCCCATTCCAATTTGTGATCGAACGATTCTGAAGCTAATTTGCATGGCCACGATTGCTAGCTAGCACTCGTATGCTGCTGAAGCCATCAACTGGCAGTACACGGACCACACTATGCGTCTAGCTTAGCTGAATTTCCTTGTCATGAGATGGACACAGATAGATAGATGCATCCATGGATCGACGCTGGATAGAATGATAGATCGCCGTAGATCGACCGATCGATCGAACGAGTAAGTGGTCACTATCAATGATCGAATTGGGGGTTTGGATCCTAGCTCTAAAGTCTCTGTACTCCATGTGAACTAACAGCACCATATGCATCTCTGAATTTTTCTCTTTTGCAGTTTTGCAAATGCAGATTTTATCAGCTAAATCATATCATTCATGCATGCATGGTCACACGCATACGGCCGGTAAAGAAGATAAGACCGTACGTATACGTATGTTATATAGTTGTTGGTAGTGGACATTATATTGCAGTAGTTAATCTGAAGCTGCTTGAAATGCAAGCTTTAGGTGGTTGAACATGCACTGCATTCAGCCGATGATCATTGATTAGAACACGTTTCACAGTATTAGCAATGATCCATCCGGTCGAGTTGAATTTGCATTGGGCGCTTGGCAGTTGGGGTTAGTGAATAGTTACAAATGTATTAACTAATACCTTGGCTTTTCTGACAAAGCCAGCACATTATCAATATCATGATCTTTACTCTGAAAAAGTTACAAATATATAAAACTGAAGGATATGCATTTAATCATGTATGCGCGTCTTTCATGTAAACTGAGAAATATGGCAGGCGCCAGGTAGCAATAGATTGAGATGGAGGGAGGTAGCTTTGAAGGTAATGGGCCAACAAGGCCCAATGTAGATAAACATGCAGGTCCTGGGAGGGTGTGGAGCCCACTGGTCCAATTAGCAGCCATTCCTTCTCTGATGCTCCCTGTAAGCATGTGTTTTGTCGTCAGGAGACAGCCTAATTCTTTGGTTTTGGTCGGTTGTTACTGTGCACGCATTCCCTCCTCGCCTCATTACATTTAGTCTCATCAGATCACCACCGATGACAATGAAATGCAAATGCTGTTTCCTAATCATCTTACTCTTAGCTAACTACTACTCTTAAAATCAAATCTTAATTACTAGTACAGAGATAGATAGATAGATAGATGATAGATCACAAATGTCTCAAGGGGCAAGAGCCAAGGGCCCTTTCTTAACAGGAAAACAACACCACTTTCAGATTTGGAGATCTAGAGGAATATTTCAGAAAAAAAAAAGGCAGGCTTAGCTAGCTGGTACTACATGTGCCATCCTGCAGACACTTGAAGCCAAGTTTCTTGCTTTCCATGCATCTCAATAATGTTGCCATACACAGATGATTAACTGCTCATTAAACTAAGACTCGTGTGTTTAAACTATGTACCTCACTTTGCATATATACATGTCATGTATATATAGTGCCTGCGGGTTAACTGTATTATTGATAACTGGTAAGAAACAGACAGTACTAATTTCAGCATTTGTTTGTTAACATTTTCTAACATTTAGAAGTAGTTGAGAGCCCCTCAGCTGGTGGTGATTGACCAGTTCAGGTTCATGGGATTCAACAAGAAACATGCGCTTTCTAAATTGCCAAGCTGTGTGTGTATTTGATTTGATTGCCCCTATGAATAAATTAGTTTTTGCACAGTTGGGATTCAGTTTGAGTGCAAGCAACATACTAGTGACTAGTGAGTGGATTAGTAGTATTTGGCACAATCCATGCATGTTTGCAAGATTTGAGAGGCTTTTAACAAATGGATTTGAACACAGGAGGCCATGTGATGCTTGTCAGGTCCAATTAGACACCAGGCAGGAGGATAAGTAACTACAGCCTCATCTTGTGCCCCTTTGCCAGAAACCAGGTCCAATTAGATAGATTCCTTTGCACTGTTCAATCAAAACTAGCTTGACCAAATGTGTTGTATATACTCTTTTATTTCTTAATTATTAAACCATGAGAAAGCAAGTAAACGTGTACATACTAAACACCAGATTTAGTTTGATAATTTGTTTGTCAAGGACTCTGTTTGCTGGTCACTGATCTAAGAGCACAGTATTGTTTTTCTAGTATCTTTTTGTGTTAAAGTTCAGTCTTCAGTGTATTCAAGCTGAAGCGTTTTATGTTACTAATATGTTCAGTCTTCATTGGTCAGAGCAAAAGATGAAGCCCCTTATTACCTTAATCATTGCATATTATCACTTTATAAGATTCTTGCAGTATGAAACTCTGGCATTTGCAGTTTTTGGTGCTGCAAAAGAAAATTTAGTACTAGTTGACAGATAAATGATGACTGAAGAACTGATCAAAGCTACAGGTTCAGAATTCAGTGAGTGCGGTTTGACCTGGTTTTTAGTCCTGAGGAAAACTATAACTGTGTGTTCATTGAATTCACAGTCAGGCAAGAACAATGAAGGAGCTTGGATAAAAAAAACAACACACTAAAACTTGCCAGGCTGTTTGACCTAGTTTAGTCCTGGAAAAATCTATACACTCTCAAGAATCAAGATACACACACCCCACCACTAGAAGCTGTCAATGCAAGCAAGTTAAGCATTGGACAGTGTCAGCAGGAGGAGCAGCTAGCTAGCGAAGCATGTGAGTTTGACACCAAAACATAAATGTTAATGAGGAACAATTCTTTGAACCCTAGAGAGAGGATGGAGAAAAGTAGATGAAATGCACACCTGTCCAACTTAATACAGATCACTCTCCACCTGTGACTGCACAATATTTATTCTGCTCAGATGCTATCACAACTTTGAGAGAGAGCCACAAGCTAATAAAGGCCATAAATAATTAGCATAGGATACACCCATCCACATTGCTTCCAACTCAAGACCTGCTTGTACTTTGTGATCTGTGATGCTCCAACCACCTTATAGATAGATAGATAGATATATAGCCTCGTTCTTCCTTCCTCGCTGACCTCATGTGACACCAGCATTGCCTTGCATTGCATTGGATTGCAAGTACTACTCTAGTTTTCTTAATACACTTGCCTCAAGATGAAGGGTCAATTGATTATTTATTTACCATGAGCCCTCAAGATCCTAAACACAAAGAATTGTTATTGTTATCCTTTAGTTGTCACTGTCAGTTGATTTGGTCTCAGGAGTTGTGCAAGGAAGGGGATCCAATGAAACATCAATTAGAGGATTAGCTCATTCAGGGGAGATCAACCAGAAGTGGCATGCATATGTGTGCATTTTATATATCTGCAGCTAGTAGGATGGTAGTATGTATATATACTCTGTCTTGCAGCAAGACCAAAAGAAATTAAACTAATTAATCAGACAGGAGCTAGCGTAATGATTACTCCTAAGAAAAACTGAAACAGATAAACATCCATGAGCTGCATGCAGTTCAGTGGTTGTTCATTTAGTGGATTTAGTATCTGCATTGTTAGAATGTCTTTGCTGAAATATATTAAACCGAATTAAGCTGATGAAGGTACGTAGGATCAGTTTGATGCAATGGTGATTAAAAGAGCCCAAATAAATAAAGAAATTTATGGGCCATTGCCGCAACAAGACAACAGTGCAACTTTTCAGCTAGCATCCATCGGTCGATCGATCTCATTGGGAAAATATGGGCAAACATACATGAACCCCAACCACTAAAATTGAAGGCTTGCTCATGGCAACTACTCTCCTCCATTGGACTGATCTATCTATCTCTCTTTGACATGTGCATTGTAAAGTGATTCCTATCGAAAGCTGGAAGCCTGCCTGAACGACTTTTCCTAGATCTAAGAATGATCACTACTCACAAAGGAATAGGACATGACATGTTCCTTTTTAACTGAAATGCTTTTCTTTCTTTCATTTCATCTCTCTTTTCCTTTCAGATTTCCATCCAAATGTGTACAGGAGGAACAAGACAATGCAGGGTAGCCTGGTGCCATATATTGGCAATTAACACATCATCAATCAGCATTAATAATTCAGAAACCAACAGCGACGGCAGAGAAGAACTGAAGCAGATTTTACTGCTGTGGTGTATCCGTAACTGAAGAATTGAAGGCGCCGCGTTTTGATGCATGGCCAGGTGTGGTGAGAGCATCATCGTGAGTCTTGGAGAGAGGTAGCATTAGCAATGGCCGCTGTGCACTCCTCAGCCACGTGAGGTGGGGCTCCATCGCACGTGCTCCACGCATATGTATCGATCGATCGATGAATCATGGCTACTGCTTGGTATTGAAGTCTGATCGATCAACTGCATATGCTGCAGAGCTAGCTAGACGAATAGACGATCAGGAGGAGGATAGGGTTAGAGAGAAGCAGACGAACAATTTTCCCTTTTCATGGGATCCCCTGCCTGCCTTATCTGAATTTCTCTGAATTCCTTGGCTCTCCTGTCCTGCATCTATCTGCAACAAGGACTCCATAGATCTCTCGTGCTACAGCACTAGAGCAGGCAGGCAGGAGTTGTGCTGAAATTGATGCAGGTCAGGTCGTCGTAAGACTGCATGCATGCATGCATTGACGCGCGTCGCTCCAAGCTGCAGTGACAGTGAGCCAGAAGCGCTGGTAGAAAGATAATAAGGCCTCCTAAACAAAAAACATTTCAGCCTGTCACACTTTGAACCGTTTGGACACATTTATAGAATATTGAATATAGATAAAAAAAACTAATCATACGGATTACGTGTGAATTGTGAGAAGAATTTTTTAAATCTAATTGCACCATGATTTGATAATGTTGTGCTAAAGTAAATATTTGTTAATAACGGATTAATTATGCTTCATAAATTTGTCTCGCGGTTATGCTTCATAAATTTGTCTCGCGGTTTTATTATTAGACTATGTTTTATACTTTAAATGGGTGTCCATATATCTAATGTGACACACAAAAACTTTTCGCCCCTAAACTAAATAGGGCCTAAGGCAATACATAGGGCATGTTTAGTTGGTGAAATGAAATTTTGTGGGTATCACATCGGATATTTGACCGGATGTCGGAAGGGGTTTTCGGACATGAATAAAAAAACTAATTTCATAACTCGCCTGGAAACCGCGAGACGAATCTTTTTTGTCTAATTAATCCGTCATTAGCACATGTGGATTACTGTAGCACTTATGGCTAATCATGGCCTAATTAGGCTCAAATGATTCGTCTCGCAATTTACATGCAAACTGTGCAATTAGTTTTTCTTTTTATCTATATTTAATGCTCCATATATGTGTCTAAAGATTTTATGTGATTTTTTGGAACTAAACAGGCCCATAATAATAGTAAATGGATGGATCGGAGGAGGAAGAAGAAGACAGAGTGACAGACTGAAGAGGAGTGAAAATTAAGTGGCCCTGCCTGTTAACTTGGAGGAATAAGCAAGTTGCCATATGCAACTTGTATCATATGTACTGTAGGCATACTGTAGCATGGTCAAAAAGAAGTCGAGATTTTGCTGCCCTGGGAACGAATTGAAGCTGCTGTGATACAGTGAAAGCCGATCAAGGGTGCAGCTTTGCATGCAGCACAGTGTTGTCATATACTATATGTGGCCGATCGATGATCAGCCGGGCCTAGCTAAATATAGCTAGCTTGTTTGATCGATCGATCGATCGAATCGTCCTCATCCCTCCGTGTCGAATGCATATGCATCGTGAATTATTTCTGGACTGCTCATCACATTCTCATGTCTCCAGCCAGCAGCGTCGCCATCCCTGCATGCCCTCTCCTCTCTATCATATGATATTCCCTCCGTCCAAAAAAAAAGACAAACCCTGAGTTTCCATGTCAAATTTTAACTGTCCGTCTTATATGAAATTTTATTATAATTCATATTTTCATTGTTGTTGGTAGATGATAAAACATGATTAATATTTTATGCGTGACTTGTCTTTTTAATTTTTTTTATGATTTTTTCAAATAAGACGGATGGCGTTGGACACGGAAACCATGATTTGTCTTTTTTTTGGACGAAGGGAGTAGAGCAGAAGAACAAGTATATCTTTTATATCAGGCACGTGAGGCCCGGCCGGCGACCAGTGGGCGCGCCTGATTGATTTCTCCATGCATCATGCACAGTAGCTGCATGTCATATGCCGTGCCACTGATGCCATCAACCTGTGACGAGACGACTGACTGACAAAATGGCTACAGTACGAGAGTAGGAGTAGATTGCTTCTTGCTTAATTAGCTCGGGTGGTTAGCTAGCTAGCTAGCTCACCGGCAGCCGGCCAGCCGGCGTGCCGTTTGTCGTCGACGACAGAGGCGACGACCTACGCCGTCGTGGCTGGATAAATCCTTCAAAGTATAGATGATCTAGTTGGAATATAGAATTAGGAACTCCCCCGGTAAACGGAGTAGTCTATTTGTATTGATTAATTAAGTATTAGCTATTTTTTCTTAAAAAAATAAATATGAATTTTTTAAAGTAACTTTCGCATATAATTCTTTTTCTTTTAAAAAAAATACAGTGTTTAACAATTTGAGAGTGAAAATAAGAGAAGTGTGTTGGGAAAGCCTTCAAACGAAGGCAACAATAATATATATTTCCTCCATAAAAAAATAATCGGGTTGTTTTATATGGAGTCATATTCTCATATTCTCACCTAGGTTTTTTTAAATGACAAAGGAAGTATGTTGATGAACACGCATCATCTTCTTCTTCCAGTATGGATGGAATGAAACGGAAACGGATATATGCATGGCTGATGGAGACGGCCAACCATTCGGCCGGTCTGAAAACGTGGCCGGATGGACGTCTCCGATGGAGCCATGCAATGCTTATCCAAAACTGTTTTTGTTGGCTTGTCTAATTACAGTTCGTACGCTGTAACGTTTTGCTCATCACCTCTTAGCGGCCGGCTGCCCATGATGAATTGACCGCCATCTCCATCGCCGAATGCCCGGCGTTTGCATCAATATATTACTGCTGCTACTCCTTTTTTTTTCTTGAATAAATGACATTATTGACTTAGGATCGTCTCACATGCATTGACCATAAATGTACTTTTAAATGATTGATTAATAGAAATTGTATATATGAATATGATTATATTTACGACGGCACACAATTTACAACATATTTTCAAGTATTTGTATTTTTTTTTGAAAAAAAAACACAAGCAGTCAAAGTTAAATTTTAATAGTGTAGTGTCAATTATTCGACAAACGGCTACTTTCTTTTGACCTGCGGCGACGTGATATCTCTGATTAGGCCAGTTCACATGCATGGGTTCCGGGCACTACTGTTCGCTTCATGATTTTCATTACTCAAGAATGAACACTAGGCTGTTTGGTTGTCTTGTACTGTTGTTGGAAGTGTATGCTAGCTCTAGCAATAGGTTGTTTGGTTGTCTTGTTGCATTGCATTTGCATGGATAGAAATTAAGCTGACCATTTCAATCAACACTATAGTATTAAGACCATACTACAAAGGCATGATCGATGTAGTTGTGTACCTGAGCCAGCTGCCTTGAACATGAATAAAAACTACTCCCTCCTTCCCATAACCCATAATATAAGGAATTTTCAGTTTTTGCTTGCAACGTTTGACCACTCATCTTATTTAATTTTTTTTTACAAATATAAAAAACGAAAAGTTATGCTTAAAGTACTATAGATAATAAAGTAAGTCACAAATAAAATAATTAATAATTTCAAAAAAATTTAAATAAGACAAGTGATCAAACGTTGCAAGAAAAAAAACTTAAAATCCCCTTATATTATAGGACGGAGGGAGTATCACTGGTTGGCTGTGGTTGGCTGCAGTACTCGCACCAACATGGGTATCCTGCCCTTTCCCATGATGATCGTCAGATATATCCTGCGGACGAGTGAAGTCCAGCTTGCCCATCTTCTTCGTGTCCATTCTTCTGGTGCTCATCAAACTGGCATTAAACTAGAGGAGTCCTGCTCCTGCATGCTACAAAATTCAGTGCCACCAAAATGGCTTCAGTAAAGTGGCACAGTACGGTATTGTGCTCCAGTGCTTATCTAAGCCACAGAAAATGCTACTACTAGTATTGCTCAGTTGCTGGCAACAATTCAGAACAATGTCAAACAAGATGTGCAATATGGCCAAAGGAATGAAAAATAATAATTACTACCCTAGTTCTAATGATTTCTTACAGTACACTAATCACAAGGACGAAACAAAATGGATAAGGAAAGCTTTGTCATCTCAGCATATATAGCCCATCACCCTTGGGAACCCCAGCTTGTGAATCTTCTGAATAATGAAGTCAACACAATGCAAAAGAATTACCTTATCTTTGTAAGTGCAACTTTACAAGAAATGAAAAACGAGCCAAGCACTTCCAATAAATATCAATCAGGTAAGATTTTTTTAGGTTCTCTAAGTCAAACAGAAGACACAGCAAAACAAGAGCATCTTTACATTCCAAAACGACACTCCCCTCAACCATACCGAGCTAAATGGAGGCACATCGCATAACTTTGCTTGCAAATCAGAAACCTGTACAACACGTACGTGTCAAGTTCATCATTAGTTCAGCTACCTAGGCCTATCAATTGGGAAAAGAGGGACCCTTTCAGCACAAGCAACAAAGGAGAAAAACTGAAGAAAGCGAATCAACCTAACAACACAGAAATGAAGATAGCCAAACATCCTGCAAAGATCCTAGCAAGATGTTCCATGTGCTGAGACCTTCTCCAGAAAATCCGTGGCCTAATGTGAAGCAGAACTCCACCCCTTCTGCTCCATGACTAACTTAATTAAAAACTTTCAGAAGATCCTACAAGATGTTGGGAACTTGTGCAGAGAGCTTTTCTTGCAATTCTCTGATCTTCCCACAGAGCTCTAGCTTCTGCTCCTTGTAGCTCTGAATCAGGAAATCCTTTCCTTCAATAACTTCCTTCAGATCACAGACCTCCCGCTTGAGCATTTCCACCTTCTCTACCTCTCCCTTCCTTTTCTCAATACCAATATAATGCAGCTCAGGGTCATCAACACTGCTATCAGCATAGCCATTAGCATGCCCATTGGTAGCATCTGATTGCCAATGTCCAGCTTGCAAAGGCTTATCATGAGAGAGTGCTTCCGCAACACAATGGTCTGCAATGATCTTCCTTAGATGCTGAATCTCTCTCTCAGATTCAAAAAGCTCTCGGCTAGCAGCATCCAACTGAGACTGCAAATTGGTGGTCTGCGTCACCTGGACAACAAGAGAGTTCTTAAGATCAACAATCTGAGCTTGCATCTCCGCAATCATCTCATCACGTCTCTTCAGCTGCTGCCTCAGCTTCTGTATAACCTCTCTCTTGTTATAGATGTCAGAACCTGATTCTGAAAAACAGGGAGAGCCAGAACTGTTCGAGTACTGAAATGGTTTACGAGGATCTTCGAGCCGATCAGGTGATGATGTCCACATGACACCACTGTTCTCTTTGCTTGATTCTGGCCCTGGTATCTCCACAAGAAGAAGAGGGGAGAGGTCAGTTGATTTTGGTAGAGGACTCCCAGGAGCCTGCCTGATTTCCACTCCATCTGCAACCGCTGCATACGATAAACCAGCAATAAATATTTCCACCACAAAGGAATAAAGATAAATAGAATTCAAAAGCCAAATTAAGGTATGAAAAGTCTTATACAACTTAGTATGTAAGCGCGCAATACTGGCATGGTCGAAGGCTCCAAGTAATAGCAAATGGACCACAAAGATGTAATCGTGATATGGACAAATATTAAACCCATCCAAAGTTACTAATTGGAATATAGGACATAAATGCAACAGTCTAATAATCATAATCTTTTTCTTCCTTTGTAGATTCCATTGCACAATAAGGAACTTGAACATGAGGTGATAACAATTAACACATTTGACTCTACCCATTCAATCATAGAAAACACTCAGGTATCATCTATTTTGATTCTACCCTCAAATAAAAAGGCGTGTTGTTTACAGGACTATGCACTGAAGATTGAAGAATGAACATAACCAAAAGATATATCAACTTACAAGCAATCAAATATGTGCAGATAAAAAGCAGGCCAAATTTATTAGATATTAGGCCAGACTTTGTATCATTTGGTGTTGAAACTCAGCAAACATTCAGAAGGTTCTAGGTCTGAGTTTCTTATAGAAAAATATGCATCACGTTACCAACTGTAGTAAGTCAGAAACTTAACATACTGAGATTGATGTATGGTCAAGTATAGACATATTCGTATCAAGTATCAACTGGCACTGCAAATAGCATAGTATATGTTTGGATTAGGAAGCTAGCGTATTAGTATGTACTCTCAAATATTTTTTGGGAGAAAAATTGCTGACCATACAGCATTGCAATTATGTTCATAAAAATCTCCCCACTCAAAAAATTTAATCCACCGAGGATAATGGATTCTATATGGTGATTAAAGGGCAGGCTATTCTACTGTGGATAACTATTGACCTGAAATTTTTGGAATCCTAGATAGTCCATATTACAGTTACATATCCTTAGCTCTAAATTTAGTGTCACTTGAAAATTACACACCAAATAACCTGTATTATTCACTGATAAGCGTGACAGAGGCAAAAGAACAGGCTATGTTACAGAAAGGCACCTGACATACAACAGTAGCAGCTTGTTTGGTCATTAAACCGGTAGAGATTCGAGTGCAGATCACATGCCCCAGGCCTTCTTTTTACTGCAATTTTGCAGAGTCAGCAGCACACATAAAGAATATGGACAAAGCGGTCAATGTTACAGCTGTAAATGGGCACATTAAACCTTTGGGCATACTGTTTTGCTTCTTTGCATCGAACATTTGCTTTAATTTGCACCCAAGTCTGACTGACAGTGTGCTAAGTAAAACTCCTCCTGCAACAAGAACCCAGTTTGGTCTGCCTCTTTGGGAGTGATCAACTTTTCCTGCCTTCTGAATGCTCCCATTTTCCTTAGACTTCATCCTAAGATAAAACCAGTTTCTTCAGCCAATTGTACAAAGATACTGGCTTGACCTATATAGGCAGTACAACAATGTATTAAGTGCTAATGCTGCAGTTCCCATACTGACTTAGCAAAATACTACCTCCGTCCCATAATATAAGGGATTTTGGCTATGCAAGCAATTCTATAGCCAAAATCCCTTATATTAAAAAAGACTTGTTTTGCCAATACAATTATGCAACATAAGATTTGAAGCACCTTTTCTAAGAGGGGAACCATACAACCTTAGTGGATGGGTCGGCTACACACATGACAGATACATTTTACTTTGGAAATCCAAATGCTAAAGCTAAATGCATAGGAGTTATTCTTAGTTATATACAGAAAATGGAGGAAGTTGTGTTGCCGTATTAACCCTTGATAATACTCAACTTTGAGTAAATTGACTTTCGATTGAACAAGGCACAGGGCGATTTAGGATCCTATTTAGGTCAATTGGTGAAACATCACCACAACATCCATGATGGCTGGAGGATGGAGCAACAACAATCGATCATATCAAAGGACCACACAATTTACACAAGTTAAACTAGTGAAAGTCGCACCTGCTACAATCATGGTCAATCAATTCACCAATTCCTTCAATCGGAATCGGCAGTGGTACTAGATCATTATGAGTAGAATCCTACCCCGCAATCAAATCCCCACGCCCCTCCGCTGCTCGTAGCCATTAAAATATCGCGAAAAATGGGTTTGGTTTACCCGAATGGATCTGAGGAAGTGACCAAGCGATGTTCTCACCCACCACCAGTCACCAGTCAGTCGCGCACGTCCCCTCCGGCGAGTCGGGCGGCTCGCCCGCGGTCTCCAACGGCGGCCGGCAACCTCTGCCCACCGCGCGGCGCCGTTCCGCCTCCCGCTGCGCTCTCCCCGTGGCGGAGGCCGGTGGATGCGCCTCCAAGGGGAGCGTGGGTTGGGGGGTGGGGGGCGTTGGGCGTGATGGGCCGGATGTCTCTAGGCCCAATAGTCCAATGGACAATACTCAGTACGTGTTATGGGCCGTCATAATGGGCGGGCTGTTGCCACTAATCACATACTTAATGGACTGTCATGTTCTTAACAGGCCTAGATGGGCTATGATAGCGCATTTGTAATCATATGCGAGGCTAGTTTTAAATTGATGAAATTTCATATTAACACCATATTAGTAACATGCTTAGGAGATATGCATACATATGTTGAGATTATAGACATATAATGATTTAATCTATTCCATAAATAAATCATGACATTACAGATGAAAACTAGCATGAACGCATCATTAGATCTACACATGTAAACTACACAGTATAACATGAACAGATCAAATATGCGCAACATATTGAACACGTACCAAGGTGACGAAAAGACCGGCTGCTTGGTCGAAACTTTTCGCAGGTGTCTACGAAGGCACGAAACACGCGAGCGAAGAGGAAGGCGAGCCGTCGCGAACGAACAGGGAGCAGTCGCGCGAAGCGCTTCCCAAAAACCTTATTGCCGCCTTCTCCCGGTGCAGGACGTCAAAGACAGAGGTTCCGGAGACCTGCTCTCCCGATCGCTGGTGCACGCCGGCGAGCGGGATGGAGTAGTCTACGAGCGACGGCGCAGTACAGAGTAGGAGGCAAACCCTAGATTGATTTTGCGTGTGCTGCGTGAAGACGGCAGGTCGGTTTATATAGAGAAGGGTCGCTTGATCAGGGCGCCCGCACGATCTCTACTGCGCGTAACCGAACCGGATAAGTCGCGCGTAACTTATCCGGACTCCACGCCGTTTGCACGCACCGGATTTTTCGGAACGTTTCCAAAACAAAAACGAATCCGAATTTGCAGCAAAACAAAACTGCAAAAGGAGGCTGCATCTGCGCAAGGGTGAGGAGCCAATTTTTCGGACCATTCGACGCGTACGTCGTGCACGCGCGCCGCCTGCCCTGCCCTGCCCTGCCCTGCCAGGCCAGGCGAGGCGAGGCGAGCGAGCGCGCGCGTGTGTTTCCCCTCTTCTCTCCACCACACATGCTTCAAGTGACTAGGAGGGCATCCTCCCTTTTAATAAGGTCCCCCTCTCCTAGAATAAGCAAGGTGGTACTAAACTCCACATGCATGCCATCCCATGAGGTGGGCTTTTGTGATTTTCCAAAGAATTAATCTTCGAGTGGGCTAAGGCCCATTCATTAATTCCAACAATCCCCCACCAAATCTCAAAATCCCACTGAGATTTGCCTTTTCCAATGTACTGTTTATATACCAGCGGTTCGATGGAGACCAATTAAGGTTGAACATCCACCTAGAATTCCAAGCTACACTTACTCACAACTTGAACAATGGACTACGCCTTGAATTGCAAGTCTTGTGCAAGCAAGTTTCACTCAAAGTCTTATCTGGTACTAGACCGTCTGTAGACTACCCCTCGGGTAGAGCGTATAAGTCATACTCCTAGGTCTTTAGTAAGCTTCCTAGAAGATTCACCCAAAATCTTCATAGACTGCGACCAACAGTCAAGCTCACAAAGGTGAGTTCTTTCAAGAATGCTCTGCAGGACAACATCTTTGCTAATTAAAGTCAACAGAACTCATTAAGGCATAGCCAACCTGCCTTGCAGCTCACGAGAGTATATGCATCTTCACTTGGAGAGGGTATATATATTGGTACTCTCCTCTAGTTTATTAATGGTTTGTTCTTCCCAGGATCTAATTCACGGGATCTCCGATCACATAGACTGGGTTACCACCATAGTATAACTCACATGGGTCTCAAACCCATCTCCTTCGATGCATTGTCTATCACATTTCGTGATAGTCCCTTAGTGAAGGGATCTGCCAGGTTTCTCGCTGTTTGGATGTAATCCAACGTTATAACTCCGGAGTTTCTTAATTTCCTGACAGACTTCAATCGTCTTTTCACATGTCTAGACGATTTCATATTATCCTTAGAACTATTCACTTTGACAATTACCGTTTGATTGTCACAGTTCATAAGGATAGCCGGCACCAGTTTTTCAACAACAGGCAGATCCATTAATAGATCACGCAGCCATTCTGCCTCAACAGTAGCAGTATCCAGTGCCGTTAGCTCTGCTTCCATGGTTGACCTTGTCAAAATTGTCTGTTTGCAAGACCTCCATGAAACAGCACCACCACCCAGTGTGAAAACATATCCACTAGTGGCTTTGATCTCATCCACATCAGAGATCCAGTTAGAATCACTATAACCCTCTAGTACCGCAGGATACCTAGTATAGTGAAGCCCCAATTCCACAGTACCTTTCAGATAGCGCATTACTCGCTCAAGCGCACGCCAGTGATCATCTCCCGGATTAGAGGTAAATCGGCTCAACTTGCTCACAGCAAAGGAGATATCAGGCCTAGTTGCACTAGCCAGGTACATCAACGAGCCAATGATTTGGGAGTATTCCAGTTGATTCCTAGCAATTCTCTTGTTCTTGCGAAGCAACAAGCTAGGATCATAAGGTGTTGGAGAAGGCTTACTATCAATGTAGCCAAAGCGATTCAAGATCTTCTCCACATAATGGGACTGCAAGAGTGTAATCCCATTCTCACCTCTAATTAGCTTAATGTTTAAGATAACATCAGCTACTCCCAAATCTTTCATATCAAAATTTTGAGACAAGAATGATTTAACCTCATTTATCACCTCAAGGTTTGTCCCAAATATCAGTATGTCGTCAACATACAAGCACAAAATAACTCCCTCACCCCCACCATGGCGATAGTACACACATTTATCTGCCTCATTGACTGCAAAGCCTGCAGATGTCAATGTTTTGTCAAATTTCTCATGCCATTGCTTAGGAGCTTGTTTCAGACCATACAAAGACTTCAACAATTTGCACACTTTGCCTTCTTGACCTTCAACTACAAACCCATCAGGTTGATCCATATAGATCTCCTCATCCAGCTCTCCATTAAGAAAAGCTGTCTTAACGTCCATTTGATGAACGAGAAGACCATGTGAGGCTGCTAGGGAAAGTAGCACACGAATTGTGGTCAATCTAGCAACAGGTGAGTAAGTGTCAAAGAAATCTTCGCCTTCTTTCTGAGTATAGCCCTTAGCAACAAGCCGAGCCTTGTACTTTTCAATAGTACCGTCAGGCCTAAGCTTCTTCTTGAACACCCACTTGCACCCCACAGGTTTACACCCATAGGGTCGCTCTGTCACCTCCCAAGTCCCGTTAGCGATAATGGAATCCATTTCACTACGGACAGCCTCCTTCCAGTAGTCTGCATCAGGAGATGCATATGCTTCTGAAATTGACTTAGGAGTGTCATCCACGAGGTACACAGTGAAATCATCACCAAAAGACTTAGCCGTCCTTTGTCTCTTACTCCTTCGAGGAGCTTCACTGACATCCTCCTCAGAGACAAGTTCATGTGTATGTTCAGTTTGTTCTGGTGGTGTGATTGAACTGGGAATTATTTCAGAGGGTTGGTTCGAACCACTATGTGTATCCTTCATTGGGAAAAAGCTCTCAAAGAAGGTAGCATCACGAGACTCCATAATTGTACCAACATGCATGTCCGGTACCTCGGATTTAACTATTAAAAATCTATAGGCAATGCTATGATGAGCATATCCCAGAAAAACACAGTCCACAGTCTTAGGTCCAAGTTTGTGCTTCTTCGTTATTGGTACATTGACTTTCGCCAAGCACCCCCATGTGCGCAAATAAGAAAGTGATGGTTTTCTACCAATCCATATCTCATATGGTGTTTTGTCCTTATTTCTGTTAGGAACTCTGTTTAACACATGATTTGAGGTCAACAATGCCTCCCCCCACCATGCCTTAGGCAGTCCCGCGGTGTCCAACATGGCATTCACCAAGTCAGTCAGTGTGCGGTTCTTCCTTTTAGCAATCCCATTAGACTCAGGAGAATAGGGAGGCGTCCTCTCATGTATGATGCCATGTTCCTCACAGAATAAGTCAAACTCGTTCGAGAAAAACTCTCCACCACGATCAGACCTAAGCCTTTTTATCTTTCTGTCAAGTTGATTTTCAACTTCTGCCTTATAAATTTTAAAATAGTCTAGAGCCTCGTCTTTCGTTTTCAACAAGTACACATAGCAAAATCTAGTAGCATCATCAATGAATGTCATGAAATATCGTTTTCCACCCTTCGTCAACACCCCATTCATTTCACAAAGATCTGAATGTAGGAGTTCTAGTGGTGCCAAGTTTCTCTCCTCGGCAGCCTTGTGAGGCTTGCGAGGTTGCTTCGATTGCACACAACTATGGCACTTAGAACCTTTGACAATGGAAAACTTAGGAATTAAACACATGCTGGAAAGCCGAGACATCAAGCCAAAATTAATATGACATAAACGTGAATGCCAAACATTAGCCTCATCATCCACACTGCCACAAATATGGTTCACAGACTTATTGCAGAAATCAGAAAGGGAAAAGCGGAACAGGCCTCCGCACTCATAACCTTTACCAATAAAATATCCATGTTTAGACACGACTACTTTATTAGACTCAAAAACCAACTTAAATCCGTCTCTAGTCAGACGGGAGCCACTAACAAGATTCCTGTCGATAGAAGGGACATGCTGCACGTTCTTCAGCTGCACGATCTTTCCCGAAGTAAACTTTAGATCTACCGTGCCAACACCATGAACAGAAGCATGTGACCCATTCCCCATTAGGACGGTGGAACCCCGTGCGACCTGATAAGAAGAAAACAATGAGATGTCAGCACAAACATGTACATTGGCCCCAGTATCAACCCACCAATTAGTAGATTGATTAACTGAAAAAACAGTAGGTAAATTACCATACCCGCTTCCATCTCCAGTGTTGCCAATGGTCACATTAGCAGACTTAGAAGTCTGCCCTGCAGGTGCCTTCATCCCCTTGCGCTGTGAACACTTCCTAGCCAGATGACCAACTTGGCCACACACAAAGCAAGTCCTCTCATCCTGATTAGGATTGTTGTTGTTCTTCTTCTGCTTCTTGAAGTTGGTGGTCTGCTGAGCTTTGTATTTCCCCTTGCTCTTGTTCTGGGCCTTGTGCACAACATTGGCACTGGACTGCCCACCATCGTCCTTAGACGCGGCATCTTTTTCCCGAGCTTTCTCCTCAACATCAAGAGACGCAATCAACCCCTCAACGGAGTATTCCTGTCTCTTGTGTTTGAGTGCAGTACCGAAACTCCTCCAAGATGAAGGTAGTTTTGCAATAATGCACCCGGCCACAAATTTGTCGGGTAAGACACACTTAAGGAGTTCGAGTTCCTTAGCCATGGTTTGTATCTCATGAGCCTGTTCGACTACAGAACGGTTGTCAGCCATTTTGTAGTCATGAAACTGCTCCATGATATACAGATCATTGCTAGCATCAGTAGCACCGAATTTAGTATTCAGTGCATCCCACAACTCGTTAGCGTCGGTCATATGCATATACACCTCGACCAGACGATCGCCAAGAACGCTAAGAATGCATCCCACAAAGAGAGTAGTGGCTTCCTCGAATTGCTTCTGCTGTTCAGCAGTAAGAACTCCTTCAGGTTTGCCAGTACTCACCCAGAAGCATTTCATAGCTGTCAGCCACAGAGTGACCCTGATCTGCCATCTCTTAAAATGCACACCGGTGAATTTATCCGGCCTCAGTGCATCGGCAAAACCAGCCATAGTAAAATCACAGTGCCTATAATAAGGTTTTTGGATTGTTTAGATTATAGACATATAATGATTTAATCTATTCCATAAATAAATCATGACATTACAGATGAAAACTAGCATGAACGCATCATTAGATCTACACATGTAAACTACACAGTATAACATGAACAGATCAAATATGCGCAACATATTGAACACGTACCAAGGTGACGAAAAGACCGGCTGCTTGGTCGAAACTTTTCGCAGGTGTCTACGAAGGCACGAAACACGCGAGCGAAGAGGAAGGCGAGCCGTCGCGAACGAACAGGGAGCAGTCGCGCGAAGCGCTTCCCAAAAACCTTATTGCCGCCTTCTCCCGGTGCAGGACGTCAAAGACAGAGGTTCCGGAGACCTGCTCTCCCGATCGCTGGTGCACGCCGGCGAGCGGGATGGAGTAGTCTACGAGCGACGGCGCAGTACAGAGTAGGAGGCAAACCCTAGATTGATTTTGCGTGTGCTGCGTGAAGACGGCAGGTCGGTTTATATAGAGAAGGGTCGCTTGATCAGGGCGCCCGCACGATCTCTACTGCGCGTAACCGAACCGGATAAGTCGCGCGTAACTTATCCGGACTCCACGCCGTTTGCACGCACCGGATTTTTCGGAACGTTTCCAAAACAAAAACGAATCCGAATTTGCAGCAAAACAAAACTGCAAAAGGAGGCTGCATCTGCGCAAGGGTGAGGAGCCAATTTTTCGGACCATTCGACGCGTACGTCGTGCACGCGCGCCGCCTGCCAGGCGAGGCGAGGCGAGCGCGCGCGTTTCCCCTCTTCTCTCCACCACACATGCTTCAAGTGACTAGGAGGGCATCCTCCCTTTTAATAAGGTCCCCCTCTCCTAGAATAAGCAAGGTGGTACTAAACTCCACATGCATGCCATCCCATGAGGTGGGCTTTTATGATTTTCCAAAGAATTAATCTTCGAGTGGGCTAAGGCCCATTCATTAATTCCAACAACATAAACATCATATTTTGGCTACTATAATCAAATTGATCAATACCACTACTAATAGTTACCCCACCGAATCATGTTTTTATCAAATCAATCGACAGGAGACTTCACATTAGCAATGACAGTATTAATTGGGACTTAAAAATCAAGAACAAGAACAATGATAACAAAACTGAAGAGCCAGTACATGACACTTGATACACATTGACCCCTGGAAACAAAACCGTGAAACAGAATATCACATACGCTGGTCATCCTCAAGAGTAATGATATGCCTTCACTGCACCATTGATGCTGGCATGGCATGAACCCTTCTCTAGCATAAAAACCGCGTTATAGCCACTCCCTGGACATGGCAATTGCTCAGGGTTGTGTTTCGCCTTGGTGGTGGATTTCGCGAGGAAGCCTGTCTTTGCAAGTTATGCGCAGCTCCTCCACCAAATCCACTTCTGCTCGCCTTTCTGCTGCCTTTCGCCTCGGCGTTGATCTTCGCAATCCAACTCCTTTCCTTGTCCTTGAACTTATCATGGTCTCAAGTTCCTTTTTTCGATCATGCCACTTTAGCCATGAAGACAGAATAAGTACTTCAAGTTAATGTCAATTCAGGTAGCAGCATATTAAAGCATGTGGAAGATTGCAAGAAACAAAGTCAAAACAGTGAATGGGAACCACATCTGGGACTTTATTTGGGAACGATATTGCTTTGAATTATTATGACACTAGTGCCCAAATTGTTGCCTTAGCTATGCGAAGAAGAGTAGCACAAATATTAGCAATAGGATGCAAATTTCTGCATATGTGGGCTTGTTCATGCAGTGCAATCAATTTTAGGGCATGGCCGTTACCTTGGTTAATCTCTCCTTGAGTTTTGGTCTTGTAGATACTACCACTCGTGTCGGCTGAGCATCTGATTTTCGCAGAACCAACTTCTGATGTTGCAGCTTTTTTATCCCTCTAGTTTGTAGTTTACTTCTCTCTGCTGCCTGAAGCTTCTTGGCTACAATTTTCGCCTCTGCCTTTTCAAGCTTCTTCATTATTCTTTCCCTCTCTTTATTCCATAGGAACATTGATATCATCTCAGACTTTATCCTGTCATAGCTATCCCAATCCAGCTTATCTTGGCAGTAGTCACCATATTTTGCTGCTTCTGCAATGCTATTTGACCATATGCGAAGAACCTCCTGTCTTGCTTTGACAGCCACCATTCGCCTCTCCCAGATCTTTCTCAATGCAGCACCTATTTTGTCTTTGCTTGCTTGTCTGAAACAGGATCAGCCATCGATTGCTTCAGAGTATGCATAGACATGTTTTATATGCATCCATCTAGGTAGCAGAAACACGCATTTACCTATGCAATTGTCGATGTCCTAGCATTTTCTTCCTAACCTGGGAATATTAAAGAAAACAAAATAACTTGAATTGAATTTATGTAGACAATTCACAGTCCATAGCCAAGTAGGCCTTTGGCAGATACAAGTGTCATGTGAAGGTTTCTTACATGACATCACCTTGGGATCTCTAAGAGCCTCGGTAGTCCTTCGCTTGATGAGTTCCTTGTGCTCTACAGGTGAATGAGAGACTCTCATTGTATTGTAATAAGAGACTGCGTATCCACTCATTCTAATGTTAAATGTACTGAGGCAAAAAGGACAGAAAGAGCTTGGTCATACCTTTGCTTAGTTTCCTCCCCTTTGTCCAGGGAACCTTTCCCTTGTTCGCTGCACCAATCTTCCGTCTTCTTTCAATTTCCTTCATCGACAAACCAGTAGTATAAGCATCAGCCTGTAGAGTTGATGGCTGACAAGGTGAATGTTCTTGCACTAGCTTCTTCACATCCCTCTTTCTTGTCGATGGCTGTAAGCAAGAGGAATGATGGGAACAGTGTTCATCCATGTCATGGACCAAATGTTTGTAAGCTTCTTGTTTCAATGATGACCGCGGCAAAATGAATTCCCGATAGTGGATTAATCGATTGTGTTCTCGAAATCTGTTTTGTTGTAGAACTAACTCCAACGCTGCACAGTACTTATAGTATGAGAATTTGATTCTTGAAGATGAGCCAGCACCATACTCAGAGGTCATAGAAGGCACCACCCTGTATATACAAATTTTATTTACAGAAGTGAATGTTAGCTTTGATCTACAGGATTGAATGTTAACTTGCAGTAAGGACCGTGTAAACTGGAAAACTAGGGAAAAGATTAATCAATCAACATGAATACATGATACTCCTATCTGTGAGTGTAACATGAGCTAAATACCCCCACCCCCAAAAAAAACATTTTTTTTCAAGCTTTCTATAAATTCATAAATTGCTTCACATACAATGTGGAACCCAAATGAGTTTTACGATTTATTAGCTGCATTTATGTGGTATTGGATCAAAATTTCGAATGGAACAGAACTCCTAGTGCAGATGGAAATATTGGCATCGTGCACTGAAGTAGTATAAAATGTTACAGACTTAGAGTGAGTTGTTTCTAGTGCCAGATGCGTTATTGATTAGGGCCAATTTCTCGAAAACGCTCACCTGAGCTATGCCACATTACCACATTGGACAAAAATAGGCGAAAAAAAGAGATGACATTAGAAAGCCATGGGCATTACCTAGCACAATGGACGGCCGCCGCCATGGTTTTGCGGCCTTGCACCGCAGCACTCTGTTGCTGTTTCGAATCACCTGGGATGGGAAGATGCTTCAAAAAGAACAAAAGAACAAATCAAGTGAGGGCGGGAGAGATGCGGGATGAAGCGAGCAGGGAGGAGAGGAGGAGAGCAGCCACATCGTCGACCAAGAAAGAAGGTGCGCGAGTGCGAATGGGGATGAGAGGACGATGACCTTATCCCTTCTCCTCGTTCGTGTGCTCGTCTAAGCCCACGAGATGATGGTCCTACTAGCTACATTGTCGGCCCACAAGAGGATGGGCCTCCTTGCTACATTGTCGGCCCACAAGAGGATGGGCCTACTACAAAGGCGGCCCACTGGATCGGATTTGCTGAAACAGGAGCTCACCGGCGTCACTGCTCGTGTTTTGTGGTGTTGAGTTCGTTCAGCACACAAAAATTCACAAGACAAAAAACGAGGAGTTTCAGCAACAATTAATCCTATATATACATGCATGATGCATCAATGGCGCATCGACAATGGAGAAGAAGAGATGATCTCAGGATCGAAGCGAGGTCCAGGAGGCAAAGAGGAGAAGGTTCCACGTGTCAGGCAGCCCGGGCAGGCACCAGTGGCTGCAGTCGGCGTACGATCCCGGCTGCCGCCTCTGCTCCGGCGTCAGCAGCTTCCCTCCCCTGACCGTGAACACTGACGGGTGCGCGTCTCGCCGGAGCTCCGACAGCCGGGTGATGTCCAGGTACCCCACCGCCGTCCTCGCCCTCCTCACGTTCCTCTCCACGATCGACACCATCCCTCTCGGGAACGCCTCCACGTACTCCTCCGCCCTCGCCATCGGAGCCGTCTCGTTGTAGCACCAGTTCTTGCTGTGCCAATGCCAATCATGTCATTGTTTTCCAATGTTAAGATCAAGTAATTAAGCTGATAATCAGTTGAAATTCGATCGAGTTTACGAACTTCTTGTGCTCGGGGGAGATGCTGCGGAAGAACACCATGGTCTTGTGAGAGTCCACGTTTCGATCGAGCCACCGCGTCCATGTCCGGAGCGCGCGGTTGAAGGCTTCCTCCGCTCCCATCTCCACCTTCTTCCCGTTCCTCTCCAGGTGATCCCACCTGCAATGCAGTAGTCGTCAAGTCTGTGTCAAGCCATGGACGCGGATGATTTTGATGAGGTCTGGAGCTGAGAAGCCTTACGCCCTGAACTTGCCGGTGTGCGTCCACCAGTGGCCCGTGTTGAACACCAGCACGTCGGCGGCGGCGAGCCGGCGATACGTCGTCGCCGGGAGGCGGTCCAGCTTCAGCACCCTGGTCTGGTCGTCGAGGTCCACCAGGAACGGGCTCCAGTAGAACTCCACCGTGCAGTTGTAATCCTGTCCGTGATCGCAAAAAAAGTTCAACTGAATTTCGGTTTGATTTGCTGATGAGTAGTAGTAAAATGCAAAAGTTTTTTTTTTTTGGTTTGTCTTTAGTTACCAATGCTTGGAAGATCTTGTGGTCGGCGCTGGCGTCGTCGACGGTGGCGCGTGAGCGGTCGGGCGCCGCGGCGTAGAGGATGCAGGCGAGCGACTCCCACATGTTGCGGTTGAGCGAGTCGCCGACGAGCACCACTCGCTTGTCCCGGCACTGCTCCAGCATCTCCCCACCACGCAGCCTGATAAAAAAGTGAAGCATTATTCAGTGCGACGTGTGCGATTTGCAGAGGATTACTCATGGAGAATCAACACGATTATTCCGGTCGGAATGATGCACCGGAGGAATCAGGAACAGTGACCGTGGTTGGTTGTCATGTGTGCAACTAGTGTCAACTATGTGTTTCAAAGTGAAAAATAATTAATTACTGCCATAACACTAGTAGTACTATGCACAGGGCACTGTCAGAGCTGTGTTCCCAACTCAAAAGCAACGCACATCGTCACAAGTTGACAACTTTACCCACTTTTCATTTACCTTTTGTATCCAAGAACGGGCCCTGAGACAGTGCGACTTGCACGGGCTTGTTCATTTTAGCCATCGATTACGACTGTGTCACAGGGGATACACACACACAACGGAGAGCATTCATGAACGATTCATGCGCATTTCAAAAACAAATCAGATTCAGAATCTACTAAAGAGACCAGCTTTAGTTTGTCTGTCCAGGATTTAAAACAAAATGAAGAGAAATTTCAAAAAGGCAGAAGAGATGCAAGGTAGGTAGCAGTGGCCACGCACCTGAGAGCGGCGGCGCACCGCCTGGGCTGCCACCGCCAGTGCTCGTAGCCGGAGTCCGGCCGGCCGTTCCTCCGGCAGGTGACCTGGTCGCTCAAGAAGGGGCACTCCCCGGCGTCGTAGAGCGGATAGCCGGCCGGGTCGTACACCCAGCTGCCGTCGAACAGGTCGCACCGGACTTCATCCTGGGCCGGCGCCGGCGAGCCATCGGAAGCAGCAGCAGTAGCTGGGCTCGGCGCAGGTGCAGCAGCAATAATGGCAATGCGGTCGGGCGGCAATGAGATTGAGGACGCCTCGTCCGGTCGCTTGACGGGCTCCGGGTCGTCTTGGGAGAAGAGGAGGGCGCGGGAGAGGAGGAAGAGCGAGAGGCAGCCGAGGGCGGCGCCGGCGAGGCGCTTGCGGGTGGCCATGGAGGGTGGTTTCAGCTTCAGGGGATCCATTGCTAGCTTAGCTCCAACTGCTACTTCACCGGCTGCTCTGCCTCTGCCACTGCACTTTTCACTGGGATGGATGTACACATCTGCAACTCGGTAGTAGCAGTGTATATACTGGAGTGGTACTACTAAACCATAAAAAGAAAAGGAAAACTCAAAACTGAAAAACAAAATTTGGAATGTGTTGGTTGAGTTGTTGCTACATGGAGGATGAAGCCAAGCCCCCAAGCAGTGCATTGTTTGGTTGGTTTTGCATCTATTTTTATGTAGTTATGAACTAGTATGTGGAGTGGACGAGTGGTTGCGTTTGGGGGCTTGCTGCTGTCTGTTTGTTCCCTCTTCCTTTGCCACTGACACTGTGTGTGTGGATCTTATCTGAGCTTAGCTCTGGGACTTGCCATGTGCCAGCAAACTGAAATCAAATGTATTACTCCAGCAGCTAGTATCCAATTCAACAGATTGTTTCAAACTCAACTTTTTTAAAAAAAACTAAACCGGCAGGAGAACTGCTAATTATATTTTTAATAAGTAGGAGCAAAGACCCTAGACGGGTTACAAGAGAAGAGTTTCAAACTCAACTTTGTAGTACATATCTTCCTCTTATTCTTAAAAAAAAAGTGAACTTTGTACAGATTGGAATCGTGCAAATCAGGAATGGGCCGAAAGTCATTGTGGGCCAAGCCCCTGGTCCAAAGTTCACCCTCCGGCCCTGGCTGGCTAAGGAATAACGGGCAGCCCAAACTAAAATTTAATTCGCTCGAAAAATAGAAGAAAAAAAAAGAGGAAAAAGAGAGAGGAAAGGAAACCCGAGACCCTCCTCCTCGACGGCGTCGGCAGGGAGAGGGAGGGGCAGAGCGGCGGGGAAGAGGGAGCGGGATGGCGGCGTGGTTTAAGCTCGGTGGCTCCGCTGTGCGCGCCATGGGCGCTCTCCGGGGATCGCCGCCGGCGATGGTGCGGTAACGCCCCCCATTTCCCCTTTCTTCTCTTCTCTAGCCGGATTGCACATCACAAGCGCCTCTCCACGATCGTGTTCTTCCGTTCCGTGATTCTGCGGCCTCAACGTTGCTCCCTTAGGACAGCCTACTCATGCCCATGAGCCCACTCCTCTCCTCAAGGAAGCACCCCCCAGTCACCGGCGCGCAAAAATTGCTCCTTTTTTGTTTGAGGAAATTGGGGATATATTTCGACGAAACCCAGTTTCGAGGATGGCATATGTCCAATTTTCTCCCTTTTGGATAGATGGATGGATGGATAGAAATCTGTACATGGCTCAGGAAGCCAGAAACAACAGCATCTCAAAGGCCCAAGAACATGTGGGAAAAAAAATCACATCTTCTCTTCAAAAAAAAATTAAAAAATCACATCTCGCAAATTTCTTTCAGTTTTGACGGCCCAGCATCTGAGCATCTCTCTAGCAAATTCTCTGCGGTTCCCACAATTCATCTTAATCGTCAGCTTGTTGTTATGATCCCAGCTCATCCTCCTGAATTAAGGAGGATATAACAGTGGGAAATAGTTAAAAGCCCCCCTTAATTCAGCACGTTTACACCCAACAGCATATAACAGTTCACAACAATCAACTCAAGTACTTGGATACAAAGTGTAGCAGAGTGGAATTGGGGAATTGGGGATAAGCAATATAGGATGGGAATTAGATAAAATAGACAGGGAATTGGAGAAACAGATGTGGGGGTTCAGGTAAGAGCAAAGAAGGGGATAGAGGCCGCGGCCATTCAGTTCTTTCAAAATGATCGATGATATCCATCCTAGTGGCGCCTGTTTCCCTTTTTGTAGTGGCTGCTCGATGCCAGCCCATTGGGCCTAACAAGCCATAGCCTATCTTGTACACTGGCCCAGCCCATATCCATGACATTCCTCCCTCTTTAAGGTTCAGCTTGTCCCCAAGCTGATGCAATTGAGCTACCCAAGCCTTGCCTCCAGGGTCCCAAGGAATCACTATCATTGTGGTTAAGTCATCCTGAATAGCAGCCGACTCCTTGACCACGAGGTGCATTGGCAACACTGACAGACACAAGGCAATGCTGAAAAGTTGGTAGGATAGTTGCATCACCACAACACCATCTATGTGAGGAATAGCCAACCCAGAATCACAGGTAGTGTCAACCTGCACCTCCATCTTTCCAGAATTGTAGTGATTCAATTGGATCTCTGTAACAAACTCTCAAATATTCCAAGGTTCTTTCCTTAGGAAGTCTAAACGAGCTGGAAAATGTTGAATCGGAGTAATGTTGGTTCTGGATTGAATTCCTTCTTGATGCCATAATGGTCTCCAGCAATGTTGATGATGCCTCCATCACACCAACAGAATAGGGAATGGAAAATGATTGTAATTGTGATTGCTGTCGCATATTTCCCCCCAGCAGTAGAGGGATCTAAATGATGCTGAATATTCATAGAAGTCTCCCAGGATTTGCAGCGCATCCCTCTACATCTTCTCTCCAGGGAGAATGCTTACACGTACAACTTACTTGCTGTAACTTGGAGTTGGAGTTATACTCTACACTTGACTGCACTTACACCTACAATCTTTTTGCAGCATGAATTGTAATATTTTCCCTTTGTTTCGTTTGTATCAGGCATCAGTGTTCACCGGTGGATGGCTCCTGGGGTCTTCCATCTCCAGCTGGCAGACGCTGAAGGTTGCGGAGCAGCAGATCGACGCCCTGGCGAGGGAGCAAGAGGAGTACCTCAACAAGTTTGAGGCCAAGTGGGTCGAGGAACTTAACAGGCTGAAGCTCGAGATGATGAATGAGCTCGAGGAGTCGGAGGAACGGCTTAACAGGGAGATTGACGTCCTCAAGATGATGGCGAGGATAGCGATGGAGGAGAAGGAGATGAGGATGGCGATGGAGGAGGAGGCTGCTTCTCCAGGTCCTCTCCAGGGTGAGTCCGGGGACCTCGGTGACGTGTGACTGATGGCGAGGATCATCGGAGGAGGCTTGCCTGCGCCAGATGTGGATGTGGGTGATCGATATGTATCTACTAGTATCTAATCTATCATTGAGCAATATAACTTGACTACTAGCCAGATGTAGAAAGTTGAGGATTACAACAACAGTAAAAGTAAGCTGTCTTGCCTGAGACCCAGAAACTAGGAACCAGCACAGTCAACTGCTACTAGCTCTACTCATTACTACATGATGAGAAATTGCCAGCTTCCATATTATGGTGGTCTCCTCCTTGATGTTTTTTTCCAACTAATTGCATGCTGAGGAGGCTTCGACCTCTGCTCAAATCCCCTCTCTTTTCAAGTTAGCTAATAGACCATCATGTACAATAGTCCATCTACTGCTTAATTCAGGACTAGCAAAAATGCCTGTGCGTTACAACAGGTGAAAATTTTTTAATGATAATATACGCTTTCCATGCATAATCATGTCAATGATAATAATTGTATCGATCGTTGTAGCTAAGACATATTATAAAGAAAATTGAAACATCTTCAATATACTGATCTTCAATATAATGACCCAATCTCGACGATGGCAACCTTACCAATGCATGTTTTACCCAAACGAATTGGATTATTTACGTAGCTGGACACATGTAATCTAAAATACTCTTTCAATCTCATTTTTGCTATTAATAATAGGATCAATCAAATCCTACATTGTCTCATATTGTCAACTATAGACAAATAAAGCCTCAATGCACTCTTCTCTTAATAACAATTAAAAATATGTTATTTATTATCTATACTTACCAGTAGTCTGATAATTACATACATAGATATGTAGGGTCTCCAATACAGGAGAATATAATCGTGGAACACGAGCCATGTAGGAGATGGAAAAATCGAGGATCCTATCCAACCCAAAGCCTCGATCAATTTGATCTCGTTCCAAGAAAACCAAGCCTAAGCAAGACTTCTTTTAGATCCGCACGTCTGAACATTCGATGACGCTTTGGAAAACCCAAAACTACCAAGACGATGGACGATACAAATGATATGAATCTTTTTCATGAAATCAGATTTTTTTTTTTGAAATCAGACAATTTTTCGCATTGCACAGTACTGAACCGGAAATTTTTATAAACGCAGGTTTTTTTCTCACGTTGGGTCGGTTTATTCGGAGCAGTCTATTTTATATATGGCGGTTTTTTCTTGTGTGGAGTCAGACAATTTTTTTAGATCTTTTTTCTCGTGTGGATTCAGATGGTTTTTTTGGATCCCCTTTTTATAACAATTTTTATTTGACAGTTTATTTCAGAGTGGTTTTTTATTTCACGTTGAGTCGGATATTCTTTCGAACCTTTTTTTTTAAATGATGCCTTTTTCTTTGGTTGAGTCGGGTGGTTTGTTTGAATCGGTTTCTTTTATAAAGAGGATTTTTTATAAACTACAGTTTTTTTCCTCCATTTTGAGTCATACATTTTTTTCTTTTTTTTTTGGACAAGACGACTTTTTTTCCTTTTTTACGGAAGTCAGACCTATTTCTTTTTTACGGATGAGTCGTTTTTTTCCTTTATTTATGGGAATCGGACATGAAAAGTTTTTTTTTCCTTTTTAGGGAGTCGGACTTTTTTTTCGTTTTCTTTACTGGCGATATTTTTTTTCCTTTTCTTCAGCAGTCGGAATTTTTTTACCGATGGGTTTTTTTCCTTTTTTTACGGGAGTACCGGAGTAGGACGTGAGAGTTTTTTTTTTCTTTTTTACAGGACTCGGATTATTTTTTGTACGGACAAGTTTTTTCCCCTTTTTTACGGGAATTACGGTAGTCGGACTTTTTTTTTACTAGCGAGATTTTTTTTATCCTTTTTTACCGACGACAGAAGTTTTTTTTCTCGTTTTTTTGAGTCGGACTCTTTTAAGTGGTTGAAGGTGGAGATTTTCACGGACGGGAGTTCCTGTTCACGTAACTTTTTTTTCGCCTTTTCTTTTTATTTTCACGGACGGACTGTTTTTTTTCTTCTGCATCACGTAGAATCGGATTCATTTTTTTCCTTTTTTTTCACCCTTTATTTTATTTTGACGGACAGCGAAAACATCTTTTTAAGTAGTAGAGATAGAGATAGAGATATACCTGGAGACCACCTGAATTTCGTTTCAAACGTGAAACAACTCAGCCATCCCGAAGGTTTAGAGTACAACTAGTATAATGAAAAATTGTCTCTTCTTCTTCCTCCTCATCCCGGCGAACGATCAGCCTGATTCGACCGTGAGCGCGAGGATCGCCTTGCCTAAATAGATTTGTCTCATCGATTCTTCTTCTTTGATTCAGGTGTTCTTCTCTTGCTCATCTCCGCCTTGCATGTACTACGTAGATTGATTCCAGATTAATTACTTGGATTATATTGTTGTGGGCAATATGTAGGCACTAGCTAGTGTCATCTCCTGTCCGATTAATCCATACATGGCTGTCGTTGCAACTTTTTTATATTCATCAATGATCAATTCTTAGTTTGCATTAAAGAGGATATATGCATCAGTCCATGCACCTCCATAGAACAGAACATAGCAACTTTAGTTTTCAGATAGAGAAACTATTAAACTCTCGAGGATACGTTACCCTCTCTGCAGATATAGATATATCCCTGTCCCATATTGTAGTTAGTATATGGACATACTATCATCCTCTCAACATTGTACTTGTGGTTGCTAGCTTTGCACAGGCTAATTAATCTATCTCTGCTCTAATTAAGCATGGCAAACAATCAGGAGCGGCCAAAATGCAGCTGCGTCCAGTCCAGCTGCACCCAGCTGTAAGTACATACATTACCGTCTATTGTGACGTTAGTTAGTTAGTTAATTAGCTAATTGCTCTTACTGCTCACCGTCTACTTCTTATTTTGCCGTGCCTAATTTATCTGCAGATATTGCCGGTGTTTCCGCTCGCGTTACTTTTGTTCAGACAACTGCAATTGTTCTGGCTGCTACAACATTAAATATTACGAGGATGCGATAGAGGAGATTTCCGACATGATCCAGATGAAAAACCCGAATGCATTTGATCCCAGGATTATTGTTAGTGTTCAAGATGCAACGGCAGCTGATCCCCAGAGCTCTACTAGTGCTATTTCAGACCCAAAAAACACCTCCGATGCAATGCCGGTAATATACCTGTTTCTAATTTCTTATTGGAGCACCAAACTTAACTGATTCCATGCTATTCTAGTCTAGCTATTTAATTAATTTTGATGATGCATGGTTTTAAGTGGCTTGAGAACTCACGCATATTCAGTAAAATTTCAGGGCAATGAACAACGGAAGCATGCCAAAGGGTGCAGCTGCAGGAAGTCCAAGTGCAGCAAACTCTACTGTGAATGCTTCAAGGTGTGTATATACTAGTACTTCGTTTTTTACATAAAACCTATATTTATTAGTATTATGATTAGATGGCTGCCTTTTATTTCCCTCTTGCAGAACAGTGTGGGGTGCACTGCAAAATGCAAGTGCCTAGAGTGCAGTAACAGCTTCGGAGTAAAAAATAGTGAGTGTTCTTCTAAACTGTTATTTCCTTGTCTTTCAGATCAGAAGTGTGCGCTCAATTCGTTTGGAGGCCCTGAAGAATCTCATTTTGCTCTTCACCCGTGTCAATGGTTTTGTCTTGCCTGTGTTTTTTATCTGACCTATTTTATACAAAACAGGTGAATCAAGCAACAAACCAGATCCAGATGATAAGAGTGCTACTGACGGCCTGACACATGAAGAAACAACTACGGAAAACATCACGCTACCTGGGGAAACCTGGAACTCTGATCCAAACAAACGCCCAAGATATTTTGTAAGTTTTTCGCCCTTTAACTTCTTTAATATAGTTTACCAATAGAAACTGTAAACTTAATTACAATGTGTTAAACTTGTCATAACCTGTTCAAACTGAAACTCTGACGATATGCTCTTTTGTTCAGTGACAAACTGACAACAACTTTCATATCATGATGATTTACCGTCCTCCAGGCAGTGATCACTTTCTGCCAAAAAAAACGCAACTGTAAACACAACCAGGTTTCAGTATCGAGGGGTATCTATACATTAATTCTTCTCTAGTATGAGGTTTTTAAGTCATGCAAAAGTTTGTTCGGCTTTAGTAGTATGTAAGAATATATATATAAACATGATTGCAAGGACACTTGTACATAATATACAAGGCAGCTGCCTTGCCTTCTTTAGAAAAAAAAAACAGACAAACAAAAATGATTGCAAGGAAAGGAGCCTCAACTGCATTATTGGCACTTGGTGACATATGCTCAAAATCCTTAATAAGTAACAGAGCACAATCAAGCCTTGGCCTCCACATAGTTAACACCATTCCATTCCACGTACTGTTGCGACTGTGTAGTGCACAAGTTTACTTCCATAAAGCTTTATTCGGTTAATCCCCGTATGGGAGAGATTGAGGGGGATTAATTCCACACCTCAATAGGTGTGAAATTATTCATCTCCAAATTCTCCTCAATCCCCTTGTGAGTGGGATTAACCGAACTAGTCCTTAGCGGGATCTGTCGAGGCCAAGCCTTGAGCTGAGCCACTTGCCAACGTCGTCCATCTCTTCAGGGATGGTATAGTGGCCTAGCCTGCATCATAAGAAACTTTGTCAATCTTTGCTAAAAGAATTCTGTTTTGTACTCTGCTGTGCAAATGCATGAATATGTACCCATTGTAGGATTTGAAATGCAGATATAAGAACCCCGAGGATCGCAGAGTGTCAGATGACCTCTCAGCATTCCTGTAGGATACAACCTCATCCGCTGCAACAACACACAGAATTGAGAACAGACTGACGCATGATGCATTGACTGGTAATGACTAGTTATACTGTTTCTGGAGGGAAGGCTACATGAATCGACAGCTTTGTTACCTCTTCCATGGCTAAGTAAGATAGGCAAGGAGGCAGCTCTTCTTGCAGCTATGTGTGAGCTCTCCATCTTGCCCCTCAGGGTCCTAAAATTACAGTGCATTAGCAACACTAGGATTCAGGAACAAGTGACACTAGTAAGTAGCAAGTGTTTGACAGATTAATTTCTGCCTAGGATGGCAAACTGGCACCTGGAGCAAGGGAGCCATCCACTCAAGCTGATGACCGCGCTAAGTGTGATTGGGTAGGGGATGCCACTTGCGAATTTGCCATGAGCATAGCACGCAGCTGAGTAGAGGGAAGCAGCAGCACCCATGCTGAAACCACCAATCCCAAGCTTCACTGCACTCGCAAAGTGTGGAAATCAGTGGAATGAGTGTCACAGGAGTGAGTGGTCACCAGCATACATCTGAAGAACATATCATAGTTAGTGCTAGTTTTGTATATATACTGGCTCGCATTTGATCACCTAATTAACATATGCATTTACCGGTGCCACTAATAAGGATCACTTTGAAAAATTAAAAGAAAAAGAATCTGGTAAGACCATAATATATGTTACATTGATGTGGTCCTGGAACTAGTACCATCAGGCGGCTCTGACGACAGCAAGTTTGCAATGTGCGCAGCTGAAGCATCCAGTCCTTCAATGTCGTCACGGCCATCCACTGAAGTATCCTCCACATCAAACCCTATTTCAGTTCCATACAAAAGCTAATAAGTCAGAGAGAAATGGCAGTACCCCTAAGTTTTCAAACTTCAGAGAGATGGTAGCATAGTAGTCCTGAATACAGGGTATTCTGCCAAGTTCCAATGGAGAAGAAGAAGCTTACATGCAGTGCAAGGGAATCCACCAAATGCTGTGACAGGCTGGGTTGCTGCGGTGGGGCAAATCCACTTGATCTACACCATCATAAGCTTCAAGGTGAATAAACCATGGTGCAACAAAAATAGACTGCTAGTTGCTACTGAACATGATAAGCTACACTGATCTGGAGATAGACCGGTGGAGAGAGACCGGTGTGTGTTAATAGGGGAATAAGGAACGGTGTGTGTATGTATCTATCATCTGTGTATGTGTGTCTGAAGTACAAGCATCGACACTTACATTTGGCAATGAAAGAGAATCCAGGAGTTGGGACCAGCTGAAAACAGAATGAACAAAACAGAGAAAAGGAAACGGATCAGTGCAGAAAAGCATTGTGGATGCAACTAGTATAGGTATTCTGTTTCATATTCTCTGAGAACTTATGATTAACACATCATATATGTATAAACAACAGGCGTCGTCTAAAAGTATCAGTGAAGATATAAGAACATCTGGAACTACAAATTGGAATCCATCAGATCAGACTAAAGAGAGAACATTTACAGTACTGGACAGAATTTTTACAGCAAGTTGAGCAACTAGCCTGAATTTCTTAGCTTATCTTAAGAGAATAAACAATTATCTTATCAACAAAAAACGTAACATGTAAGTAGCTGAGTTGCTGATCTTTTTAGTTACTGGAGACAATAGGGAAATGAATGAAAAAGAACAGGAAATGAACATCTGCCGCAGAGCTTAACTTGGCAAATGTGTACTGAACTCTTAAAAGAAATTGTGACACATGCATCATACCAAACTGAAAGGCGGCCAAGCTTACTTTTTACCTTCTTTGCTCCCGGAGTTGATACTGGCCATTAAAAACTCTATTTAATGGAGCCAAGATACTCTAATTTAGTGGCTTATCATAAATTATGCTGTTCTTTAGATGCTTTGTGCAGACATGGAATAGGAAATTAGGAATCTTTCATAAGCTACCTTACATTTATGCAATTTTAATATGCCATTAGCCCACATCAATTAGAAGTATTTGACATTCCTCTCCATTTCTGAATGGAAAGTGAGATGCATTATCTATGTCCTTGGTGGCGCAGAAGGTTGTCAGGTGTGCAGAAGGACAAGAGAAACATTTACTCCCTCCGTCCCAAAATAAGTGCAGTTTTGCACTATTCACGTTCAACGTTTCACCGTTCGTCTTATTTGAAAATTTTTTATGATTAGTATTTTACTTGCTATTAGATGATAAAACATGAATAGTACTTTATGTGTGACTAAATATTTTTAAATAAGACGGACGGTCAAATGTTGGGCACGGATATCCACGGCTGCACTTATTTTGGGACGGAGGTAGTACTTTTGAGTAAAGCAATACTAGGAATATATGCATGCACGGACACAGAAAGGACAACACTTCAGTCATTTCTGGCAGAAAGATGCAAAGGGACTGATTAAAGCGTTGCATCTACATTGCCATGATCTAGTCCCATAAACCATAAACCATTGGTTGAAAAGTGTAGTGTATTTGCACTTCTATTAAATTTGAAGAAGATAGTATTGCTTGAAAGGGGAGCATCTGAGTAAGCAAGAAAAGTTTGTGGAACAGGCAAATCTATATCAAACCAGCAGCATACAGCTAGTACCTTGCACCATTGTCACCTAGGCCATGAAGCCACACAATGGTGGCTTGGTGCCTTCCCTTTGGCCTCACCACATAGGTCCTCCCGTACTCAACTCTCTGACCACCCCGTCCACCTGAATCACCATTTAAATCGTGCTCAGAATTGTTCTTTTGCAGCTATATAGATTATTATAATGGGCAAATAAGTTTTCGAGAAAAAAATGTATAATGGAGTAGACAGATTACCAGAAGAACTGCTTCCATAGTAACTCATGATGTTTTCTGCAGCAAGTCTGTACTGATGCTACTCAGCTATAGTACTATACTACTATTTCTGTATGATGTGCACTGAACGTCCGAACGTATGGAAGGGTATGAAGAGCACAGCCCCAGTTGGCATGTATTTATAGTGAAGGTTATCTGAAGAGGGAATATTATATGTGTGTGTGTGTGTGTGTTGGACACTCCTTTGAATCTGCATCTCAGGACAGTGCGGTTTTCCGCAGCAAAGCTGTCATAGGAGGAGCATCTGGAGTCTGGAATACTCAAGGGATGGTAGGGTAAAAAAGATTGAAGCCCTTTGCTCTAGAGTGAAGAATCCTGTACAATGCTTACAGCCTTGCACACAGAGATACACACACAGTGACAGTGACGGTGACGATGAAAGTGATGCCTAAACATATCATGCAAGCAAACTAAGGCCAAGGAGGAACCATATAATACATAAATGCTGTTTCATGTCCCTTTTTTCCCTTATTTTTTGTCTGCCAAGCATATATCCGCTTGTAGGATGGAGTACTAATGCCCACTGCATTCTGCCCACAAATTGTTGCAACTCCATATGGGAAAACTTTAAATAAAATGGCAAGGAATAAGCATAACGGAACAAATTGTCCAGTCATTGAGCTTTCTTTTCACATCATACTTACCAGTTACTGCTAGATGGAACTTCAGATGTTCTTGCTGGAAGTACAATTTCAAAAAGACGGAGTACAAATTCTGATTTTGGTATTTCAAGTTTTTTTATGCAGATGACAAAGCAGAAAGAATTTTTTTTTCCTGGAATGTGCAAAAGAACTGTGCGCCTTGCATTAATTTTAGGAGAAAGCAAAGCAAAAGGAATTGTATGCCACAACTTGTTTTGGCATACCATCAAGATATAGTGAAGAGTCCAGAAAGGATGATTACATTGGTAGAAATATCTATCAAGTGTCGACACCAAATCAACATGGATATGGGAACCAAATCAGACACAAGTGCAATTACACTTGCAGATTGCCTCATAAACGTGGTGCAATCTTCATGAAGGTACAGATGCTTGCAACAGAAACATGACATATTGTTGCTACAATTACGTCAACTGTTAACTGTAGCCATTCAATTAGTTAAAGGGTCATATCAAACTAGACAGTAGTTTGCCATAACATTTAGCTGTTGTTGACTTTATGCAACACAAGTTTTAATTTTCTTTTAGACTGGAAATTGTCTCAACCTTGATGCAATAATTCTAGTGAAATTTATCCTGTTTACACTGTTGACTATGCGAATGTTACTAAATAAATAGGACAACTACAGCCTTTTTTTTTACCTTTGATGAGCTAGCTTTATCTTACCCTAGATTTGCTTGCCAAGAAAGGTGGACAACTTTACCAATATGCCTCAGAAATGGAGCTGAGTTGATCCACCCTCAACAATAAAGATTAAAGATGAACCAAAAGTCAAATAAAAACTGACCTTGAATGAAATTTTGGTAATTCGGTAGCAGAATGATGCAAAAGGTCTGCATATCTTCTTTCAGAGAAAAAAAGGTTCACATCTGGTTTTTCCATGTGTTAGCCCACTACACACAGGAAGGATCATATTCTGTTCTCCTTTTTATTTTCTAATGATTGGTACAGGTAATGTGGGGGGCAGCCCAAGCCAGAATATGTGATTTATATGTCATTCTTGTCTCTCTTAGCACCAGAGGTTTGAGTCTACAGTGAGCAAGAATGAGGATGGGACATTAGCCACCTGATCTCACTTTTTCTCACACTGGAAATTATAGACTATGATTTTGTTGTGCCCTAGTACTATAAGCCTGCATATTCCTCCCTACGCACATCATTAATTTTCTTTATTGCACATGTTCCTGTGAAGAGTTAAGTTTTCTGTGAAGTCAGAAAAATATTCTAAAAAGGCCATGGAGAAGATATTGGATTTGTCATTACTAAAACATATAATTAAGGAAGATATGACCACAGGAAAAGATATATTCTTCTTTAAATGTTCTCTATTCTGTCCATGGTTAACCAAGTTCTTATTCATCAGTATTCTCATTCCAGTCCATTTCTGCTGCTAAAAGGATGAAACACAAGGGCAGTGACAATATGATAAATTGATATATGCCTGTAGTGATGTAGTATAATGCGATTACCGATACACAAGGAATTCTTGTGATTGCAATTCCTTGCAAGCAAATTGCTGATTGCAGATGCCGCCTGAATCAGCTCCCACCAGAGCCAAATCACTGAATAAAACAGGAAAAATATTACCTTTGGCCAAACCACTGAATAGTGGATACAACAGGCAAAATATTACTCACAGTAATAAGAAGTCTACATCAAGGCTTAACAGAAGTCAACTTCCAGGATGCAAGAGGGAATGTTGCAACATGAAAGATCCACGGCCACCATTAGACGAGGAATTATGCCTTATAAAGTACTGGGGCATTATGCATGCTTCTAATTACATTGCTTGATCGCCCAGAAATTCTTCAGTAAAATCTCCTCTCATTTCTATTTCATACTTTATTGAGAGAATCCTTTCTACTCATACTGTTGATAGTTCATGAGCTAATACTTTCTTCTAGAGTGTTTTCCTATATACATGCTCTCCTATTCTCTTTTAACTTTTAGACTTATAAAAATTACTTTGGGCGAGAGAAAATATAAGAAAGGCAAAGTGAAGTTGACATCACTAAGTGCAGAATTTATCCTATTATCACTTTATCAACCTTAGGCAATCCAAAACAAAGCGAATATTTATTTTCCTATGTGTTTGAAGTTGTGCGATAGGACATATATAATCAGTTGATGGTAGGAAAAATGAGTTATAAGTTGCATCATGTCTATAGGCTTAAAGAATCGAACCTGAACTTTTCGACATATGATCTCCCATAGATCAACCGGAATTTCTTTTGATTGCCCAGCCATTTTCTATTTCTAATGTGGTAGCCAGTAATCATAGTATTTGTTCTCATCAGGAAAAGGAAAAGAGAAAGCTATGGTGATTAGTTCGGCGATCGATCGATTGCAAAAGTATTTCCTTAAATCAATGATACTAAAAATTTTTGTTTCACACTAATATAAAATTTTAAATATTGGTGACTAAATCATATATTGGAAACCATGAAATGTCAACAAATGTCAAGTAAAAAGAGTATCTATCAAAATTCAAGGTGTTACAAAGCATACTAAAGGTTAATATATAGTAGAAGAACCAGATCATTATTGCCTAGATGTGGCCTATAAATGTAGAGTAACTAGTTTGTAAATGTCAATGCATACCTTCAAAATTCAAACAGTGGAAGGCTCGGAAAGAACATCCAACAGTCTATAATGTGGGGTCTGGTTTATCTAGCTTTCACATAGACAAAAAGGCATCGGACATAACCAGACCATCTCTAGTTTTTTTTTTCTAGTACATTCAACACTAAAACGCAGAGAGTCTAGAGTCTAATAGAAGTGAATATGGATATTTAGTCGGCGCGCAAAAGGAAACAGCAATGAACAAATAAAGCATAGCCATCTTTAAAAGAAGAAAGAAATGGCAAAGCTAAACAAAAGTACACGAGTAAAGTATCTGGGAAGTAAACATAGCTAGCATTGCGCTTGATTTGGGACAATCAATTTAGCAGGACATTTAACAGTGATTGCTATATAAGTAGACTTTGTTTCTCTTTTTCCATCTAGTTAAGATCAAAAGACTGCCTGCTGACCCAACGCAATCAGGAGCCTTTGAGGAGTCGCAACTCACAACTAAGCAGAAGCATCAGGATTCTCTCTGACACAGAGTATTAATGGTCTAAAAATACTACGTAACAATATAGCAACCACAAGGATAAAGAAGCTGTGCACAGGCTTCCGCAGGCAGTCAGTCCGCCCAGTTGATTCAGTCCATAGCTCAGGTTCACAATCACCTTCTGCCTGCCAAATCAAGAAACGATCTCAGTACATGGAATTGTAAAACTGACAAACAAGAATACATGGAGGCAGCATCGAGACATTAAGCCCTAGTATCCAAGGGAAAAGGAAAGTGTTCAGCTAACAAGAACTACAATGTATTTCTTTATGAGCTTGCAAGTGAAAGGCTGATGATATCCACCACTGAAGACTACTTAGGATTTAGTCATAACAATGTTACCTCTTTTCCTGACTTTCAACTATAAAGCCCACCTATATCTAAACATGCCAATTAAGCATGCAAATCATAAGATTCTTATATTATTGAAAGGGAACACTCCAAAACACACAATTGAACAAACTGAATCATATAATCTTCCCTCAGTTGTGCATGTGACTTTCCTCTGGTAAATGTGGTACGGTGTGAGCCAGACCGTAGGAATTTACATCACAAAACAAATGAAAATATAACATATAAGTAAAATTGAAGAAGTTTCGAGGTGGATATACACTATCAGTCTATCACCATGAATCAGTTTCTGTACTTGCCCCAAAAACAATTCACACAGCAATAAAGAGAAGTGATACATTGACAGTTTTATTTTATCAGAAAAAAATGAAGGTGTTAAAATAGTAACTAAAGTAAATCAATTGAACTACTTAAGTCAAGCAGGTGGAACATACCTGTAACTAGTTAATTTTAGGGCTTAAGTAGTACTGCGGATCTCTGAAGAACCTGACAATTGTCTCTGCCTTATCCGTGGAAAGGTCAGTGTTTTCTAGAATAAATTTCTTGGATGCTTTTGCAATTGCTTCAATAGACCCAATAGCTTGGGCAAGCTTGAAAATCAAGTGTGACATCAATATCAGCATGGCATTATATGAACAGTAAAATGTTATCTCATGTTAAGCATGAGGATTGACCATATATATCTACTGGGTAGGCTATAGGAGAAAAGGAATAAATGCTAACAGATTAGTACATAAATATATCAGGAATAGAAAACGATCAATTCTCATCATGAAAAGTTCCAAAAGGTCAGCACTTTGCATGGAGAAGGTCCAATAACTGTGTTTAAGCTCAGTTATACCCTGAATTAGCTGTGGAGTAATGCTAAGCTTATCCTTTAGAACGATTTAGTAGAATGAGTACACAAAGATGGTACTTATATATGCAAACAATGTCTCTAATACATTTTCCCTAAAGAAAGAACTATCAATTAAGTATGCGGACTTATAATTAACATTTTTATGCAAGCAAGCAAAAGACCATCTGGTCATACATAAGGCTAAAATAATTGAGTGCATACCGCATTGGCGTCATGATTGTCAATACCAGGAATAGAGGTGAGCACACGTAGAAAGGAATCAGTGCACTGAACTGCTTGCTCCCGCTACAGACAAGCAGGAAATCATTAGGCTCCATTTCAATTATAGACCAAGAAATAGAGCACTGTGTATCTGGAAACATGTGAAAGCACCTCATTCTTCAGTCTTGAGATAATGTCTTGCTGCTTGCATACTGAATAAGAAAGGAGTGTCGATCAATGTCAGCTTACAATTCAGAATTTGAATAGGACTGAGAGAATTGCTAAATGAAGTTTGAGATTTACCTCCAAGTGCATGAGCTATCTTCACGATTTTCTCGAACCCCATCTCCGGATCAGTAACAGGCACAAACGTAGGAAAGCCAAGCTTCATACCATACCTTGAATAAGAAATACATGAAAATCAATAGCTCAACTAAAATATTCTGGCATTAACATTATGATAGGTGCATACTTGTGATATGATCGATTAAATGATTCGTTTTGCTCTTTTGTAGGAACAGCAACAACAACATATAGATGTTTTAACTGCCTCTTCAGCATATTCACCCTGAAAAGGCATATCGAAACTGAAGTCATTATCATAGTCGTTAGGGTGGATTGGAATAGGAGTCTCGCACCTGCTAAAGACAGCACCTTCATTTTGACAATCCCAGTTTGTCTCAAAGATAAATGCAACAGATAGCTCCCCATTGTTGAATATAAAGTCCTGGGAAACACTTGCTCAGGTTACAGAAAGGCGCCACAGAAACAGTTGTGTGACGTTGAAGCAGGAAGAGGTGCTTACAGGAGATATTGACAGGAAGTTTAGGCGGTATGAGTTTGCAGCTAAGAATGCAGCAATAAAGTTGATGAGGCTTGGCTGTTGTTTATCCCTCCATGAAGTGCTCATTGCGCATACTCCACGACCTGCAGGACGGTGCCCAAAACCCCAAATAGAGTAACCAAAAATGTGCTCAGTGTAGGATAAGCTAAAAGCAGCCTGCTGCTTCTTTGCTTCAGGCTTCCTGTACTGGTCTAACATTGGAGATTCCATATGAAAGAATTCTAGAGTGCAAACTGAATTTCTAAGTGCTCCTGAGTCCTAACATACTGAAATTGAACAGCAGAGTACTGCAGACTGATTGGTTTAAATGAAATAGGACATGAACATGAACATGCCATTAGCAAGTAAGACGTGTCCACAAGTAGCAACAGGCTGGTGCTTCCGGAAACAAGCAGCCATTCCTAGAACTAGAAGTAAGAAATGCCGAAATTGAACAGGTGAACACTGCAAAGTGACGGCCTTAGCTCCTTAAGTAGGAGATGAACATGGCCACGCGCCCATGCCATATAAGCAAGTAAAACATATCCACAAGCAGCACTAGCCTGATGCTTCCAGAGAGGCAGCCATTCCTAGAACTAGTAGGATTGAGAAATGTAACTCGTACCGTACTGAACTCATGATTTTGCGACATTGCGGGCTTGATTGATCCAGTATGGGGCGATGCCCTAGCGCGTGCGTGAGAGGGGGAGAGAGAGAGAGCGAGAGGCGAGGGAGTGGATGACCTGGAGCAGCGGGTTCGGGCGGCGGCGGTGGGAGGCAGGTCCAGCCGGTGGAGTGGGTGGAGCGCTCCATCGGATCGGAGGAGGACGGCGAGACGAGGCGGCGCCGCGACGGGGATCGAGCGGAAGAGCCAGCCAACTCGCCGCCGGTTTGCCGTCGACTCGGCTAGTGCGGTTTCGCGGCGGCTTTTGCTCGCGCTGGGCCTCAAGTGCTAGACTGCTACTTCTTCCTTGAGGCCTCGTTTTGTTATGGGCCAAAGCCCGGCACTTCGGCAAGGATGGGCCAGATGTTTGAACCCAGGGATTTGGTCCGTTTGAAAGGAAATGAAAATGGGCCAAATTTCCTGGATTTGAACAAAACTCTTTTCTTGTGTGTGCGCTGGATTTTTCATCTTTTTTGTCCTTTTAGAAAACTTATTTTACAGATATCTTTTTTTTAAAAAAAAACTTATTTTAGAAATGGACCATTTTTCATGGCATCAATGAATTGGCGTCATCTCTATTGTCCCCGGTGAAAACTAAGTCACTAATATAAAGGGAAAAGGCGCCAATGTATAATAAGTTTTTCAAAAGGTGAAAAATCGGGAGGGGGTGTAATTGCTGAATGGCTGTTAAATTATTGGCGCATTTCATCAAGTAGTAAGTATATATTATATTCCCCTTATGTAAGTATTGCGTCATGTTTGAACATTGTTTAATCGTGCTTTTCCGGTATTTCTGGGCACTGACAGAACCATATGGCGTTGCTTTATATTTCTCTTCTTTTCTTTTCGGACTGAAAGGATATCACTGAGTTTGAAGCCTGATCGTGTCGTGTAATTCTGCACTGTACCTCAATTTGGCGAGTTAATTCTAGTATTGATCATCTGTAAGCTAACGGTTGGGCAAATGAAGAGCAGCACGCACCGTGAAAAATGATGATGCAGCTACATGGTAGTATCTCTTTTGAGCTTCACGCCGTGGAGACTAGTTATAATTCAGCTCCAATGATGCTGCCCCCGCGAGGCACATGGCGAATTCGCCCAACGGCCGGCCAAACAACACCATCAGTAAAATCTTTTTTTAAGAGGCTCGCTAGCTAGCGGCAGCTAACAAAATGATCAACCACAAAGCGAAGCGACTGAAGAAGTCTTCTTAAGTTTCAGTTTCAGTTTCAGGGCGTCCAGTTGCGTGCGTGCTACTGAAACAACCACGAGTTCAGACCACGGTTTACATCACCAGTTTACCACTAAATTTTGAGCCCCATCAATATCACGATTTTTGATAAATTTTGATCGGTTTTCGATAAATTTCAACTGAATTTCGATCAAATCTATTGTTTAACCTTTAAAATTTCAATCGAAACTTAATTTCGAGTCGTGTCAAAACATCGAAATTTCACGAAATTCGACCGGTTTTCATCGGAACTGTGAACCTGATTCAGACTTGAGAGTTCAGACATCGACACGGCTGGCTACTGAATGATAGTATATAGTAGTAGTAGTACTTACATATCCGTGGCGAATGCGATCGATTGAAAACTGAATTTGAGAGGCCATTATTCAGAGAGAAAAAAAAAAGGGTGAGCAGCAGCATTTGCTCCTATCCTAATCGGTCACCATGATTGCCCGATGGAGCGGGCATCATGACATGAGCCGGCTTCAGTACTCCGAAAAGGATATCAGGGTAAAGGACTGATTAAAAAGCGACAACGTACACAAGCATGCATGTCCAAGTAGTAGTAGTATTAGTTTGAACTAGAGAAAGAGCAAGCAAAGCGCCGTCGGGGCGGGGCATCGTGTTCGCAGTTGCAAATGTTCAGTGAGATGGGGAGGTATATGATGCATGTCCATTCGATCCATTGCTTGTGATCCACGTACAAATCGAATCCGAGGTGCTCGCAATTCGTTCGTAAGGCCTCATCAATTCGGATCCTCATGATCGAACGCAATGCGATTCCGAGTGTCGATGGCATGATGATACTTTGCTTCCTCCTTCCGCGCTCCAATTCGCCTTATTACTCCCTCCGTCCCACAATATAAGGGATTTTGAGTTTTTACTTGCAACGTTTGATTATTCGTCTTATTCAATTTTTTATTATAAATATAAAAAATAAAAAGTTGTGTTTAAAGTACTGTAGATGATAAAGTACGTCATAAATAAAATAAATAATAATTTTAAAAAAAATTGAATAAGACGATTGGTCAAACGTTGCAAGCAAAAACTCAAAATGCCTAATATTATGGGACGAAGGGAGTAGCATTTAGCAGTAATTCCTCTCTATGTCTGTGTCGGCGGCGGCGAGTGGTGACTGCTGAGCCCCTAATCCACTGTAAACTATCACTAGCAAAGGACGCTAATGTCAGTCGATCACACTGTTTGACCAGAAAATAGGAGTACTCAGCTTTCTTTCTGCATGCTCTGTTTCTTCGAGGTTTATGTCAGTCGAAGATTCTTCACTGCTACTGCTCTCGGTTTCTAGTGTACAGTAGCAGAAGTTCCACGTTAAAATTGAAAGTTTAAAGAAATTAGAACGATGCGACGGAAAAATTGAAAGGTTGTATGTGTAGGAAAGTTCGATGTGATGGAAAGTTGGAAATTTGAAGAAAAAAAAATTGGAATCTAAACAATGCCTGGATTATTTGAAACTCTCGAAGGGACGTTCACTCATTGTTTATATCATTGTATGTCACTTAAATAGCTATGAAAAAAATATAAATTAATATGTGATAGATCACATGAACATTTCATAAATATACAAGTTACTCATTCCGTCTGTAAATATAAGGGATTTTTTGTTGGATATAGTAGTAGTAGTATATCATATGAATGAATGTGGACAATTCAATCAAAATCTCTTATATTTAGGGACGGAAGGAGTATAATTTAACTTCTATATGTTACAGTGAAAAAAAACAAATTTTATTATAAATATACGTTTAACTAACTTAGTTTAATATGTTTCCTTTTACAACTTACGAAAGTGAATTTTAAGTTACATGGGAAGTGTATAAATGTAAATATATCTTGTTATTTCTTAAAAAAAATCTTGAGAGTTTAAAATTCCTACTACGTAGAAGTAGACAGCAGTGGAGGCCAGAAAGAGAAGATCTGGGCCGTTTATTTTAGGCGATACGGACGGAAGCAGGACGTGTCCCATCTGGCACGGCACGGTACAATCCTCCAATTCCCATTCCCATTCCCATTCCCAATCCCAAGCATAAATAAAACCAAAACTCCCTCTTCATATTCCCACCCATGACTCCGACTCCGACACTGACCCATGCCCATGGCCGCGCTCCGCCTCCTGCTTCTCGCGCTCGCCGTCGCCTGCTGCGCCGTTGCCGAGCCGCCGCAGCAGGAGCGCTCGGCTCTGCGTGCCTTCCTCGCCGGCACGCCGCACGAGCGGGCGCTCGCCTGGAACGCCTCCACGCCCGCCTGCGCCTGGGTGGGCGTCACCTGCGATGCCGCCAACGCCACCGTCGTCGCGCTCCGCCTCCCCGGCGTCGGCCTCATCGGCCGCGTCCCGCAGGGCACTCTCGGCGCGCTCCGCGGCCTCCGGGTGCTCTCCCTCCGATCCAACCGCCTCTTCGGCGACGTCCCCGGCGACCTCTTCTCCCTCCCCGACCTCCGCTCCCTCTTCCTCCAGGGCAACCTCTTCTCCGGCTCCGTCCCGCCCGACGTCGCCAAGCTCACGGCGCTCCAGCACCTCGCGCTCTCGCACAACAACCTCACCGGCGCCATCCCCTTCGCGCTCAACGGCCTCGCCAACCTCCGCTCGCTCCGCCTGGACGGCAACCGCTTCTCCGGCAGCCTCCCGAGCTTGACTCTCCCGCTCCTCGAGGACTTCAACGTCTCCTACAACCAGCTCAACGGCTCCATCCCCGCCTCGCTCGCGCGCTTCCCGCCTGAGTCCTTTGCCGGCAACCTCCAGCTCTGCGGCAAGCCCCTGAGCCGCCCATGCGAGCCCTTCTTCCCGTCTCCTGCTGGCGCGCCGACGCCGACGGATGGACGAGGCAGCGGAGGCGGTTCCGTGCCAGTGTCCGAGAAGAAGAAGAAGAAGCTGTCCGGCGCGGCGGTCGCGGCCATTGCCGTGGGCGGCGGGGCGGCGGCACTGCTGGCCCTGGTGCTACTCGTGGTCTGCACCGCGGCCTCCCGGCGCCGCGCGGCGAACGGCGAGGTCGGGAAAACAGCGGCGGCGAGGGGCCTGACGCCGCCGTCGACGGCGTCGGGGGAGCTGGGCGAGGTGACGTCGTCGACGTCGAAGGAGATCGCTCTGGCGGCGGCGGCGGCGACGGCGGAGAGGAGCCGGCTGGTGTTCGTGGGGAAGGGGGCGGCGTACAGCTTCGACCTGGAGGAGCTCCTGCGGGCGTCGGCGGAGGTGCTGGGGAAGGGGAGCGTGGGGACGTCGTACAAGGCGGTGCTGGAGGAGGGCGCCACGGTGGTGGTGAAGCGCCTCAAGGAGGTGGCGGCGTCGCGGCGAGAATTCTCGGCGCACCTCGACTCGCTGGGCAAGGTGGACCACCGCAACCTCCTCCCCGTCCGAGGCTACTACTTCTCCAAGGACGAGAAGCTCCTCGTCTGCGACTACCTCCCCGCCGGCAGCCTCTCCGCCACGCTCCACGGTCAGTCGCTCTAACCACTCCTCCATTCGACCGGAATTCGCGCGGTTTTTGCTTGCAAGTACGCGCCCAACTCCAGTCCAACTAAAACGCTAGGAATTGTCGCTGCATATGCATTGCAGTATAGTACGATAAACAGTGTGGGTGTCATGCTGTAAAGCGAAAGCCATTGGGGCACACCTACACACACGACACACTGACTATGAGTACGATACACGCAATGCTAATCTCATCAAGCGAGTGTCGTCTGTGATTTCAATTTCGATCGGAGATGCTGTTGCGATATCAACTACGAACAGGTGAAAACTGTAGCTACTGAATTCGTCGGCCAAGTGCGTGCTAGTACTTCAGAATGCAGTCCAGCAATTGAGCAAAATTATCAAGTACATTTCCACGCATGAAACATTCTCTGTGTTGGCGATTACTGTTTGGAGCTACATATTCAGTTATTACTACTACTTTAACGGTACAGCTACTTTGGTACGGGGTTTTTCTTTAGAATGTTTCATGGCATGGAGGTACGTATGTTTGCTCTAACAAAAGCAACAGTACGGCACATAGTACATATCACTGTAGAGTGTAGGTTAAGCATTGTTTTAGACAACATCGTCGTTTGATTTGCATCAACATCACTGCAAACTTCCTCAGTAGTAAACCTTCAGTCTAATTCAGGAGGTGGTTGGTAGGAGGTGTAAGGTGAATTTTGGGTCAAGCTGTAGATAATTAGTCACAGTGCAATCCAATGATTCGAGATGCTACAACTACGAGTAGTCAGCAAGGGGCATGTACAAGAGATGTGGACTCTAGCTTCTTTCCAGCGGCGCATGGGCTTGAGGTTCCAAACCTAGGAAAGTGATTGAGAGGGTAGCGTTTGCATTTGACCAGCGTTCTTCAGATTCCAAATGGCTTATGTCCAAATCATCCGAAAGGGATTGAAAGATAAATGTAAGGTTCAGTACCCATCTTCTGCTATCCATGATGCCGCCCTGAATTTTAAAATTTTCTGAACGACTGGCCATGCTAGTTTGTTTCTTTCGATTTTATGCAAGTAGTAGCAAAATTTAATTACTGCTGTTCATCAGTTACCAGAGGGCAACTTTGCTTTATTTTGGGTATCACTCAAATGTCAATTGCCTGTCACAAGCGAAGCATTTAGTACCAAATCCTTAATTCTGAGATTTCTCTGATTGCTTAGTTGTTATATTCTTTTTCAATAAGTCAAGGTTTTTTATTAACTGTAAACGTCACATGTTCTGTCATACGCGTATGCTAATTACTACCTACTACAGCTTATCCAGCATGTTGATCTTTCATACAAGCAACGTATGTAGCATGCATAATCTGTGTGTTTTACATCACAATTGTTATATTTAGAAGTCCACGAACACGTACGGCATAGTTTTTTGCTTCTTAATTTCGAAAGAGAATCCATTATTTCTCTAACTTTTTTTTTTGCTGGGCTTTCTCTAACCAATCTCTCATTCTCTCTACCAACTCGACCAACCTGAGTACAGGTTTTGTATTCTGGTTTCAATAATAGAAGATGCTTGCCTTCTTGCTGTCCAGTAGTAGTGCCTACCAAAAAAAATCAGGTTTACTACTCTGTAGTGTATGCACCAATGGAAACAAAATTGGAGGCGCGATTCTGTATCACTAATAATTCAGCCGATAGAGACAGGCTCATGCGATCTTTATCCCGTTTAAGAACTGTCTTTTCATCACTTCACTTGTAAAACTAGCATGTAGAAATCACAGAAATGATAAAAATTTTCATGCAAAACTAATTGTAGCATAATTGTAAATTGTACTTGTTTATGTTCATAATGAAAAGTGTGCGCGTCCGTATTGTGTTAAAACAACACTCCCTTCTTCCCACAATATAAGATGCTCACTCATTTCAAGATTTCAGATTTAAAACATTTTGACCAACATTTAATACAACATTTAGTTTTACTGTGCATTGCTTTGCTGCTCTGTGTTTTGTGGCTGGAAATGGCTGACAGTGAATTGACCTCAGGGAGCCGGGGCACCGGGAGGAGGACGATGGACTGGGACGCGCGGATGCGCGCCGCGCTGTCGGCCGCGCGCGGCGTGGCGCACTTGCACGCCGCGCACAGCCTCGCCCACGGCAACCTCAAGTCGTCCAACCTCCTGCTCCGCCCGGACCCCGACGCCACCGCGCTCTCCGACTACTGCCTCCACCAGCTCTTCGCCCCGCTGTCGGCGCGCCCCAACGCCGGCGGGTACCGGGCGCCGGAGCTGGTGGACGCGCGGCGGCCGACGTTCAAGTCCGACGTGTACTCGCTGGGGGTGCTGTTCCTGGAGCTCCTCACCGGCAAGTCACCCGGGAACGCGTCCGTGGACGGCGACGGAGCGGTGGACCTCCCGCGGTGGGTGCAGTCGGTGGTGCGGGAGGAGTGGACCGCGGAGGTGTTCGACGTGGAGCTGGTGCGGCTCGGCGGGAGCGCGGAGGAGGAGATGGTGGCGCTGCTGCAGGTGGCCATGGCGTGCGTCGCCACCGCGCCGGACGCCCGCCCGGACACCGCCGACGTGGTCAAGATGATAGAGGAGATCGGCAGCGGCCACGGGCGGACAACGACGGAGGAGAGCGAGGACCGGTCGAGGGGGACGCCGCCGGCAGGCACGACGCCGTGAACACTCTACTCTCTCTACTGGTGTCGTAATGCAGCAGCACATGTCAGGGTAAATTGATGCATGAACAGCTTCGTTCGTTCGTTCGTGGCGAAGTTCTCTCACTCTGTTTTTTTTTTTGTCCTCCATTTCTTCAGTTTATAGCCTCTCTTGACTTGATCTAGTAATTCTTCCATTGTTTCGTCGATCAAATGAGTTGTTACTACCTGTTCGTTCCTCTTCAGCCAAGTGTAATTTTTCAGTCCGTATCTACTACCACCATTGTAGCTCTTCGTATATGCATCTTCATTTTGATGCTGTGAAGTATATGTAGGAGTATGACACATGAATAAACAGAAAACCTGTGAAGTTCTGTACCATTTGACAAAGCTGGGCGCTACCTGAATCTGAAGACCCAAGAAAAAGACAAACATGCATTGAGGCTCATGCTGTATCGCAAAAAAATCAGGAAAAAAACAATCCATCTCATCCAGAAAGAAAAAAACGTGCCCTCAGCCTTGTTGACACGAAGTACTAGTAGTACGTACAGTAGGTTGTTTGATTGGAGTCAGCACGTCAGAATGTGGGATGTCATCTTGCTGAAGAATCTGCATTTTTGCAGCTGTGGATGTCCCAGCAGAAGTAACATCGTCAGGTTAGATTTACAGGTGCTCTGCTCCAACCCTCGCTATCCGGGCCAGAAGGGGGAGGCTGCGGCCTGCGGGCGAGTAGGCCGTAGTGAATTGGGCTTTTGTAAGTTGGGCCTTTGCGGTGCGCGCGCGAGTGGGCCGCGGCCTTTTGACTTGTTCCTCCAACTCCAACTCCAACTAAATCGGTGGAACCTTTCGTCGCGCGGGCGCGGCGGCATGCGCGCGCTAATCTTCATCTCCTCGTGAATCACCACTGCAGCTGCAGCTAATAGTAGTAAATTCCATCCATGGCCGTCGCCTACACTAGTGACCACCGGCACCACCACCACCACCACGACGTCGTGGGCAGGCTGAGCAGCCTCGTCGCCTTGTGCGGCCGCGGCCTCTCGCGCGTCAGCCGCCGCCTCCTCCTCCTCGACCGCCGCTGCTACGGTGGCGGGAGGTCCGCGCCGGCCAAGCAGGACGGCGGCGGCGGCGAGGCCATCTGGCAGCGGACGATCCTGATGGGGGAGCGGTGCCAGCCACTGGACTTCGACGGCGCCGTCCACTACGACAGCTTCGGCCGCCGCATGGCCGCCCCGCGATCCGCCTCCTCCCTCTCCTCCTGCTGCTCCTCCGATAGCCTCGGCGCCGCCACCTCCGAGGCAAGCTACATCACCTCCACCTCCACTTGTGACGATGGCGTACTCTGAATGTATCACCATGCCATGCATCTAGCTCTAGCTTCATGCGTTTAATTGCCTTCAATTAGTATTTTTGTCACCGATGATATATTCTGCATTAGTTGCTTTATACATGTGCATGCACCGTACCCTTCAGTTTAATTAGCCTCCCTCATGCATTACAAGAGCGAGGCCGCCCCAGCTCATCCAAAGCTTAACAACCTACTCCCTCGATCCATTTCTAAATATTTAACGTAGTTGATTTTTTTAAATATGTTTGATCGTTCGTCTTATTAAAAAATTTAAGTAATTATTATTTTTTTTTCTTATCATTTGGTTCATCGTTAAATATACTTATATGTATGTATATAGTTTTACATATTTTATATAAGTTTTTGAATAAGACGAACAGTCAAACATGTGTATCGATCTCATTGCATTTGGGGGCCTTTTGCTCACATATACCTGCCTCTTGCATAGTTGGATATGTACACACACAAAGAAGCTGCCTGCATGCACGGGCGAATTCAGTGGGTCCAAACAGAAGAGCAGCTGCATTGCCTGCATCCATGATCCATATCCATCCAACAGATCGATTATAACCCGTCACAGTTACATGCACGCGCGCGTGGTGCGTGCAGATCCAAGCATGCGTACGTTGTGATACTGCATGTGTGATGTGCATATATGCTGCATGGTTTGTGTTAGCTTCGATCTTGTGGTTCTTTGCATGGCAAGATATATAGCATATGTAGCTACACAGCGGAGGAGTCGCCGTCCTTGGGCAGCTCGAGGGCGCCCTTGTTCTTGGCCGTCGACCCGTCGTAGTAGCAGAAGTAGAGGATCAACTGCGCCGCGCCCAGCAGCGTCCCCATGCCGTTCGGTATCTATTTATTTATTAATTATGATACATTAATATATAGTACTATTAGCTAGAATTACTCTATGATTATAATAACAACTATACTACTTACTGATCCTAGTAATTATTTATGAGATAATTGAAAGCATATATATATATATGCATGCATAATATGTATACCGTGATGAGGATGTCAAAGCGGATGAACGCGTATATTGTCCAGCATATGCCGTTGATGAAGCTCACCAGCGACAACGTGAAGGGCATGTACTCCACGCTCTTTGTCGCGATCACTTGTTTCTACATTCATTCCATGTAGTAATTACATCATTTTGCCACACACATATAAATCAAATAATTAATCATCAGATCAGATTCATGCAAAAAATTAATAATCGACAGATATATATACACATACCATGATGGTGAGCGGCGCGGCGTACATGAGGGTGCCGAAGAAGACGCAGAGGGTGCCAACGATGAGCGAGCGCTTGTCGTAGGTGTGGGCGCCGAGGAGCACGCCGGCGGCGACGGCGGCGAGGAAGACGAGCTCCACGGTGAGGACGCCGAGCATCCTGCACCGCTTGGGCTTGGGGGCGTAGGCGAAGTAGATGGCGAGGTAGGCGATCTCGATGAGGAGTCCGGTGCCGTTGATGGTGACGACGAGGATGCTGTTGGGGTGGATGAAGGGTAGGCCGTAGAACACCCACAGCGCGCAGTTGAGGAACGTCGCCAGGTACGGATCCGGCACGAACTCCTCCACGTCCTTCTTCTTCACGATCGTCACGAACGTCGGCAATGGCGACAAGAACAACCCGAACGATATCAAGTTACCTAGTACAATTAATCAATTATTAGTCAATTACTAATGTTCGATCAATATATATATATATATATATATATATATATATATATATATATATATATATATATATATATATATATATATATATATATATATATATATATATATGAAGCATCTACAAGCAGGTTCAATTCGAGACGACGTACCGATGATTCCAACGACATTGCGGACGGCGTCAGGGTTCATCACCATCTTGCCTGCTCCTCTTTGCTGCTACTTTTCGATATTTTCTCAGGCGAATAGATGGGAGTATGTATTAGTACAGTGGCAGCTAGCGAGAGCGTGTAGCTGATAGCAACTAATCAACCAGCAAGAGATTAATTAACTGTCAGGCCAGCAACTGTAACCTGATCAAATAGTTAACTTAGCAGCTAGCTAGCTAGTGTGCTGCTAAGTTAAAATTGGGGGTTAAATTAAATATATAAAATGCGTGGATTTTATTTCCACTGATTAAAATGGCGGCCTCTGCCCTCCAATTCCTCCCCCCTTAATCTTACGAGAGTCGGAATAATGGAGAGGCAGAGCACGGATTCAGATTGGCCATGGCCGCCCTTATATACACGACCTATGGCTAAAAAAAAACACATACAATTAACCTGATTAATTAAAGTGGTGCTAGCTAGCTTGAGGTGCAGAGACAATCTAGCTAGTTTTGGCTTAATTACGTGGGGCCAAAAAATGGACAAGCCAGGGTGGAGAGCTTACTGGAGCTCCGAAATGCATGCACAGCCGTCTGCTCAGTTTTACTCTTTTCCGTCACAAAATAAATTAATTTTGCCATGTCTATAGCATTTTCCAAAATAATCATCCAAAACAGTCTGGATAGTAGACTGTAAAACCAGAAATTGACAAAACCAAGTCTATTACTCGCTCATTACCGCCTCTCTAAGAGGATCTAGGACGCCATAAGCACATGATCGCAGCTACATAACAAACCAATAGAGTTGACGAACTGTACAACAATGTAGCAGTGGTGGGTGAAAACCACCTCCGTGCAAAACATGCCAAAGAAAGTACTCAAGTCGATGATTATCCTAGTCTCCTGGGAGTTGTGAAAGGAGATTAACTCTTTTCCCTCTTTTGTTAGGGCCGACTCTAACTCTCAAATGATGTACATATTTGAGGATCTCCTAACTCTATCAATATAAAAGATAATTCTTTTGCCTTCTTTTTCAAACAAATAAATCAAAATAAATATGTTTGTACCACTCAAGTTCTCTACCGCTCGTCTCAACTAACTACAACCATTTTACATTTAATTTTTCACTTACTTTCTTTTATCAACCAAACATCAATTTGTACCTAGCTTTTAATATCCGTATATAGCTTCAAGATACTTATATTTTAAAATGGAGGGAACTGTACTCACAAATTAATAATTATTGGTCATTTGACTGACACGTGGCACGCAATTGGCGTTAGATAGGCATCCGTACCGATCCGATCCGAATTATTAACCGTACACTTGCGGGATTGCAGGAGAGCATGCGATTTGCATGGCAAGTGAAGTGATTGATGATGGTTCGAGGTTTTGCTTGCATTGGCATGCCGATAGCATGAATAACGTTCGATCCATCAAACAATACACCAAGCATTTTGAAAGCACGGGCTTTCTTCTTAGCCGATTCAGCCCAACGCGTTGGTGCGGTTAGTTAGTTTCAGTTGGGCTGATTTCCAAATTCTGATGGGCCGATCGAGTTGGACCCGATGAATAGTAAGTTTACCTCGTGTCCCTCAACTTTACACCAAGTTTGTTTGACATCCATTATCCTCAATACCAGAAATATTCACCCCTAAACTATACTCCCTCCGTCCCTAAATATTTGGGGCCATTGACTTTTTAAAGCATGTTTGACTGTTCGTATACATAAATGTTTAAAACTTTTGTGAAATATGTAAAACTATACGTATACATAAATGTATATTTAAGAAGAAAAGGAATTAATAATTACTTAAATTTTTTTTGAATAAGATGAATGGTCAAACATGTTTAAAAGAGTCAACGGGACGGAGAGAGTATACAAAACCGGATAATCTGATTTCGTTGACGTGGCACCCTACCAGCCACATTAGCACGGCCCACCCCCTCTCCCTCTCCCCAGCAATTGGACTCGGATCGCCGCCTCATAACCGCATCCGACTCATGAGAGCGTTGCAGCGTTATATATGTAGGATGGACGTTACGATCGATGTGATACGTGTATCCAAATAGCGGTAGCGAATTGAAGGAAGATATATCGATCGGTTGAAAGTGATGATGGACGATGTGATGAGCGAGATCCTGCTCCGTCTGCCGTCCAAGTCGGTGGTCCGGTACCGCGCCGTCTGCCGGAGTTGGCGGCGGATCACAAGCTGCCCCTACTTCCTGGCCGCCCGAGATGCTGGTGGGATCCTGCGACGGCCTCCTGGTGCTGGAGCAGGACCACGGCCTGTACGGATGCTGGTACACTGTAGCATTTGGACGGCTAGGTTCGTGTGTGTAGAGGAGAGGGATGATGTGATGGTGGTGTGCGAGTCCGCCCATGACAAGAAACTTAATACCCAACATGCTGCTGGCCTTTACCATCTCCGTGACAACAAGTTTTTGGAGCCCGCACTTGATCTTGGGGAATGCTCCCTCTCAGAGTTTCGGTTCAAGGAAAAGCCTCGTCCGACATGCCTTCTTCGACTTGCCCCGCTCTCCCGACTTCAAATTCATACCCTTCGATCTACCCCCCCCACCAATTTCCCCTTTTCTCACATATAATTATAGGCCCTATTTAGATCCCCTGGCAAAATTCTACACGCTGTCAGATCGGATATTTGGACACATGCATGGAGTATTAAATATAGACGAAAAAATAACTAATTACACAGATTGCGTGTAAATTGCGAGACAAATCTTTTAAGTCTAATTGCGCCATGATTTGACAATATGGTGCTACAGTAAACATTTGCTAATACCGGATTAATTAGGCTTAATAAATTCGTGTCGCGGTTTACAGGCGGATTCATTATTAGACTACGTTTAATACTTTAAATGTGTGTCCGTATATTCGATGTGACACATCAAAACTTGACACCTCTGGATCTAATCACAGCCATATATCATGATGCAACACTGTAAATATATATATATTGATGATGAATGGAATGCCTGGAGATAAGGGATGTGGGGCTCTGTTTTCGTCTGTTTCACAAGCTATATGAAAACTTAGAGGCATCTGCTTTTTATTTTTCTGAAATAATTTATGTGTCACAATACATCACGCCATGTACATTCACTAGATCTATAGAGGGGGGGGGGGGGGGGTGTATGTACAGATTTACAAAGTTACAGGGTTTGGAGAACTAGCCCAAAAGGATCAATTTACAGGGCTTTGGCCAAGTCCGCTACCCAGGTTGAGAAGATAGAGAGTTACTACAGGAGAGCGGGAGGTTGCAGAGCTCTCTGCCTAGGCAGAACCTCTCCCTAGGGCTGGTTATGCTGTGTCCTGCTTCTCCATGAAAATTTCTGCTTCCCTCCAGATATCCTCAAATAGCTGTTGTGCCGTGCACATTTTGTGTTGAAAGATCCTTGCAAATCTATAGCCTTCTGCAGGGCTGCATATAACTACATGTTCAATTATGAGCTTGATTCCCTGAGCCAGGCTGAGAAAAACTCGGTGGACCGTTCTCCAAAGCGCGTTTTTTCCTGTAAAAGACATCTATAATGTCGAAATAGCTGGAACCAATAAGGAATTCTAATCATTCTGTCAAAGGATCCTTACCTTCTCTGAAAATGGTTCTGTTTCATTTTTCCAGTGTCACCATGGGACTCACAACCTCCTTTTGCTTCCTCACGACCTTGCTTCGGCAACTCAATTGATGTCTGAATTGGAATATCGCAACAAGGGAAAAAAAGACACATGCAACAGTTGTGAATATCTGATAAATTCAGTGAAACGCAGAGGAAATGTATTTCTTTTGCGAGGTGGAAAAAGGGGAAATGCATGACACCAATATTTCACATTTGCACACATGACACATCTCATGGCTAAGCATGCATGACTAAACACGTTCTCAACAACTAGATGAAAGTGGGCGTGCTTAGTAGCTTGCTGCTGGTAGTAGGTAAAGTTTTTAGAGTAGAAGACTTACGCCTCTTGCATTTTGATGATGCAACAGCTCTTTGGACGAGTTTGTTCTTCTTGCCGGCAAAGCTGGGTCTTTCAAAATGTTAAATGTTCTTCTTGACCTCTCTTGCCGCTGAAGGACAGAGCTGTCTTCACGGCTTGGATATATCTTGCAAATCTGAAAGAAGAAAAGTGAATTTTAAACAAATGTCTGGAACGAACTAATGAACAAAGTTACCAAGAAAAGCTAAACCGCACTTCCAATTTACCATTGCACAAAGGAATTCAGTTACCTGCTTGATAACACGATCGATAAGCTTATCCAAAGTAAATAGTACGTAGGAGTTGGGCCCAAGAAATTTCAAGCAGTGCTGCTCAAAGTTCCAATTGTCAGTAGACCCATCAATCAGGCTGCAGAGTTTCTCCTTGAAACTACACCATTCAATAAAATAAAAAGTTGTTGTTAAAACACAGATATTCAATGGTGAAATTTGAATAATTCTACTTATAGATAATAGGTGAGAATCTTAGACGTTACTGTGCATATGAATCATGGGTGCTTGCTCCTTCTGAAAGATTCTTAGCTACTAGTAGTCTCTCGTACATAACCTGCCACATAAATTAAAAATAAAATAAGATCATAATGCCAATAATTAGGTATAGAGGCCAATAGTTTGTCCAGAAGAAATATCATACTGCTGTCTATTAGATTAACAATCATGGTGATGCATATTGAGCAAGCCGTCTCTTTCATGTATAACAAAGTAAGAGCATACATAAATATTTTTTTGAAAGTAAGAGCATACATATTTGTGTTGAACTGTGTAGCTTGCTGTCTTGCTCAGTGCTCACTGGCATATTAAAAGTCGCCAATCCAAACAAAAATATGTAATAGGAACATACTGAAATACCTGGAGAAGCCGGCAGAGCACAGCCAGAGTGCAACAAGATATTCCTCTGTTTGCATCACATTCTTTAGATGTTCTTCCAAAATATTCTGAACTTCCAACCTCATTGTTGGAGTCATCTCTTGATGATTTATGCTCTTCAGATCCACTCCAATGTCCATAGGTACTATGCATAGAATTATTGGTAGGCAAACATCGAACACGCAACTGTATATTTTCTACATCTGGTATGAACTCACCCTCCTCAACCTCCGCGTCAAAATGATCAAGCGAAGAAGTAGACTCATTGGACTTGGCTCTTAGACTTTCCACTTCCTGAATGGAAAATAAAAATCATGTAGCTTTACTTACATTTATCTTTCAAGTCACCCAAGTTACTTTTTTTTTTCGCCGGGACGGCGAAGAATGCCGACCGATGTATATTAAGGAAAAGGGGAAAACTGTACAAACACCCAAGTTACTTTTACTTGATAAAGATGAGAAAGTAAGTGTTCATCAATTAACTTTCATGACAGAAGCTATTTATGCAAATCCAAAACACGAAATCATCATAATTCTAAGAGTAAAGTGTTGTAAGTACATATACCTTTGAAGAAAAAACAAACTCATTAGTAAGCACAGCAACAGGAATATTATTGAGAAAATCTCTGCTCATCCCACAATGTTCACAAACGTTTCTGCGAGAAACTGTATCCTTCAAGTCTGGCCATTGAAACTTCACAGAAACAAATGCCTTTACTAACTTTGTCCAATTCATCATTGGCTTATCTTCAGTAGAACAACTTCTACTATATGCATAGTTAATGATAACGCCTACGTCCTCATGAATGTGAATATCAGTATGAGATTTGATCCGACTGATTTGTTTGTCTTCTGCCAGCAAAGCTGCAAGAGAGATACTGAAATGAGTAAGAACGAACTAATAAAATGGTAAAATTTCCATGAATTATAACGCAGAACCTAGCTTCAGCAGTACATAATAGTAAAAGTACCTTTTGGGCTCATCCTTTCCATGTCTAGTTGTTTGAAGGAGGGACTACAATGATCAAGTGATCTGTAGTAATTATTGGCAACAGTATCTGGGCACATTTTATTCAAGGATAATCGTGCCTCGGAGAAATCTCCTATCTTCTGATTTAGACGAGAAAGTATAACAGCAAGAGCAGAACTGGTGTTCTCAGATTCTGACAAAGCATCAAGCATGTCAATGCCAGAATCATCATATAGCTGTTCAATGCACCTCTTATGTAGAGCTGCACATGTAAAAACAAGGAAAAAATGTAACACTCAGCTAACCACTCGAAAAGTTTTGGCTCCGAAAAATTTACATAGTACAGTATACTTACGAGTTAGGTGTTCTTGAATTTTCACATTGCTGCCAAACCGATATTGAAGATCCTCAATAAAGTCAGCAGTTGCTCTAAACCTCTGCAATAGCATGTCACTCTCAAACCTAAAAAGTAGTACACAACATTCATTGATTATCAGTGACCAGGCAAATTTTTGCTGATAGCTGAAAGAATGAAAACAGTGCTGAAGCATCTGAAAAACTAACATCTGTGTACTTACAAGTCATCTTCACACTTAAACATGTTTTCTTCATATTGATTTTTAGTTCTGAACTTGTAGCAATCCTCACGTCCAGATGTAACAGAAACCAAAGAATCATTTAAAATAGACCTTCCAAGTTCAGTTTGGTAGCTTGACTGGAGAGTCACACACTGAGATCAAGAAAGAGAATGTTAGAACAGATGCCAATGATTTACATGGAAAACTTGTGCGTTTGTAGGAATTTACATTCTTTGGTAGCAGGCAATAGCTAGGAGTGCAATGCTTGCAATTACTAGGATCCACTTTTAGGGGTAATTCGTTTTCTCGTGAGGTACTCCACTGAAGCAAAGGTTCAGCCTTGTGTTCCTCATCATCTTCTGCATGAGGTGATTTGTCATCACCTATCATAAATGATTAAACATAACTTCAACACAAGGGGTTCAATTAAATATATACAAAATACAAAAACAAGTGGCTAGCCACACAAAATGATACTGCATTTGTCTGTTGTTACATTGTATCATGTGCACATCAATAGAAAGAAACTAGATAATATAAAAACCAACACACCTAACTGTTGGAAAACAGTTGTACTCAGAAGTCGGAACATCATGCTGTACAACATTTGAATTGAATGGTTCACAATAGCGGTCCTCATAGTTTCTTTTTAGGATAATTTAGGAAGCACGAAAGGGTTTAAGAACCAATATATTCAACTTTTAACCTTTTCATTTAAAAAATTCTAAGGTGCATTCCTCCTAGAGACTGTAAATTGTAATTTATTATCTAGTAACTTGCCTCCACGTTCGCTCTCACGGCCTAGAAATTATCATATTAATCGGAGAAAAAGAAAAACAAAGTCCATATAGAAATACAATTTAGAGATAGCTGAAATTCGGAATTAAAAAATAAAGAATATTGGAAGAGAAGACTACAGTCCATGCCGGTATACAATTTAGAACTAATAAAAATTCGGAATTAAAAAAAAGTAAATTAAAATTAGGTTAGAGTCCATATAGATATACAATTTAGAAATAACTAAAAGTCGGAATTAAAAAAGAATATTGAAAGAAGAGTATATAGTCCATATAGAAATATAATTTAGAAATAAATACAATTTAGAAATAACTGAAATGAAGAATTAAAAAATAAAGAATATTAGAATAAGATTATAGAGTCCATATAGGAATTTATAATTAACTAAAATTCGGAATAATAATAATAATAAAATTAAAAGTAGAGTTTAAAGTCCATATAGAAATACAATTTACAAAAAACTAAAATTCATAATTAAAAAATATGGGAAGAAGAGTCTAGAGTCCATATAGGAATACAATTTAGAAGCAACTGAAATTCAAAATTAAAAAATAAAGAATATTAAAAGATGAGTCTAGAGTCCACATAGAAATACAATTAGAAATAATAAAATTCAGAATTAAAAATAAATAATATTGGAAGAAGAGCCTAGAGTCTATATATATACTCCTTCCGTTTCACAATGTAAGTCATTCTAGCATTTCCCACATTCATATTGATATTAACGAATCTAGATAGATATATATGTCTAGATTCATTAACATCAATATGAATGAGGGAAATGCTAGAATGACTTACATTGTGAAATGGAGGAAGTACAATTTACAAATAATGAAAATTCGGAATTAAAAAATAAGGAATAATATTGGAAGACGAATCTAGAGTCTATATGGGAATACAATTTAGAAATAACTAAAATTTGATATTAAAAATAATTAATAACTATCACGTATATACAATACAATATGAATGTACTGTTACACATTGGTAGTTTGGTTAGTACAAAATTTAAATTTATGTTGTCATTTTAATAATAAATTGAGAATATATTTATACTATTATATGAGAGAAAATACAATGATGCTAGCCGCGTAATCTGCGCGGGCCACCATGCTGGTTTCATATATGAAAATAAGCTCTAGCAAATGTAGCACTCAATTGCTGAGAAATTTGATAGTGACACTCCACGATGTGGGCTTCGATTATTTGACACCCTGGCACACTTCTATTCCCTCAAATGGTCACACATGTCATCTCACAAGAGTCAATTAAAGCAAATTGGCGACGAAGAAAGTGTCAAATTATCAAATTTCTCTCAATTGCTAGGGCATACTTCGAAATAACATCTGATACCATGAAATAGGTGAATGCAAAGATACGCAAATCATTTGTGCATTCTCTAGCAAAAAGGAAAACAGTTGGGCATGTATGACTGTTATTAAGAAAGGGTTCATTATTTGTGTCTAACTTCATTATTTCCTGAGAAGGATGTTAAAGCAAAGCACCTAGGGCTCGCCTGTATTTGGAGAATAAACAAATTAAGAGAAAACTTTCACACACCTTGCTTTCTAGGATTTTCAATCAGGCCAGTGGTTCTCTTAGTTTGTTTATGCCTCAAACTATAACCTCTGCCTTCATGGTTTTGGTTTTGGTCCTGAGTATACTTCAATGGAGTCGCTTGGTTTCTTCCATTGGTTGCTTTTACTCGGAGACCATCCAATTTATTCATAGCATCTAGAGTAAAACTCACAAACGTCTGCAAAGGAAATTTGATAAACTGATGATGGCACATGCGCTCAGAATAGAAAATTTTACTGAAAGCAGTGAGCTAGTGATACTGAGTTCAATAAATTATTTATAAAATAATTGTTCACCAACATGTTATAAGATATACGAGGAATGATCATTAGCAGTTAGGCCTTAGCATATGTTATGCGAAGCATGTAATGTATACCTCGCTGACTCGACTACTCTTTGGACTTGTGCAAGATTTCTCATTTGGCAGATGAGCCCTTAGGTGGTGAGGCACAAAAATTTTGAACTCTTCTAGGAACTCGGGATAGTTACCTATGATTCTCTCAACCTGCAAGTAAATCATTGTGAAATCAGGGCCTTTGCAATTATTTTGTCAAGCCATTATTGAAGAATGAACACCTTTTCGAGAACTTCTTCGCTGGTCTTGATTTCGTTCTTATAATATTTAGCAAGAACGTTCAGCAAAGCATGGAAATCTTCGCGGCTGATATCAGGACATGCCTGCAGGTATAAGGTCAAGTTAACAACAATTGGTACCAAACGAGCACCCACACCACACAAGGAGGGAGCAAGCAAAGCGGGTTTCTTTGGGCACCTTCACTCTCTCAACGAAATTGTGTGCCTTGCTACGCATCTTTGCTCTGCAAGGGCTATATCCTTGGATGAAGTGCTCGAAGACCTGTATGGCTTCAGGTTGGCCGTCCAATATCTCGAGAATAATTTCTTTGCATTTTTCAATCGACATGTTCCTGAATTCAGGATCAGGATTCTTTATCATCAGTCATCAAAACTCACAGCCGAGTAGATGAGAGGATATAGTGATTGATACCTCTGCCTCCTTATCTTGATCATAGATCGGACGAAATGGCTGTATACGTCGTCAGGAAGCTCTGACTTGACAAGTACCAAAAATTCCATCGTCTCGACTCTGTAGGGATCCCTCTCCGTCCTCGCCCTTTTGGACGGAACGCCATCGCCAGGATCACCGGCGGAAGAATCCATTCTATTTCTCCTAATTATTTAGGCGAACACCTGCACAAGAGCAGACAGATGCAACAAATCAGCAAAGACCTGCACGAGAACAGACGAATCTACAGTGACGGCCTCGTCTAGGCAACCAAAATCTACCGCCGCTCCGGTTATCCCCTCGCAAAAAAACCGAAAAAGGAATTCGATTCAACCAAGTCATCAATCCGCCGTAAGGGCTGACGAAACCGAGGCGATTAGGAGGAGTACTCTCGTGATCTCGGCGCCTTGATTCGCGCACGCGAGTGGAGGGACTGACCTCAAGTATGCCGGCGGCGGCGGACGCCTGGAGGAAGGAGGCGAGCGACGAGGGCACCGAGACTCCACACCTTCCGGAACCTTCTAGAACCCCCGCGGCGCGGCCGCGCGGCCGAGGGAAAGAAGAGAGAGAGCGCGAGGGAAGAGATGAAGAGAAGGAAGACGCAGAGTATTTAAGTGGGCTGGATTGGATTGGAAACCGAGACGTTTCCTTCCGGTTTGAAATAAGTTCATTTTGGGTCCCTCTATTTGTTGCTCAGTCCGAATTTCGTCCTTTGACCGGGGTATGACCCATCCCCTAATTTACGAAAACCGGGCAAACGTGGTCCCTCGGCGGTTTTGGCTGACGTGGCACATACGCGGTTTGTTTGACTATATCTCCGTCCCACATGACAATGACATGGCGCTTACGTGGCAATTATATCTTATAAAAATAATAAAAAGCGTGGCCCCACATGTCAGCTGCAAAAAAAATTGAAATGGTGGGGCCCATGTGGGCCCCACATGCCAGCCTCACTCCTCTCTTCTTCCCTCTCCCTTCTCTCTCTTCTTCCCTTTCCCCTCTCTCTCTCCTTCCGGGCAGAGGACGGCGCGGGTGGGCGTCGGAGCAGGCGAGCTCCGGCGGCGGCGGCGGGCGTGGTCGGCGCCGCCCCCCGACCGGAGCGCCGCCTGTCCGCGTGAAGGCGAGTAGCGCGGCGACGCCCTGGAAGACGCCATCGACGCCGCCATCCGTGTCGCCGCCACCGACCACCCGGACGCCCTCCACGCGCGCCGGGACGGCATCGCCGAGAGCCTCTCACCGCCGCTCCACAAGCCGCCTACGCCGCGCTCTCCCCTCCCGACGCCGTGCTCCGCCTCCTTTCCTCCCTCCCCTGCGCCCCCAATTCCTTCATGCTCAACACCACGCTCCGCGCCCTCGCCTCCTCCCCCGGCTCGGCCTCCGCCCTCGGCTAGGCCACCCTCGGCTTCTTCTCCCTCCTCCGCCACGACAGCGGCAACAGCAGCGGCGGCGGTGGCTCGTACTCGCCTCACTCCCTCCCGGGCACGCGCGTATGGGAAAGGAGAAGAGGAACGAAGGAGCTAGAGCCATGCCGAGCTCCCTCCTCTCCTGCCGGCGAGCTAGAAGGGCGGTGGATGGCTAGGCGAGCTCAACCGGCGAGCGCGCGTGCGTCGCTCCCTCCTCTCCCGCCGGCGCCGCTCCCTGTGCGTCAGCCATCCGTGTGCGGTCCGTGCGAGGCACCGCTCCGGGCGTGTAGGCTTCCGTGTGCCTCCTTCCTCGCTCGCCGTCGCCCTCACTTCAACTGGTAAGTGATTCGCTCTGCTCCCCGTGCGCGCGTGGCTTCGAGTTCGAGGTGGCGAATTTGAGTTAACTCCGGAGCTCTTGAACTTTTGAAATTGGTTCGGATTCTGCGTGCCTTGTTCTTAATCGAGTGTGGTTTCGATGTGCGCGTGTGTTTCTGGACGGAAGTTCGGTGTATTGGAGGAAGGGAATTGGTTTGAACTTTGAACTAACTTGGAGTTCCTCGGTTGGATTTGAGCATCTGTGATGAAGCAGTGGAGAATCGCCTCATGAATTGCTTGTCTGTGTTTGCATTGCGGTGATTTGAACCTTGCTGCTGTGATTTCAGTTTGGTTATTAGGCGATCGCAACATAACCCAGTGAAGCAGTTCTGGTGCTGCTGTTTCAATCCTGCCGCCGCCGCACCGCCCGCCGTGCTGGACGCCGCCCGGCGAGAGGAGGGAGCAGAGAGATGGGGATTGGGGAGAGCCGGAGAGAGGAGGAAGAAGAGGATTGGATTCGGTCATTTGAGAATGACATATGGGGCCCACGTGGGCCCCACCATATTTTTTTAAGCTGACATGTGGGACCCACCATTTTTAAATTATTTTTCCTGTGGCTGACATGTGGGCCCACGATTTTTATTATTTTTCCGACATATAATTGCCACGTCAGCGCCACATCAATGCCACGTGGGATGGATAAGCCACGTAGGCGCCACGTCAGCCAAAACCGCCGAGGGACCTCGTTTGCCCGGTTTTCAAAAGTTGGGGGTCGGGTCGTACCGTTTTGCAGTTAAGGTACGAAAATCGGACTAGGCGACAAATAGAGGGACCCAAAGTCTTATTCCTTCCGGTTTCTATCCTCTTGTTGGGCCTTGCGCTCAATGCCAGGCGGCCCAGTTAAACTACACGCATGACAGCCCATCACAGTTTGGACATCCAGATGGGCCAAATTGGAATATAGCGATCCATTCGGCCCATCATATTGTAAGGCCCATCTTATGTATACTGAACAGAAGGGAAAGCCCACGACGCACCGGTACTGAGCACCGCAGCCACGGCGCCGCCGGCTGCTCGCCGGCGAAGGGAGCAGCCACGGCGCCGCCCACCACCGCCTCGAAGGCCACCTACTGCACTCGTCGAGGTCTTGTGTCTCCTCGGCCGACGAGTGGCTAGCGTTCTCAAGGCGGCCTCTCTCTCACAGACACCCATTCTCGCTGCTTCGTCGGGCTGTGGTCAGGTAATCTCCTTCCCTCCCGGGTCCGGGTAGTCGGCCTCTTCTAGTTTCAAGAGATGCTTGTTTTGATTGGGGATCTATGGCGCTCTTGACTTGATCCCTGCGTACTTGTGCTGTGCGGCAGTGGCAATGTCGGATTTGGCCATTTGGGGATTTTCAGGGTTCGGCTATCGTGCCGGCAATGGGGAGGGGGATTAACTTGATGTTTTATCAATTGATCTTCTGAATAGTGATTGATTTGCTAATACTATTACTTCACTGGATAGCGGAGATAACACTAGTTAAATTCTATAGAAACGTGTCAGGTTCTGTGCAATCTTATGAATGAATCCTTCATGCCTCGTCAATTTATCTCTTGTTAATTAATTGTAATATGGTAGCTTCTGAGTAATACTATCATATTCAAATCACTGTTGACATCATAGTAGAATCGAAACCTAAAAGGATTAATGATGTTGCAGAAATTAAGAGTTAGCTGTAACTGCAGCTGTTCTTATATGTTTTTAACATGGCTGTATTAATTATGTATCATCGAAATGTTTTCGTACCCTTTCATGTCATGTCCCTGCTATTTATTTAGCATTCGTTAGCAAGTATATGTGGCCAATCATGCTGATGAAATCCGCTAATGCGCTGAGAAACCTACAACCATCAACTAGCGCAAAAAAGGGCATCATGCCATTGTGCATTCTTACTGCTCCACCATCATTTAGTCAAAAAAACTGCTCCACCATCATGTCACTCAACTAGCACAATCACCTTTTTCTACTATGTACTTTCATTGGACTCTTCTTCACAGGACAAACCTGCATGTTTAAATTCACATGGGATGCATGTGTAGAAAGGACCAAATGTTGTATTGTAGCGGGGCTTATTTTCTGTATAGTACAAGTTTTGTTTTCAATCTTCTTATACATATTACAAGTTACTCAATTTGCATTGGCATTCAAGTTTAGAGTTACATAGTTGAAGCATTGTCATCAGGATTTTGGTTACTGCAGAAGTTCAGAGGACTTTATATGTCAATATGTTTTGGTTGCTGCAGAAGTTCAGAGGACTTTACATGCCCAATGTACAAGTTGCCGATGTGTCTAATTTGACAGCAGGAATTACGGTCTACAAGAAAGATAAGATGAACTGTATGCTGGATGCTTATGTGTTTAACAAGTCCTTCAAGGTACAGAGTACATCAATTGAACCTTTGGTTTAACCTTCTAAGTATGATAAGGAGTGCTAACAATTATGGATCAGAACATTTTTGAATGATACCAGCGATTTCTAGAAGTAATAACTGCTTTGTGGAGCCATTTATTGTACCTGTCTGTTCTGTGTTTTATTAATACTACATCAGTTTTCGCTGTGTTGTTGTTTATCCAACATTTCAAAGATGCATGCGATCTGTAGAAACACTTTGGTTTCACCTTTCCTTTTGGAAAAATAGTAGTCCTGTCGCTTGACTTAATCCCCACTAAGGTGTTATAAGGTTGATTGTGGACCTGTAGTCAAACTTCAAAGGTTACCTGAGAAAAACAGAAGTTGTCTTTTACTGAAAAAAAGTACATAATATAAATGTCACTTGACTTCTCCTAATCTTAAGAAATTTAAGGTCAGCGAGTCCTTTTAGAAGGTGATTGGTGACACCTTCTCCACATATATAACAATCAGCTGTTTCCTGTCTTCCTGAGCTACGATAAACATTTCTCATTGCAGTGATAGGAACTATAAATTGAATATGTAATAAATAACATATCGTTGCGCATATTACATCTAAAAAAAATGCTCTCTGGTTGTCATTTATGGTCAAAACTGTAACAATTTTCGCAATGTTTTTATAGGCCTCATTTACACGAGGAAGTGCTTGATCACGATTAGTTTCTATAATCCTATCTTCCCTGATCAATTGGGTTATGATGAATTTTACACCATTGACTGCTCATATTTATTTATCTTCTGATTTCCATTCTTGTTTTCAGCCTTGGTCTCTCCGGGTTCATTCCTCTTTGCCTTCAGAAACTCAGCAAGAACCTGAAGCGCGACATCGACATCATCATTCCTCATTAGGACCTCTGCAACCTCCGCAGGCGTTGTCAGCACCTCCTCAATCAGCTGCTCGATTTCTGGGTACATGGCATGGTTTTCGACATTGTGGTAGTTGCTAGCCAGAACTCGGAAAGCCTCTCGAGTGCAATACCCCATGTGGATGTGCATGTCCATCCTGCCAGGGCGCAGCAGTGCTGGGTCAAGCCGCTCTCTGTAGTTTGTTGTGAAGACGATGATCCTCTCCTCGCCGCTGGTTGACCACAGACCGTCGACAAAGTTGAGCAGTCCAGATAGTGTCACCTGTTAGAACAAAAATACCCAAAGTGGCAGCATCATTGGTAAGGATTAAGTTAGTTATCAAATCAAGAAGTGGCTGGGATTGGCATTGTCTATCATACTATATATTCATGAGACAATGATTGGTTATAACCAAGTAACTAACCTTGTCTTCGTTTTCTTCTCCTGAATAGGTGGGCTTGGCACGCTTGATCTCTCCTTCGTCCCGTTGCTGCAGGTCGATGGTGCAGTCAATGTCTTCAACGACGAGGATGGACCGGTTGCTCATCCCGACGAGCAGCCTCCGGAGGTCAGAGTTGGACTTGACCTCGGTGAGCTCAAGATCGTAGATGTCAAACTTGAGGTAGTTGGCCATGGCGGCGATGAGGCTGGACTTGCCGGTGCCAGGTGGGCCGTAGAGCAGGTAACCCCTCTTCCACGCCCTGCCAATCCTCCTGTAGTAGTCTTTCCTCTTGACGAACCTCTCAAGATCGTACATGACGGAGTGCTTGAGGCTGTGATCCATGGCGAGCGTGTCGAAGGTGGAGGGGTGGCGCAGGTCGACAGCGGTCCAGGCGTCGTACTCGATCATGTGCATCTTGAGGTTCCTGTGCTTGTCGTTCATGGCCTTGGCCGTGTCGATGACGAAGGGGAGGTACGACCTGAGCGCCTTCTCCTTGTGCTTCTTGTGGAAGCTCACCTCGAAGGACTTGACCTCGAAGCGGCTGCGGCCCCTCCTGTTGGCGGCGCCGCCGCCGCCGATGCCGTAGGGGGCGGCGTGGGCGGTGGCGGCGGCGGCGGTGTCGCGGGAGACGAGGCGCCAGGTGTACTCGACGCCGTCGTGGACGTCGAGCATCTCCTCGCCCTGGTCCATGGTGATCATGATGCCCTGGGCGTCGTCGACGCGGCTGGCGCGGAGGCGCTGCATGTCGGTGTTGATCCGCGCGGCGAGGTAGGTGCGGGCGGCGTCGTAGATCTGGTTGGTGGAGAGCCCCTCCGTCTCGTCGATGACCACGGTGTGGGTCGACGAGACGCGCGCCCGGATGCCCCGCGCCGCCGACCGGAGCATCTCGCGCAGCTCGTCGGGGACCAGCTCGCTCACCACGCCGCGCACCACCATGGCCGTCCCGGCCACGGCCGCCGCCGTCGCCATGTACTTCTCGTAGTCGCCGGACCACGACATGGCTGACTGCCGTGGATGGACAGACCGACCACCTAGTAGCTAGTGGGGGAGGAGCTCTTCTTCTTCGTGGTCGTGGGCGCTAGGCGACGCAGCTAGGCGGGACCGCGGCTGATCGGAGGGGCGTGAAGTTTACTTGAATCTAGGGCACCGTTTTGGGTTTGTGTACCGATCTGTCACGTATTTCTTCTACACGGAGTATTTGTTTTTCTTCCTGGACACGAAAAAAATAGTGTATTTGGGTGCAGAAGGAAGATCTGGATCCCAAGGGTCAAGTTTGTAGACGTGCCGTATTGTGGTCACGTGTAGAAACAGAACCTGTATTCGAACTTGGAGATACCAACGACTTGTGCTGATAGACCACGGCCCATTGGGCAGAAGAGGCCCGGCGTGAAACCTTTTCAGGCCGAAGCCCATTGCTGTTGATACTTCATTTATGGCCCAACACCGTCCAAATGCACTGCACTGCATAGCCACTGTCCTCTTCTTCCCCCAATCCCACAACCTGATGCGGGTGGAGGCGATGGTGGCGGGTAATCCCGTAATAGGAATACTGGTGAGTTTCTTCTCTAACAACTTTTGCTTCAGTAATGACAACGGTTAGTTAATCTATACATTCGGGGAGCCCAATGGTGAACGCCAGTTCGAGGATCTGCGAAAGTGATTATTCTGTGTAAATTCTCATGCTAGTCTATTTCATCTATTTGTTCCAAATCTAACACTTAAGAGTTAAGAGTTCTTCTGTTTGTTCCAAATCTAGCACTTGAGAGATCAGAGTTGTCCACATCTAGTAACATTTTTCTTTTCCCGTTTTCACCAGATCTGAATTCCATATGTTTTAAATGAAGGTTTCGTGTGTGCCTTGGTGGTTTTTGTCTGGGTGTGGGTTAATGTGAAATCTAAGAAATCAATGGGGAATTGTTCCTTTTGAATAGTCAGATGTATTTCACCCTGTTTTCTGAATTAGCTTGCCTGGACAATGTTTCGTACACAAACAAAATCTGATGTTGCATATGTATGACTTGTCGAGACAATACTTTAAATTTCTTAGGAAGCACACTTCATTAAATACCAGTGCACCTCCTATCTCCAAATACACATTGTAATTAGTAGTCAAAAAACGATCACATGTTTTGAAATGGATCTTCCGTTGGACCTATCTAGCATATACACATTCTTGTTGTCATTGTTGTACTCCACAATCCTAAGTGCATTCATCAGTTGAGGAGTCATTTTTGTTCTCCATCGCTTTGCTATCTTTATTCTCCTCCGTCTGCTTATTTGCATCCTTGCTTTCAGCCTTGGTCTCGCTGGCATCTTTTATCTTTGACTTTAGGAGCTCCAGTAGACCAAGGAGTGCAACATCAATATCATCATTTCTCATGAGAGCCTCAGCGACCTCCGCAGGCGTCACCATCACCTCCTTGATCAGCTCCTCGATCTCTGGATATGTGACATGATAGTCGATCGAGTGGTAGTTGCTGGCAAGAATCCGGAAAGCCTCTGGGGTGCAGTACCCCATGTGGATGTGCATGTCCATCCTGCCAGGCCGCATAAGTGCTTGATCAAGACGCTCCTTGTAATTGGTCGTGAAAACGATGATCCTTTCCTCTCCACTTGTTGACCACAGCCCATCAACAAAATTGAGCAGCCCGGATAATGTTACCTGTGTGGACGGCAATCAAATTCTTATCAGCATAGGTGAGAATAATCGTGAAATCAAGGAGATGAAAGGTTTGCAAATATGAATGTTATTATGCATTCTGATTTTAAAGGTACTCACTTTGTCTTCTCCCTTGTCTTCTTCTGTAGAGTTGGACTTGGTACGTTCCTCCCCTGCCTCCCGTTGTTTCAGTTCGATGCTACAGTCAATGTCCTCAACAACAAGAATGGACCGGCTGGTCATTCCGACTAGAAGCCTTCTGAGCTCCGAGTTGGAATGGACCCCAGTCAGCTCAAGATCATATATGTCAAACTTGAGATGATTCGCCATGGCTGCAATCAAGCTGGACTTGCCAGTCCCTGGTGGACCATACAGCAGGTAACCCCTCTTCCATGCCTTGCCAATCCTCTTGTAGTAATCTTTTCTCTTGATGAACCTATCAAGGTCGTCAATAATTGACTGTTTCAGCTTCTGGTCCATGGCAAGCGTGTCGAATGTGGATGGGTGGTGGAGATCAATTGGAGACCATGAGTCTGAGTATTCATTCATGTATATCTGGAGAATTCTTTCCTGGTCTTTTATGGCCTTGGCTGTAGCAATGATGAATGGGAGGTATGATTTCAGGGCTTTCTCCTTGTGCTTCCTGTGGAAGCTCAGCTCATAGGAGCGGACCTCACGTTGGCCGCTGCCATTGCCATTGTTGGGGTCAGCTGAAATGCTACGTGAGATTAAGCACCATTTGAATTCTGTTCCCTCATGCATATCAACCAGCTCTTCACCTTCCTCCATGGTGACAACCATCTTCTCGGAAGATTCATCCATGCTGCTGACTCGCAGGCGCTGCATGTTGTTGTTGATGCGTGTTGCAAGGTAAGCCCGCACCGCGTTGTAGACGTGGTTGTGGGACCAGCCCTCAGTCTCCTCGATGATGATTGTGTGCTGAGATGAAATTTGTGAACGCAGGTAGCCGAGGCCGGAAAACAGCACATCACGCACCTCGTATGGAACCAGCTCGTTCACGACGCTGCGGACCAGCATCACAGACGCTGCAACGGATGCAGCGGTTGTGATGGCCTTCTTGTATGACTCGATGGCCTTGTCGTAGGACGCCATGGTGAGCAAGCTCTGGCTCCTCTCTTGTTCTTCTTTTGATGAACTTCTCTTCCTCTTTGTTGTTGGTAATGGTATGAAACAGTAGTGTTGAATGGGGAGGGTGAGGAGTGTTTTTTTTTTTTTTTTTTGGGATGGGGGGGGGGGGGGAAGGAGAGTTGGTGTTGAAATGGTATGAAACGGTGGGGTGGTGTTGAATGAGAGGGTGAGGAGTGGGGGGGAGGGAAGGAGAAGTTGGTGTTGATTTGAGGTAGAGTTTGTGGGGAGGGGGTTTTATAGGTGCAGAGTTGGGGGCGAATGGTGGCTTCGTCTGAAAGAAAGAAATCTGAATACTACTCCTACTTCCAGCTTCCACAGTTAGGAAAATGACATCACCATTACAACGTAATACTCCTACACATATTCACCTGGGAAAGAATGCAACCGGTACAAATTGTCGATTTCTGAGGCATTTGTTCTTAATCTATTGCACCTTTATTCCTCCCAGCGTATCTTCTTTACTGAAGAGAACTTTGAATAATGATGTTTTAACTGTCACGAATTAAGATCTCAATAAACCAAATACTCCTTGGGCAGCTAGAAAAGGCAAACTTTACTTCCTTGGCATCCAAGTTTTCCTCTGAACCATTCTTTCTGCAGGGAGCAGAAGAGTTGTGCACCGCAAGTTTCTGCTCGAAATACTGGAGCAGAAGAATGCCCGCATCAGTATTCCAGAAAAGAATGCCCGCATCCATCTACCACCTCGTTGGCTGAATCCATTCCATGTGCGCAAATCGCATACCGTTCCGTGCAGACGACGGTTGGTCGACGTCCGAGTCAGAGACTGTCGATCAGCAACTTTATAAAATTCTGAAAAGTTCCAGCTGCATGCATATAATGGTCCATTTGGGGAAAGTGGGGGGCGTTGCTTTGGCTTTGCCTTGTCTCGGTCTACGTCGCCGACGTGTTGAGATCGACGGAACCGAGCCCCCCATGGTTACAACTGCTGCTGCTGCTACAGCTGGTGATGGATTTTGGACCAAAGGGGTCAAATTGTTGATCGCGTAGCGGCGGTGGCACCAATCGACGTGTTGCTCTGTGGTTTGTCCGGCGACTCCATGGACCATTTTCCTTGGTGATATCATCAGTGAGTTGAGTGGGTGCTTTTATTCGTTTCTGTTGGTGACAGCTACTCGTATTCTATCCTTGTGTAACCGCCTCTCTCTGTTCTCTTGTGCTCTTCTGTTGTGATGGGGAAATTATCTAGTACATTTAAGTTCATACAGATTCCTCATGAAACTATTAAAAACTTTTGTGAGCTGTAAATGTATTCTGGGCACACAAGTTTTTCGTGCACTCAGCTCTTGGGGTTATGGCCATAAGCAGCTCTTGATTCGTTGATACTCCAAGAGGGCCTATTGCCAAGGCATCGATTGGATCGTCCAGCAACGTGCACGTTGCACATCACAAACAAATTGATTGCTTTCAGATCGTTGCGCTAACTGTATTTTACTGATCATCATGCGGCGCGCTTGAATACAAGGGTCGACACTGTGCTGCCATGATCAAAACACTGTGTTGTGTTGTTTTCGGGGGCACAACGTGTGACTGAACCTGCTAAAGCAATCGTGGTCGCCACGTTTAATTTGCTTTTGCAGGAGAGATCGAAACGTGAATGGGACTGCGTGTTGCAATTTAAAGCAGCCATAAAGGAAAACTCAATTAATTATCTAAAGTGTCAAGACAAAATAAACAACATTTTCCCTTTTCCCTTTGGGTGGTAGCGGCGCCATCGACAGAAAGAGCAGAATCTAGCATGCACGTTTTTTTTATTTTCCTTTTATTTTTTTCCTAAAAAACATTTTTTGAGCATGTGTGGCTGGCACGTTGGTTTCTGATTTCTTCATCATCAAGACTGAGTCACTGACACGTGTGCACCTATGCGGTCCACGTGTGGTAATCGCTTGGATGATCCGGTACTTGTTTCAATCGCGTAAAATGACCATTCCTATTTCTCCCTAACAAATTGCAGTGCCATATTTAAGGATGAAAATATTTTATGATTAACCTTACTTGCAGAGTGCATCTTTGGCTTGACGCAGTGTGATTATCTAAAAGAGATTTCGCGAGGGAAAATGACAAAAAAAAAGATGTTTCGACTTTGTGAATCTTAAGATATGTTAATACGGTCTTCCAAAGACACAGGAGTAGAGCGTGAGTATGTGTTCATAAAAGTAAATGTGCGTGCGTGATTGTATTGTATTCTATTTTTTTTAAAAAAAATAAAATGATGTCAGCAATGGCGAAGAAAACAAGTAGACCATTTTCCAAAACTGTAAAAAAAAGAGAAAAGGAAAACAAGTAGGCTTGCAGATCCTGCGGTCCAGCCCAAGAGAACGTTAGTGTGCGCGGCCTACCTGCGCGTGTCGGCCTACTTCGGTCTGGCTGAGAAATAGTAACTGGGCCAACATGCGTGTTGACTAGCTCGGCCTGGTTGGCGAAGACGACGGCCCAAACGCGGAGAGAGATATCGAATATTCCGTGGCCCACCAAAGCCGACAACGACCGCAGCTCGCTTGTCAGACATCGGGGAAAGCAATCAAGCAAGCAGCGGCCGCATCGATCGGAGCGGAGAAATTCCCCAACTCTGCTCACCCTCACCGTTGCCGACGACTTCGTGCGGCGGCGAAGAGGAGAGGCGATGGGAGGGGGAGACGCCAGCGGCGGCGACGGGCCGGAGCAGGAGCTGAAGCGGGCTGCTGCGGCGGCGTACAACTACGAGGGCGACGCGCGCTGGGCGGAGTACTGGTCCAACATCCTCGTCCCCCCTCACCTCGCCTCCCGCCCCGACGTCGTCGACCACTACAAGCGCAAGTTCTACCAGCGATACATCGTGAGTTCCACCACCACCACTGCTTTGCTTCGCTTCTCCCCCCTATCAACAACTACTTAGGGTAGGGGATCTGACACGCTTTCTGTACGGACGGTTTTAGTTCGGGGCTTCGTCCCCTTCGATTTGTGTGGTGATGGCGGTAGCCGTAGCTAATACCCAAGCTTGCACTTGCTAATACATGATGGTGTGTTGATGACTTTTAAGATGGTACCAACGCAGATGTGATGCTTGCTGCTAAACCGCTTGCTTCATGTAGCTGAGCTGTGAGCACAATCTACACTTTGATGCATTGCTTGTTTCAACCAGGGTTTTGTTTTCAGTTGATGATGAACTCGATGCTACAACTACTGTTCAGTACTAGTTCATACCTCTCTTTACCAAACTTCCTAAGGCTAAGGGAGGTTTCAAATACTTTTTAATCTTGCTTCATTTCATGACGACGTAGCTTGGCAAGCTTGCCCTTGGTTTCTTTTGTTGAAGCAATCTATCTCCATGTTAAAACGAAAGCTACATTTGTTAAGCATCAAACCACAGCTTTCTTGGCATTTATCACAGTTAGAAACTCAAAAACAAAAACATGCTATTTGCATTCGGTCATTTTAGAATCTATGCTGTTACCCATGTACAAGTAAAGAGCAAATCAAGATGATGGTAAAGCTGTTTGATTTCCTTTTGCTTTCCTAATAGGATCGTGATTTGGTGGTTGAGCCGATGTCATCCACTGGTTCCACCCAGCCAAGCGGACCAGAAGTAAGGTCTTCGTCCTTCTCATCCAGTGAGAATGTCAGGGCCCGTAGTTCAGGTAAGTTGCTTTCAGTTTAAGTATAGTACATCTCTCGTTTTATTCTGTCGCGTGTCACATCTATTTATCATGTGACTCATTTTCATATTTAGGATCAAGTTCCAGATCAGCTGCACCACCGCCCCCACCGCCACAAACAGACAGTGCTACAAATCCCTTACGGTTTGATGCACGGACCATACACTTCTCCATTAATGCCTGGGTAAGAAACAATTCACCTTCTTCATTCGAGAGAATCTATTCTATACCACTGAGTTTGTTTGGGTTCAACAATTTGCCATCGACATTGTCTCTTTCTATAATATACCGACGACTTTATCAATTGTTCTACGATACGCCATTGGGCTAGATCTTCTTTCCAAAAATACCCAAAGTACCCTTAGAGCCATACAAGGTTAACAATTGATTTATCTCATTAGAAGTTTCAAAGAAAAATGAAAACTTTTATGTGGCCTCTTTACACAACATGGAAGTTTACGCGGCCTCCTTACACAACATGGAAGTTTCCAGTTTTTTTTTTTGGTATATGAGAGAGAGTTTACTAATACAAGAGATAATAGCACAAAAATATCTTATGTAGTGTATGAAAGATGATATATAATAAAAACAACAATAAAAAGTATTTACAAAGCATATAACAAATAATTATATTTTCTTTTTAAAAAATAGACATGTAAAAAACTTAAAACTTGCCTCCTTACACAACATGGAAGTTTCCAGTTTTTTTTTGGTATATGAGAGAGAATTTACTAATACAAGAGATAATAGCACAAAAATATCTTATGTAGTGTATGAAAGATGATATATAATAAAAACAACAATAAAAAGTATTTACAAAGCATATAACAAATAAATTATATTTTCTTTTTAAAAAATAGACATGTAAAAAACTTAAAACTTGTATACAAATTTCCATGTTGTGTAAGGAGGCCACATAAAAGTTTTCATATTTTCTTGAAACTTCTAATGAGATAAATCAATTGTTAACCTTGTATGTTCATAAGGGTATTTTGGGTATTTTTGAAAAGAAGGCCCAGCCCAATGGCGTGTTGTAGAACAATTGATAAAGTCATCGGTATATTATAGAAAGCGACAATGTCGATGGTAAATCGTTGAACTCGAACAAACTTAGTGGTATAGAATAGATTCTCTCTTTTCATTAGCATTTGCATGTGTAATTATTTGTCCTGAAAATAGTTGGCACCTTTAGTAGTGAGCTTTTAAAAATCAAACATTATGGTTTCTGATAGATATCTCATATATTGGTCCTGGTAACCTTGATCTTATGATCATTATTAGCTACAGCCTACATGGCCATGACACCCTCATATATTTTCAGGTACTTGTTGTTGCTGGTCTGGGGATGCTTCCAATTTTGCCAAAACATCTTGCAGATAGAGCCTGCAAACTTTCATTGCTGGGAACAATACTCTCCTCTGCATACTCTCTATACAGCACTTATGGGGTAATTTCCTTGCTACTTGAAGCACGAATAACTAGCACTATTTTTAATCTTATTTCTTTTTTTTTTCGTTGCTGATCTGTTCTTTTTTTCTGTGCTAAGAAACCAAGAGCATGGAACATGCCTGCAGTCCAGGGTTGGTTGCAAGCTGTACTTGGAACCAAGGATTTTATCCATTTGATGTTCTCTCTTATGCTCTTCACGTCTCAGTTGCACTTAAAAAGTAATACGTGGTTTCCCTTTCAAGTTTGTGGTTCTGACCTGTCTTTTGCTCGTTTCACATCTTCTTACATGTTATGTTATCCTTTTTGTAACAGTTGCTGCACTACCTGTGTTCTGCTGGGCACTTGATCATGTTGCTAGATTCCTAAGGCGTAATTTTGCTCGCTCATCCTTCTATAGGTAATTGTGCGTTCCATTATCATTGAATTTCGCCTTTGCAATCTGGGGCACAACCAGTGTGCATTGCTCTGTGATTAATTCCATCTTTCCGGTCTCTCATTCAGGAGTTACTTGGAGGAACCCTGTCTTTGGGTAGAGACAAATAACACTACACTCAGTCTCCTCAGTTCAAATGCTGAGATTGCCTTGGGTTTTCTTCTGATCATATCACTTTTCTCGTATGTTCCTTCCCCTCCTCCGACAATTTTGGATTTTCTTTTGTCTGGAAAGTCATATTGTATACTCATATGAGTTACCTTTGTACCTTGCAGGTGGCAACGTAGCATAATTCAGACATTCATGTACTGGCAGGTAAGTTATCATTTGATCATCATTATTTTGCCCCATTGCTTTATAGCTACAACATGATGTAAGGGCGATTTATGCTGGTTTGTTACATATTATCAAAAGATTCAAGAATGCCCATTGTCAATTTTGTTTAGTCACGACTTTCTAGTTGGACATGACCACATGAGTACTGGCCAGTCGTCAGGGCATGCATACTGTTTCAGTTCTAGAATCCCAATATTTTTCTGCCGACTCCACATACGAGTATACAGCTAGTTAACATTTCAATTAATAACCGCATTTGTCTTAATATTACTTTTGATCATTTTGAAAATAAAAAACAGTTGTGTCAAATATACTGGCGCCCTTTCCATTTCTCAAGTAACTTATATTGATGTCAGTACGTATTGGTGTTCTTTGCATGCTTGCCTGTTGTGCAGGTGTTGAAGCAGATGTACCATGCTCCTGTAACCGCTAGCTACCACCAGAGCGCGTGGGCGAAAATTGGCCGGATTGTCAACCCGTACATCCATCGCTATGCACCATTCCTCAATACACCCATTTCTGCAGCCCAAAGATGGTGGTTCAGGTAGCAAGGCTGAGGACAGAATCACGATATTTGCAGATCTGATCATGCGGAGAACTTATCTACAATGTGTTTTGAAGAGCTATTACAAACTTAGCACGCCGTTGCTCTCGTCATGATGGAGCTGTGCATCATAAAAACTCCTGCAAGTAGTTCCCTTTTGTATTGGCTTATACTTTGAGGTTAACATTGATGCAAGAACGGTGTTATAAACCCTGGAGGGCTTTTTCACCACCGTAATGCTCGATCAGTGATCACGACGATGTTCTATATAATTCCTGCCAAACTCAGGCTGACCTGTATACAATGGATTGCTCTTAGATTGCATCATCTATTCATGAGTGGCTATGAAATACTCCATCCGTTTCACAACGTAAGTTATTTTAGCATTTCCCACATTCGTATTGATGTTAATGAATCTAGACATATATATCTATCTAGATTCATTAACATCAATATAAATGTGGGAAATGCTTGAATGACTTACATTGTGAAACGGAGGAAGTAATGAGTTGTGTTTATCTGTTGTGGCATATCTTTATGCTCTGTTCTACTTCTAGCCAGGGACCGAGTGACGGTCAGAATGCACAACACAGGCAGGGCAACCGTTTCGCCCTTCTCCCCTCAGCCTCCAGGGGCAATGATCTCTCTGGAGGGAACACCTGCATTTCCTACATGAAAGAGAGGTCAAATAATATCGAAGAAATCACATGGGTGCAGAACTGCATTTTGCCACAACCAGACAGGCAGGTAGACAAAACCATTACACGGTCAGAGATAAATTTTGGGATTTTGTTTGATGCCAGCACCGTTTCCATTAGAAGACGATGAAAGACAAAACAATTACATGTTCAGAGATAAAATCTGGCATTCTGTTTGTTGCTAGCACTGTTTTTGTTACATGTTCAGAGACAGTTTAAGGGGGTTGCAGCACGTTAGAAGTTCCGAGACAATTTTGCAGCAAAAAGGAAAATTTTGCTTTAAAGAAAGTTATTAGCACATAAGATTGTCTGCAAAAAGGAAAATTTTGTTTTTAAGAAAGTTATTAGCACATAAGATGTTTAGACAATTTTGCAGCAAAAAAACAAAACATATGTTGCTGCCCAGGATCGAACTGGAGACCTTCAGTGTGTAAGACTGACGTGATAACCACTACACCACAGCAACCAAGCTGTCTCCATAATGAAGTTTGTAGTTCAAATAGATTTAGATCCAAACATCTGCAAATCGGAATATCTAACTTCCGAAACTCCATCGCAAACAGGATTGCTCGTGCGGAATTCCTCTGTGACAGACAGTTTTTACTCACTATTCTTGAGGAAAAGGAAAGGAAAATATCTCGCGAGAAAAGATCCCAACTCGTTTTCTTTCACCCTAAGATCTTTCTGCCTGTCCATGTCCAACCAAAGAAGAGTCTGAGACTCTGAGTTGGATGGATAGGGTCCCCAACCCTTCTTCACCAATCACCACCCCCATCTGCTGCCATTGCTGTTGCAGGCCAGCTAACGGAAGGCCCGGGCGACATGGGTTTGCAGATGATGCGTGGTAGGCCCTGCGCCCCGTGCTGTTCGTCCTCCTCCTCCTCCTCCTCCTCTTCCTCCTCGTCCTGGATGCCCTCCAAGCATCCTCACGCGCCATGTGAGTTACCTTCTGCATCTTCCTTTTCTTTCCCCCCACTGCTATAGTATTCCCCAGGCGGAAAAAATAACTTATTTTTTATGTAAAAATGCATTGGTACTTTGAGCAATTTGCCAGCGGAATCTAAAGTTCCAAACTTCTAATGCAGTGAGTCGAAGGAAAATCTCATCTGAGTCACTTAGAGCATTGGCCTTGCACCTCTTGCCCAAACGTCGGAAATACCAAAATGGGGATATCTCAAGGATTTCAGCATCTTCGTCCGGTGTGCTTGAAATCACCGAGAACAAGTCCAATAACAAGGTCCTCACTTAAATCCGTAATCCATGTACGACTCATTTTTGTCTGTTGATAATGATTGCAACATGAATTTCAGGCTGATGCAGAAAGAAAGATCCTTGATGATGCTCTTGACAGAAAGCCGCAGATTGACTGGGTTGAAGAAGATATCTCTTCTTGGATGGATAAGAGTTACACAAGCAGCAATTTGGAGTATAACTTATTAATGCAAAACATTCAGGTCTTAGAAAGTAGTTTGGCTGGTAAAGACTTGGTAAGGCTGGAAAGAGATATCCTTGTACATATCGAACGGCTGGGAGCATTGAAATCATTCAACGCGTCTATCTCCAGGGCCACTCTAACACAAACATATGAATTAGAGTTTTCACTTCCTGGGGATATTATTAAGCTTGATCCAGAGATTCCTCTCGAGGAGCAAAATGATGTGGTAATTGTTCGAAGTGGGAAAAGTCAAGAGAGGAAACTGAAAAGAATGAAAGCATCAGAAAAGGGCTCTCGGGTCTCCGTGAAAACACCCTCACGAAAATCAAAGAAGTCCAGTAGTAGTCAATTTATAGCTGAGTGGAAAAACTATCCAGGCCGAAGAAGGAGCATTGTACGAGAACAATCAGCATTGCTGGTTACTATCAAGGTACTCTTCATCATCAGCATATTTATTCCTTTTAGCAGTCAATCTATTATATTATTAAAGGAATAGAAAAAGGAGCCTCCACGTTCGCTCTCATGGCCTAGAAATTCTCACATTAATCGGAGAAAAAGAAAAGACAGAGTTCATATAGAAATACAATTTAGAAATAGCTAAAATTAAAGGAATAGAAAAAGGAGCCTCCACGTTCGCTCTCATGGTCTAGAAATTCTCACATTAATCGGAGAAAAAGAAAAAGCAGAGTTCATATAGAAATACAATTTATAAATAGCTGAAATTTGGAATTAAAAAATAAGGAATATTAGAAGAGGAGACATAGAAATACAATTTAGAAATAGTTGAAATTCGGAATTAAAAAACAAGGAATATTAGAAGAGGAGACTAGAGTCCATATAGAAATACAATTAGGAAATAACTGAAATTCGGAATTAAAAATAAGGAATATTAGAACTAGAGTCCATATAGAAATACAATTAGGAAATAACTGAAATTCGGAATTAAAAATAAGGAATTTTAGAAGTAGAGTATAGAGTCCATGTAGAAATACAATTAGGAAATAATAAAAATTTGGAATTAAAAACAAGGAATATTAGAAGTAGAGTATAGAGTCCATATAGAAATACAATTAAGAAAAAAATAGAAATTCGGAATTAAAAAATAAGGAATATTAGAAGTAGAGTATAGAGTCGATATAGGAATTTAAAACTAACTAAAATTTGGAATAAACATAATAAAATTAAAAGTAGAGATATAAAGATACAATTTACAAATAACTAAAATTGCAAATTAAGAAAAACATGGGAAGAAGAGTTTAAAGTCAATATAGGAATACAATTTAGAAGTAACTGAAATTCGAAATTAAAAATTAAAGAATATTGAAAGATGAGTTTAGAGTTCACATAGAAATACAATTAGAAATAATAAAAATTTAAAAATAAAAATAAATAATATTAGAAGAAGAGTATAGAGTCTATCTAGAAATACAATTTACAGAAAATTCGGAATTAAAAAAAGGAAATATTAAAAGACAAGTCTAGAGTCCATATAAGAATATATATAATTTATAAATAACTAAAATTTGATAGTAAAAATAATTAATAACTAACACTTAATATTATATAAGATATAATATGAATATTACCCATTAGTAGTTTTGTAAAGTTATTGCAAAATTTAAAATTATGTTGTCATTTTAATATATTTGAATAATATAATGAGGAAACATATATGCTATTATATGAGAGAAAATATAATGATGCTAGCCGCGCAATCTGCGCGGGCCACTGTGCTAGTTATTGTTAACCATAACATATCCTTCATGGTTTTATTCTTACTGTTCTCTAGGAGTGTGCAAACCTTGAGAAAATAAGAGAAAACTTGTTGAAGGATGGGAGTGAAGTCAGCCATGCAAGCTGGGCCAAGGCAGCTGGAATTGATGAAGCATTGTTGAGGAGTAGGCTGCAAGAAGGTTACTGCTGCCGAGAGAGATTACTGGTAACCACCGAGTGGCTAGTCAAGTACATTGCAAAGACATACGCTGGAATGGGAACAGCTTTTGAGGATCTACTGCAGGTTGAGAGATAACATATTTATTGAGAAAAAGGTAGACTACATTGACAACTTCCATTTTACAATTTGATTTGTTGGAATGACACTGCAGGCTGGGAAAATGGGTGTCCTTAATGGAGCTGAGAAATTCGACAGCCAAAAAGGATGCAAGTTCTCAACTTATGTGAAGTACTGGATAAGGAAAGCAATGTTAGCACTTCTTGCTGAAAACTCTGGAGTAATCCAGCTGCCCGTATGCCTCTGAAACTATCTTGATATGCTTCACTTTGTTTCATGAGAAAAATCATTGCTTAATGATGTGAACTGGCAATGCAAGTGTAGGCAAGGATGGAGGGTATAATTCGTAAGGTCAGGGAAGCGAGAAGGGCGATTCGCTACAACACAGGGAGGAACCCACCAGATGCAGAAATCGCAGCCCTCATCGGTGTATCAGTTGCCAATGTTAGGTTGGCACGGAAATGCTCTCGTCGAGTTGTGTCGCTTTACACAGAGATCGGAGTTGGACAGAATGCAAAATTTGTGGTGAGCCTCTCAGCCCTGTGATTGACCGATGATAAAAAATGACAAATAGTTCTTCCATCACCCGTTGATGGTTTATTTTGACGTATACAATCTGAATGGTGTTTAATTGCAGGAAGTGACTCCGGACACATCTTTAGAAGCTCCAGATGAGGCTATGTTCCGGATGCAGTTGAGAGAGAGACTGCTTCATGTCCTGGACAGGCTCCCCCCAAGAGAAGGGCACGTACTGAAGCTGCGGCACGGGCTGGAAGATGGGAAATGCAGGTCCCTGGAGCAGATTGGGAGCATTTACCATGTCTCCAAGGAGTGGATAAGGAAAATAGAGAAGTCGGCCATGTCCAAGCTGAGGAACGACGACGTGCATAATGAACTCAAGGACTTCTGTGGATTCTAGTGCTCCTGATCGAGCTTTCTTGTGCATATAGAGCTCTCTACTTTGCATCAAGTACACATGATTTTCACAAGGGTTCCTTTGCTTCAGGAGGAGGAACAAGGATGCGTTCAACGAGAAGTTGAGAACTGTACTGATGATGTTGTGATAGCATTCGATAGAAAGTTGTATATATCGCATAACATTACAAGCATTTGTTTACCTTTTTATTTTGAAAATTTACAAGCATTTGTTTCAGACGAACTGTTCAGTATAGAGCAGATGTAATACAGAATGTGGATCATACATTGATGGATGTATAGTGCAAAAGAAATATTGCCATACTGTTGACTGTTGCTAAAAATGCTGACAATTATATCAATGTTTTGAACACTGATCTTCCATGATCTTATTTTTGTTTGGTATTTCACTTGCGCCAGACTTTTTATCTCATCTCTTTCGATTTTTTGTTCGTAGGATCTTACATCAAGATTCATGTTGTTGTAGACCAAATTGTAATTACACACAATTACTTATACTTAGTTATAGAGCATTTACACTCAGTTTCAATGCACTAAAATTAGATTTTACAACTGTTTTTATCTTTAGATTTATGGGTTTTTGACATGTTTATATTTTTTATTTATTCAGAACGGTTTATATTCATTGATTGGGTTAATGGCTTAATGCTTAATGCTCTAAATATTAATAGTTAGGATTAAATGTAAATGTCAACAGACAAAATTGGTGTCGTGGTGTAGTTGGTTATCACGTCAGTCTAACACACTGAAGGTCTCCGGTTCGAACCCGGGCGACGCCATTTTTTTAATTTCTACTTTCTTTTTTTATGCTTCGATTACAGAGCAGGCCGGTCCATGACACGAAGCACCCGCGGGCCGGCCCACAGGCCCATATCTACGGCCCCAGTGTTTCAGCGATGATGATGACATGGCTGTGATGTGAGCCGGCAAGTCCACGTCTGCAGTTTGACATCTTTGTCCATCCCTTTAGCCAACTGTGGAGGTAATTAGACAGCTAAATAATTGCATCCACAAAGCTTTGAGAAATGCTGTAGCTCAGGTGGCGATGCACAGTAGGATCCTAGTGTGTTCTGTGCGTGTTTTTTCCAGCATGTGGCTGAGGAAAGCTTCGCCTTTTTGCCACCTCACCAAATGTATTAGAGGAGCTATCCTTCCTTGCAAGTTGCAACCACACCAAAAGCCATCATCAGCCATGTAATAATAATATGATTAAGCAAAGGAGACAGGGTAGCTCACACATCACTGTCACTCAAAAGGCTCTTTCTGCTATGTGTCCAAACCTTTAGATCTTGTTGTACATGTGTGTGTAGCCAAGCCAAGCAGCTAGCAGCTGCATCATGAGCATCGTTTTTTGGCCAAGAAATATACTGATTCTAGATATGCCTTATCCGGATCATAAGCTTGCTCGACGATTTGTCATCACATCTGAACATCTCTGAATTAATCTGATGCATGCCGCCGTGGCTCCTCTATCTCCACTATCTCCTGTTTCAGAGTTGAAACCATTTAGGCAGCTGTCCTAGCTGGTGTCTTTTGCTCATGGATTGTGACATGTCATAGGTCATTGTTCAAGTTATCAAGTATGGGTGATACATCTAGTCCTTGTCCTGTTAGCATTTAACCTTTCTCTGATGGCAATATGTCCTGGTTATTGGCATGTTGCTTTTGCAAACAGTGCACAACTTGTCCCCCAAACACAACCAGAGACTAAATTCCTACCAAAGTGCTGATCTGAAGATACCTGAATATGTAGTACCCGGGAACACCAGGATACCAGATAGACTAATTGGTAAACACACATCAGAATATCAGATATTCAGCATAGGTTGAGGACAGAGCATTTTGAGACCTTCTTTGCACTGTCAATTGCACAAAATTAAAGCAAGCATGTAGGTATTGTGAAAGAAAAGGAGAGGGCACCATGGAAGCAAAAGGCTTCCAAGTTGGTACTATGAAGGAGAGTGAATTGGGACGAGATGGACATGCACCTAACATCGATCTCATACCAGATTAAGGATTGTAGGGCCTGAGCGCCATACAGTGCTTCAGGCACTACAGATTGCTTGCCAATCGCCATTGACACTGCAACCACATTCTTGTCGCTAGTGCTGTTTGCTCGATCAGTGGAAGGATATGAGTCATACCGCAAACAAAATGATTCAGATATTAAGGACACTATATACATCGCTGCAACAAAAAATTCTATTGATGCAGCAGAGAATACTAAGCATGGTAGCATTGCAGATATGCACAGTGCTTGTGACCATACAATGGGTGGCTACATGAGACAATGTTACAAGATTCCAAACTTTTGTCTACAACACTGTCCCCATGGCTGTCAATTAGATTCAGCAGCAAGATGGTTGGAACTTGACCCTGAGGATAAAATTTGTTAAGCATCTTGGGAATCCAGTCGATGGATGACCACGGCAACTGATGGTGCTAGGTTCCGATGGATGGCGTGGTGGACAGGGACATGCCCAGCTCCAGGTCCAGCGGAGAGCAATGGTGACTAGTGCCGTATCCATGACCTTGTTGTGCTTCTGAAACTGATGGTGTTTCTGACGAAGGCCACGCACTGTCACCTGATTTGTGGTGCGAAACTTGGAGAGACAGAGAAGCAGAGATGTTGTTGTTGCAGCGAGTGGCAGGATCGGATGAGGCGAGAGATCTTCCTCCACTGTCACAATCCTGAACCTGCCATGACATATCAGCTCAGCTCAGCTCGACTTGTATGAACATATGAATGCAGTATGTATGCGTGTGAGCGTACCATGTCGAAGAGGCTGGAGCGGCGCTTGTTGTTGGTCTTCTTGGCGGCGCTGTTGTGGCGGAGGAAGAACTTCTGGGCATGGCTGGCGACCTGGGTGGGCGTCCTGGTGGTGACGAAGCTCCGGGAGATGCCTCGCCAGTCGCCCTTGCCCAGCTTCTCCAGCCCCGCCAGGAACAGCCTGTGCTCTTGCTCGCTCCATGGAACTCCTGCACGCACCACGTCGTACGTTGCATCCATCAATTTCCAGTTGCAAGAATCAAATTGACATGCTTCAATGGATAACTAATTGATTTACCTTTCTTCCTCTCCCGCATGGTTGCCGCCGCGCCGTGAGGCCCGTCGGAGAGGTAGCCGTCGGCGGCTGGCCTCTCGCAGCCCTCGTCGATGGACAGCAACAACGAGGACGTCAACGGCGACGGCGACGACGACGACGACTGCAAGGAGGAAGGAGAAGAAACCTGCAGCCGCAGGCAATCCATGCTGTAACTCTTGTGCAAGTAGGACGCCGGCGAGCTGGCCGCCGCAGCATGGAGCTGCACCCCGAACAGCCGTAGCCCGGCGCCGCCGCCGCCGCCGCCCTCCTCGCCGGCTCGTTGGCCTGCAGTCGAGTAGTCACCAGAGCATCGCCTCGCCATGATGGCGTGCATGCGTCAATGCGTTTGTGTGTGTGTTGTGTGTGTCGCGGCTGCAGATTAGCAGGCTAGTTAAGGGAGGGAGAATGACCTGCGCATTTGCATTGCATTGCACAATCGAATGGGATACAAATATGGTAATATATGGAGAAAAGAGTGATGCTAATCTCGCTGCTGCTAGTACCGATTGATCGAGAGGGACGTCGACTTGCTACTAGTGAGGACACGACAATTATTGCACCCGTCGTTTTTGTGTTTAGCCCTATATTTGTAATCAATTTGGGTTTTAATTTATCGTTAACCGTACTGTCATACCATACCACTGTTGATATTATGGGCATATAATGATTTAATTTATTCCATAAATAAATCATGACATTACAGATGAAAACTAGCATGAACGCATCATTAGATCTACACATGTAAACTACGCAGAATAACATGAACAGATCAAATATGCGCAACATATTGAACACGTACCGAGGTGACGAAAAGACCGGCTGCTTGGTCGAAACTTTTCGCAGGTGTCTACGAAGGCACGAAACACGCGAGCGAAGAGGAAGGCGAGCCGTCGCGAACGAACAGGGAGCAGTCACGCGAAGCGCTTCCCAAAAACCTTATTGCCGCCTTCTCCCGGTGCAGGACGTCAAAGGCAGAGGTTCCGAAGACCTGCTCTCCCGATCGCTGGTGCACGCCGGCGAGCGGGATGGAGTAGTCTACGAGCGACGGCGCAGTACAGAGTAGGAGGCAAACCCTAGATTGATTTTCGCATGTTGCGTGAAGACGGCAGGTCGGTTTATATAGAGAAGGGTCGCTTGATCAGGGCGCCCGCACGATCTCTACTGCGCGTAACCGAACCGGATAAGTCGCGCGTAACTTATCCGGACTCCACGCCGTTTGCACACACCGGATTTTTCGGAACGTTTCCAAAACAAAAACGAATCCGAATTTGCAGCAAAACAAAACTGCAAAAGGAGGCTGCATCTGCGTACGTCGTGCACGCGCGCCAATTTTTCGGACCATTCGACGCGTACATCGTGCACGCGCGCCGCCTGCCCTGCCAGGCGAGGCGAGGCGAGCGAGCGCGCGCGTGTGTTTCCCCTCTTCTCTCCACCACACATGCTTCAAGTGGCTAGGAGGGCATCCTCCCTTTTAAGGAGGTCCCCCTCTCCTAGAATAAGCAAGGTGGTACTAAACTCCACATGTATGCCATCCCATGAGGTGGGCTTTTGTGATTTTCCAAAGAATTAATCTTCGAGTGGGCTAAGGCCCATTCATTAATTCCAACAATCCCCCACCAAATCTCAAAATCCCACTGAGATTTGCCTTTTCCAATGTACTGTTTATATACCAGCGGTTCGATGGAGACCAATTAAGGTTGAACATCCACCTAGAACTCCAAGCTACACTTACTCACAACTTGAACAATGGACTACGCCTTGAATTGCAAGTCTTGTGCAAGCAAGTTTCACTCAAAGTCTTATCTGGTACTAGACCGTCTGTAGACTACCCCACGGGTGGAGCGTATAAGTCATACTCCTAGGTCTTTAGTAAGCTTCCTAGCAGATTCACCCAAAATCTTCATAGACTGCGACCAACAGTCAAGCTCACAAAGGTGAGTTCCTTCAAGAATGCTCTGCAGGACAACATCTTTGCTAATTAAAGCCAACAGAACTCATTAAGGCATAGCCAACCTGCCTTGCAGCTCACGAGAGTATATGCATCTTCACTTGGAGAGGGTATATATATTGGTACTCTCCTCTAGTTTATTAATGGTTTGTTCTTCCCAGGATCTAATTCACGGGATCTCCGATCACATAGACTGGGTTACCACCATAGTATAACTCACATGGGTCTCAAACCCATCTCCTTCGATGCATTGTCTATCACATTTCGTGATAGTCCCTTCATGAAGGGATCTGCCAGGTTTCTCGCTGTTTGGATGTAATCCAACGTTATAACTCCGGAGTTTCTTAATTTCCTGACAGACTTCAATCGTCTTTTCACATGTCTAGACGATTTCATATTATCCTTAGAACTATTCACTTTGACAATTACCGTTTGATTGTCACAGTTCATAAGGATAGCCGGCACCGGTTTTTCAACAACAGGCAGATCCATTAATAGATCACGCAACCATTCTGCCTCAACAGTAGCAGTATCCAGTGCCGTTAGCTCTGCTTCCATGGTTGACCTCGTCAAAATTGTCTGTTTGCAAGACCTCCATGAAACAGCACCACCACCCAGTGTGAAAACATATCCACTAGTGGCTTTGATCTCATCCACATCAGAGATCCAGTTAGAATCACTATAACCCTCCAGTACCACAGGATACCCAGTATAGTGAAGCCCCAATTCCACAGTACCTTTCAGATAGCGCATTACTCGCTCAAGCGCACGCCAGTGATCATCTCCCGGATTAGAGGTAAATCGGCTCAACTTGCTCACAGCAAAGGAGATATCAGGCCTAGTTGCACTAGCCAGGTACATCAACGAGCCAATGATTTGGGAGTATTCCAGTTGATTCCTAGCAATTCTCTTGTTCTTGCGAAGCAACAAGCTATGATCATAAGGTGTTGGAGAAGGCTTACTATCAATGTAGCCAAAGCGATTCAAGATCTTCTCCACATAATGGGACTGCAAGAGTGTAATCCCATTCTCACCTCTAATTAGCTTAATGTTTAAGATAACATCAGCTACTCCCAAATCTTTCATATCAAAATTTTGAGACAAGAATGATTTAACCTCATTTATCACCTCAAGGTTTGTCCCAAATATCAGTATGTCGTCAACATACAAGCACAAAATAACTCCCTCACCCCCACCATGGCGATAGTACACACATTTATCTGCCTCATTGACTGCAAAGCCTGCAGATGTCAATGTTTTGTCAAATTTCTCATGCCATTGCTTAGGAGCTTGTTTCAGACCATACAAAGACTTCAACAATTTGCACACTTTGCCTTCTTGACCTTCAACTACAAACCCATCAGGTTGATCCATATAGATCTCCTCATCCAGCTCTCCATTAAGAAAAGCTGTCTTAACGTCCATTTGATGAACGAGAAGACCATGTGAGGCTGCTAGGGAAAGTAGCACACGAATTGTGGTCAGTCTAGCAACAGGTGAGTAAGTGTCAAAGAAATCTTCGCCTTCTTTCTGAGTATAGCCCTTAGCAACAAGCCGAGCCTTGTACTTTTCAATAGTACCGTCAGGCCTAAGCTTCTTCTTGAACACCCACTTGCACCCCACAGGTTTACACCCATAGGGTCGCTCTGTCACCTCCCAAGTCCCGTTAGCGATAATGGAATCCATTTCACTACGGACAGCCTCCTTCCAGTAGTCTGCATCAGGAGATGCATATGCTTCTGAAATTGACTTAGGAGTGTCATCCACGAGGTACACAGTGAAATCATCACCAAAAGACTTAGCCGTCCTTTGTCTCTTACTCCTTCGAGGAGCTTCACTGACATCCTCCTCAGAGACAAGTTCATGTGTATGTTCAGTTTGTTCTGGTGGTGTGATTAAACTGGGAATTATTTCAGAGGGTTGGTTCGAACCACTATGTGTATCCTTCATTGGGAAAAAGCTCTCAAAGAAGGTAGCATCACGAGACTCCATAATTGTACCAACATGCATGTCCGGTATCTCGGATTTAACTATTAAAAATCTATAGGCAATGCTATGATGAGCATATCCCAGAAAAACACAGTCCACAGTCTTAGGTCCAAGTTTGCGCTTCTTCGTTATTGGTACATTGACTTTCGCCAAGCACCCCCATGTGCGCAAATAAGAAAGTGATGGTTTTCTACCAATCCATATCTCATATGGTGTTTTGTCCTTATTTCTGTTAGGAACTCTGTTTAACACATGATTTGAGGTCAACAATGCCTCCCCCCACCATGCCTTAGGCAGTCCCGCGGTGTCCAACATGGCATTCACCAAGTCAGTCAGTGTGCGGTTCTTCCTTTCAGCAATCCCATTAGACTCGGGAGAATAGGGAGGCGTCCTCTCATGTATGATGCCATGTTCCTCACAGAATAAGTCAAACTCGTTCGAGAAAAACTCTCCACCACGATCAGACCTAAGCCTTTTTATCTTTCTGTCAAGTTGATTTTCAACTTCTGCCTTATAAATTTTAAAATAGTCTAGAGCCTCGTCTTTCGTTTTCAACAAGTACACATAGCAAAATCTAGTAGCATCATCAATCAATGTCATGAAATATCGTTTTCCACCCTTCGTCAACACCCCATTCATTTCACAAAGATCTGAATGTAGGAGTTCTAGTGGTGCCAAGTTTCTCTCCTCGGCAGCCTTGTGAGGCTTGTGAGGTTGCTTCGATTGCACACAACTATGGCACTTAGAACCTTTGACAATGGAAAACTTAGGAATTAAACACATGCTGGAAAGCCGAGACATCAAGCCAAAATTAATATGACATAAACGTGAATGCCAAACATTAGTCTCATCATCCACACTGCCACAAATATGGTTCACAGACTTATTGCAGAAATCAGAAAGGGAAAAGCGGAACAGGCCTCCGCACTCATAACCTTTACCAATAAAATATCCATGTTTAGACACGACTACTTTATTAGACTCAAAAACCAACTTAAATCCGTCTCTAGTCAGACGGGAGCCACTAACAAGATTCCTGTCGATAGAAGGGACATGCTGCACGTTCTTCAGCTGCACGATCTTTCCCGAAGTAAACTTCAGATCTACCGTGCCAACACCATGAACAGAAGCATGTGACCCATTCCCCATTAGAACGGTGGAACCCCGTGCGACCTGATAAGAAGAAAACAATGAGATGTCAGCACAAACATGTACATTGGCCCCAGTATCAACCCACCAATTAGTAGATTGATTAACTGAAAAAACAGTAGGTAAATTACCATACCCGCTTCCATCTCCAATGTTGCCAATGGTCACATTAGCAGACTTAGAAGTCTGCCCTGCAGGTGCCTTCATCCCCTTGCGCTGTGGACACTTCCTAGCCAGATGACCAACTTGGCCACACACAAAGCAAGTCCTCTCATCCTGATTAGGATTGTTGTTGTTCTTCTTCTGCTTCTTGAAGTTGGTGGTCTGCTGAGCTTTGTATTTCCCCTTGCTCTTGTTCTGGGCCTTGTGCACAACATTGGCACTGGACTGCCCACCATCGCCCTTAGACGCGGCATCTTTTTCCCAAGCTTTCTCCTCAACATCAAGAGACGCAATCAACCCCTCAACGGAGTATTCCTGTCTCTTGTGTTTGAGTGCAGTACCGAAACTCCTCCAAGATGGAGGTAGTTTTGCAATAATGCACCCGGCCACAAATTTGTCGGGTAAGACACACTTAAGGAGTTCGAGTTCCTTAGCCATGGTTTGTATCTCATGAGCCTGTTCGACTACAGAACGGTTGTCAGCCATTTTGTAGTCATGAAACTGCTCCATGATATACAGATCATTGCTAGCATCAGTAGCACCGAATTTAGTATTCAGTGCATCCCACAACTCCTTAGCGTCGGTCATATGCATATACACCTCGACCAGACGATCGCCAAGAACGCTAAGAATGCATCCCACAAAGAGAGTAGTGGCTTCCTCGAATTGCTTCTGCTGTTCAGCAGTAAGAACTCCTTCAGGTTTGCCAGTACTCACCCAGAAGCATTTCATAGATGTCAGCCACAGAGTGACCCTGATCTGCCATCTTTTAAAATGCACACCGGTGAATTTATCCGGCCTCAGTGCATCGGCAAAACCAGCCATAGTAAAATCACAGTGCCTATAATAAGGTTTTTGGATTGTTGATATTATGGGCATATAATGATTTAATTTATTCCATAAATAAATCATGACATTACAGATGAAAACTAGCATGAACGCATCATTAGATCTACACATGTAAACTACGCAGAATAACATGAACAGATCAAATATGCGCAACATATTGAACACGTACCGAGGTGACGAAAAGACCGGCTGCTTGGTCGAAACTTTTCGCAGGTGTCTACGAAGGCACGAAACACGCGAGCGAAGAGGAAGGCGAGCCGTCGCGAACGAACAGGGAGCAGTCGCGCGAAGCGCTTCCCAAAAACCTTATTGCCGCCTTCTCCCGGTGCAGGACGTCAAAGGCAGAGGTTCCGGAGACCTGCTCTCCCGATCGCTGGTGCACGCCGGCGAGCGGGATGGAGTAGTTTACGAGCGACGGCGCAGTACAGAGTAGGAGGCAAACCCTAGATTGATTTTCGCATGTTGCGTGAAGACGGCAGGTCGGTTTATATAGAGAAGGGTCGCTTGATCAGGGCGCCCGCACGATCTCTACTGCGCGTAACCGAACCGGATAAGTCGCGCGTAACTTATCCGGACTCCACGCCGTTTGCACGCACTGGATTTTTCGGAACGTTTCCAAAACAAAAACGAATCCGAATTTGCAGCAAAACAAAACTGCAAAAGGAGGCTGCATCTGCGCAAGGGTGAGGAGCCAATTTTTCGGACCATTCGACGCGTACGTCGTGCACGCGCGCCGCCTGCCAGGCAAGGCGAGCGAGCGCGCGCGTGTTTCCCCTCTTCTCTCCACCACACATGCTTCAAGTGGCTAGGAGGGCATCCTCCCTTTTAAGGAGGTCCCCCTCTCCTAGAATAAGCAAGGTGGTACTAAACTCCACATGCATGCCATCCCATGAGGTGGGCTTTTGTGATTTTCCAAAGAATTAATCTTCGAGTGGGCTAAGGCCCATTCATTAATTCCAACAACCACTAATTATCTGAGTATAGGAGGGATAGTACTTTAGTGAGGTCAATCCATCATAATTCTTTGCATTATCTTTCTTTGAACACACACATGCACTCTCTATGAATCTTTGATCCACTGTTGAAGCAAGGGATTTGGACAATATTTAAAGTGCCTGTCAGTCCATGATGGAGACGGGCATGCATGATAGAACCGAATTAATTTGGGGTTAAATAAATGACTAAGCAGAGAGAAGATGGTTAATCATAGAATTGTTTTTGTTTAGGTTCAGGGTCCCTCTCCTGTCCTGCAGCTTTGCTTCAGGAATGCGCGGAGATTTCGGACAGCTACCTAATTGGTCACTAACTGCTAATCTTTCATCCACTAACGCTGGCTGCCGCTAATCTACGGTGCATGCATAAAAAATCTTTTATAATCTTATAATCCCATTGCTTAATGACGCATGGGTAAGATTAAGCATCAACAAACAGAATCGCTATTAAGCTTGCTAATCATGATGCAGTCACATATTGTCCATTTAGGCCGAAGGCCCGTTAATCCGAAGGCCCAACTAATAAGCACTTAAGCCTATGTAAGCCGACTAGGCCCATAAAGAGCAGTACTTCTCCAGTACAAAGGGGATAAGACAGAACTACCCTCACGACACTTTGTTGGTAACCAGAATTTTGGACGTAATTAGCGCAAACTGTTAGGCCCAAATGCGTCATTTCGTAAATAAAAGGAAATAATTAGTGAGGCCGTGCTCTGAAAATGGAATTAATTTAGTGTATGACCGTACTGTATAGCAGAGCAGCAGCCTCCGGGCAGACGAGAGCCAAAGGCTTTGCTCTTGGCGGCTAGGGTTTTGTGTGCCAAACCCTAATCCCCTTCCTTGCATCAATCTCATGGCGGCGATTTCGTCGGGGATGGTGGCTTGAAAGGTCTGTGTGTTCTTGTTTGGGATTGAGGAATAGAGAGGAGCTAAGTGGTGTGGCGGCGCGGAGAAATGGGGTCCAAGAACCAGTTCGATCTCCTCGTCGACGTCGACAACGATGACCCCTCCCACCTCATCGCCGCCGCCGAGAAGAAGGCTGCGGCGGCGGCCGCGTCGCCCAAGCTCGCCTCATCGCCGGCGCCCGCTCCGGCCAAGCTGCCCACCAAGCCCGCGCCACCCGCGCAAGCCGGTGAGTATGACACGCTTCTCACTTCTCAGTGCTCTCTATTCGATTCGATTACCGTACGCATATTGATGGAGAAATTACCGGATTGTTGGATCCATGGCTGTTTTTCCGTTAGGCGCAAAGATTTGATTTGATTTTTTATGTATATATCTACAGTAAGGGAAGCGAGGAACTACGGTGCTCCACGCGATGGGGCTGGCCGTGGTGGCCCAGGGCGTGGAAGAGGCGGCGGCCGAGGAGGCAGGGGCGGTCCGAGGCGAGATTTCGGTGAGGGTGATGCCAACGGCTTTGAGGGTGGCTATGGTGGTGGTGGTGGGTTTGGTGATGGTGGATTGGCTCGCGGTGAAGACGGTGAGGGGAGACAGGCAGAGAGGGGCCGTGGGCCACGCCAGCCCTACCGTGGAGGTGGTCGCCGCGGTGGCTATAGTGATGGGCAGAGTGGAGACGACTATGGACGTCCGCGCAGGGCGTATGAGCGCCACAGCGGCACTGGCCGTGGCTATGAGTTGAAGCGTGAGGGGTCTGGCCGCGGCAATTGGGGAACTGTCACCGATGAAGGCCTTGCACAGTTAAGATTGGTCCTTTGCAATTTGGTTTGCGATTGTTGGCTTATTTTGTAGATGTGATTGATTGATCCGACGATTGAATATAACTCTTCTATATGGTTGATTAGGGAAGTTGCGGAGGCTGTTAACACTGAGGAGGCTCCTGCAACTGCAGAGGATGAGAAGAAACCTGAAGATGTGCCACAGTCTGAGGTCGACAAGGACAAGGAGAGTCCAGAGAATGAAGAAGAAGAAAAAGAACCTGAGGATAAGGTATATTTCTGATCTGTGCTTTAATACCTTAATGCATGTGTGCACATTTGGTACTGTTTAGGAGGTGATGATAACTCTTTCTGGGCATAGGGCATGGTAAACATACAGTTTTGGGTATTACATTCTGGTGCCTTTGAATGGTCAAACATGTGGATGCATTTTAAGCACAACGGGTACATATAGTTTTGGTTTTTGATTTCGTCAGAAACTAGCTACAGGTCATTCATTTAGTGTGGGAAAACATGTCATCTGTACTATTCTAAGCAATGTAGTTCAATCATTCAACTGGTTTACATGTGGGTTAAATTTGCCTTTTTGAGAACTGCATTATGTTCTCCAGTTTTTGCAGGCTCTTCTTGCTTTCAGTTTTGTGCTTTTGCTCATTTCTAGCCAATGCAATATAATTATGTCAGAATGTATCGCGTTACTGCTTAGTTAATTTGCTTTTGATACTCATGTTACAAAATAGCCAGGACTTCGGTAAGATGATGTTTAAGTTGACTGATGGGAAGGTTTTATATATTCTGTGAGTAGTCTGCCACACTCAAAACTGGTGGATGACTTGTGCCCGCTTTAAATACAGAAATATAAAGTTTGCAATTTTGCTTGCATCAGTTGGAACTAGAAGCTGCTGTATATATTGATTTTCTGCATAATTCAATATCATTACCTGAAGTTTCTGTTGTTTAATTTTTTTTCCTTCTGTATTGAATGCTATCTCCTATCTGCTATGTAGTAGATCTTTTGGGTATCCATAATATTATTTGGGCCTTTCCCGTTCTTTTCTCCATGGTGAACGTTCAGCTATGGCACCTTCCATTTGTTGATCAAATTCTCTTGGTCATTCAGGCGTTCTTGTGTTGGTTCTAGTACATGTTTGGATATTCCTATTATCCCTACTGTCCTAACGGTTGCCTGTTATATAGCATGTGTTTGCTCATTCTGGTGTTTCTACTGTCTCATTTCTCTGCCTATTAAAGGGTTTTCTAAGTAATTGCTTGAAGTTAGCACTCCGTGCGATTCAAGTAGCAATTCGTTTGATAGTGAAATAACAATTTTCTACCACCATTTCACAGGAGATGACTTTGGAGGAATATGAGAAAGTGCTGGAGGAGAAGCGGAAAGCTTTGCTTGCACTGAAGGCTGAGGAGAGGAAAGTTGAAGTCGACAAGGAGTTGCAGGCCATGCAACAGCTCTCTGTCAAAAAGGCTAATGAGGAAGTGTTTATCAAGCTGGTAAGTTGTATGCTTGGTGTTATGTCCTCTGAACATGTTTCAGTACATGTCTATTTCCGCTCAACTTTTATTATTATCAGGGCTCTGACAAGGACTTGAAAAAGAAAGAAAAGGATGAAAAGGATGAACGTACCAAGAAGGTATTTCATTTTTTTGGCTCATTAATCATAAGCCTACACTGGCTGTTCTGGCTCACAATATTGACTTGTCTTTGTCCTTCTCCTGTTTGGTCCATTCTTGGTGAAGTCCCTGAGCATCAATGAATTCTTGAAGCCGGCTGAAGGAGAGAGGTACTACAACCCTGGCCGTGGTCGTGGCCGTGGCAGGGGTCGTGGTGATCGTGGGGGTTTCTATGGTGGTTACAATGGCAACGGTGGTCGCAGACAGGCTGCCGCTCCGGTGATCGAAGATCAGGCCCAGTTCCCCTCGCTAGGTGGGAAATGAAACGAACGCTCGGATCTAGCGGCTCGGTTGTCTTGTTGGTTCACCTGAAAACTGTGTCGTCGTCGAGTTGAGTACTGTGTTGTTATGTCGCCCCTCCCAGATAGGAGTGTTGTGTTTATCGCCTGTCTGTATCCCCGTGCATATCCGAGGTGCACCCATCCATCACCATTGCTGTGTTTGTCAGACATAGTAGCTCATGTGCTGCTTCTATTTTCCGACAGGAGTGGACAGTGTATGCCATGTTTCTGATGAGTAGTCGTGTGTGCGTTGGTTCAGAGATTTTGCTCAGCTGAGAATGGATCCCATGGTTTATTAAAGAGGCTAATCTGAAACCTGTCACCTGTGGTGCTGTAAGGTTGATTTTGTCAGATGTGGTTGTAGAGGAACAGTTTATCCATGTGTGAATTGAATGCACATCCAGCCCACTACTGGTTGTACTTCTCTTGTCCGGTCCAGCCCAGAAGCTCATTGTGGGCCGAAATGAGGACGAGCTCATCGAAGTATGAATCTCCAAGCTAATCATCAAATGGACTCGAAGGGAATTTGATTTATTCTGAAAGAAAATTTACACCTGGTGAAAAAAGTTGAGCAGAAAATCGAAGGGAAAGAAAAGGACACGGTGTGAGTTACTGTGCAGATCCAAGGAATGGTCAAAAGCAAAGGAATCATCTTTTGTGTGTGTGTGCAGGCATGATTGATTGGCAGAATGGCAGCTAGTGGCAGCGTCTCGTTCCGACCGAGGCCACCACACCACTGTCACTGCACGCAATTACTTGCGCCACAGCTTCTTCATCTTGCAGTTGCTGTACTGTAAAAACCAACAGTATCCCACAGTCCCTGCCGGATTATCGCTGTGGCCACCACTGCTTCAGTTTCGCATCGGCCGACGTGACGTGATGGCTCGTTGCTGAATGAACGGATGGATGATTGCTCGCAACGGAGTCTGAAAAGAAGCATCCGGGAGCTGTTCTTGCTGGGCCTCATCAGTCATCAGATATGCTCTCTACTGGATACATGGTGACAAAAACATCAGCATCCTAGCCATAGAACAAGCAATAGCAAACCCAATCTTGTCTATCTTGTTCCCAACACATGAGATTCCAAACAAGCAAAACAATCCCTCCCATAAAACACCCATGGATGGTTTTCCCCCGTTCATGACACAAAACAGGCACTTACAAGCCTAGATAGAGCTCAAGATAATGTAAGCCTACTACTACTGTACCACCACCACCACTACTACTGTACACACACTGCAGGCCTTGAGCAGAGCAGAAAAGAATTGCATCAGTACAGGCTGCACAGAATTGGCTGCATTCTTGTGCAGATGGAGATTCTAGAATCTGTGGGACAAGCTCTGCGTATCTCTATCCCAGGCAATTCTCCTCGCCACATAGGACTGTGGTTTACCATCAACCATGATCTGTGAATCTTGCTGAGCCGGGCTGCTCTGCTGCTCTTGTTGGAGAAGCATTCGCCGGCTCCTGCTCCCAGCTTCACTGCATGGAGCAGAAACGCAACCTGATTCCACCACCATGTCGCCCTCCAGTATGCGTAGAACCTTTTCATACATGCGAGGAGAAACATCATTATTAGTACAGATGTAAATCAAGCTTAGGTGATAGGTACTGAGAAATGTGGAGAAGAATGGTGTGTGGCTAACATGGGACATGCGAGGCCTCGAATGAGGGTCACGCCGTATGCACAGGTTTGCTGCATGCAGCATGCACAGGACCTCATTTTCACTGAACCGGTCCCCTAGCCGTGGGTCGATCAGATCGTCGATCGCGTACTCTTCCAGTAAAGGCCGTGCCTGTTGCAAATGGATCAAAACAGGAATGATAATTCAGAGATGCCACTTATCATCAGGAAAAAGTGTGGAACTGTGGATGAGTCAATTCAACAGAGGAAAGTGGAAACTGACAGTCTGGCACTACTGAGGCCATCAGGCTCAAAACATACTTACCATTGTACTATAAGAAAAAGGAGGTTATCAGCGTTTGTCACTTGTCAGAAAAGTAAATATCCAAGCTTAACATAATCTAATGTGATGATATAGCACTAAATAGTGCAATACTAGGTGAACGAACTCACCCATTCAGTGAGGAACTGCTGGCCCTTTGGCCTGTTAATATCAACAGCCTTGCGTCCAGTGACAAGTTCCACTAACACAACCCCAAATGAGTACACATCGGCCTTCTCGGTTATTTGCCCACTCTGCGCATATTCAGGTGCCAGATAACTGCACATGGCCGAAAATGGTCTCAGATATGCCTTTTTCACAAGTTACACCTCACAAAGGACAGGATTGATGGATTGTATGGCTGAGCACTTACCCAAATGTGCCAATTACTCTTGTTTCGACACCCATGTCTCCATCAGGCTGCCATCTAGCCAACCCAAAATCTCCGACCTGCACACGATATGACGATACTTCACCCTCATTATGTGGAAGGAAGTTGAGGCTAAAGACCACTGATGCCAATTAGAATGACAAGTACGGCACATCTTCACAGCATCATGCATGCATATATGATCAATTAATCATGTAGTACTGAATTTTACTATCTATTGAAACAGAACAGCATTTCAATGGAAAGAAGATGACCAGTCTTGTTTATTATGCATCTTCATATCCATCGACTAAGATCCAACATAATATAGGGATGGAATATCATACCAGTGGTTCAAAATCATGTGTGACAAGGATGTTGTTTGGTCTCATATCACGATGGATTATGCAACCAACCCTACATTCTTCATGGAGATATCGCAGCCCTCTCGCAGCTCCTACTGCAATTTTCTGTCTTGCAGCCCATTCCAACGTCTCTTTGTTACGGCCTAAGGAGTAACAGATGGTTTGAAAAGGTAACACTCATGCTTTTTACTCCAACATGGCCATGACATAAGCTAAATCAACAGAGAGTTATTGCAACAGGACCAATGCACTCTTCTCCAATAGCAGGCTACAAGTCAGCTATAAACACATGTGGAGGAGAGAAGAGAAGAGAGAGAAGAAAAACAGGCTACATATTTGTGGTCAGCTGTAGCACGAACTCTAATATTGTGTGTGTATGAGAGGTGGGACCATTTATTAATGGTTTATAGATAACTATTGTATGAATGAGCTATTAGATTGGTTATAGATGATTTGGAGCTAGTAGTTGGCTATATATTAAACTTGCTCTAAGCTATATTCATCAGTCACATAGAATTTGCAGAATAATAATTAGCTTACCATAGAGATGGGAATCCAGCGATCCATTGCAAATGTACTCGTAAACTAGCAAACGCCTCTTGTCTTCGACACAGAAACCAATCAGCATTACAACATTCCGGTGCTGTGCACAGCTTAGAACTTCCACCTCTGAGCAAAACTCAACATCACCTTGGGAGCTAGCAAGTTTGTATTGCTTAACAGCTATTGCCTGGCCATCAGGTAGGACACCTCTGTGAACAGACCCAAACCCACCCTCAGCCAAGAAATTTGCTTGGGAGAAGCCACCAGTTGCAAGTTCCAGTTCCGCGTAGCTGAACCACCGTGGAGGTTTCCCAAATACAGGTGTTTTATGCTGACAAATTGAACACAGAGGCGGTGGTCCAGGAGGTGCACTCCTTGACAATGAAACAACATCTCTCACATTTCCTCTGAAGTTCAAGTCAGACCTGCTTCTGATTGCACTGATTTCAGCCAAGAGATCTAGCTTCGAGATCTTCTCGAGCAAAGCATCTGCGGTAGGAGTACGAGTTCTTCTAGGACGGTTTCCTGCTAATCTTGAGGACGCAGATCCTTTTAAAATGTCAGCCATCCATGGCTGAAGGGATGATGCTGCTGGAGGAGTTGAAGCTTCACTCTCAGAATCAGATACATTGACATCAGAGTGCTGGAAGTTATCCTTGGTTGCCTCTTTCTTGAATGTGCTATTCGTTTCTGAAGCAGAATATGGAGATGTGCCAGGGTCTGAGCTTGAAACGGAGGATGTTCCAACATCAGTGCTACCAAAAGCTGTTTCTGACTCTGGACTGCTACTTGGTGTCACAGCCGGTTCACGAATCGGACATCGCTGTTCGTTGATACTGCTTTCGGTTTCACCAACTGAATCACTCAACTCAGGAAGTGGCGGGAGAGGTGATTTTGATTCTTTTGGGGGAGACCTCACCAGATTCAGACGAAGAACTTTGGGCCGAGAGCGCTTCATAGCAACAATGTTGCATTGAAGTTCTTCCATGCAACGTTTCTCTTCATGTTTCAACTCCCTGAGTAACAAGACCATTGCTCAATGATGCAGATACGGAAGAGGGGTTAAAAGTAACAGTGCACTGTAAAAACTGTGAAATGTAGTACAGGATAACATTACTTGTCTAGCACAACCCAGCTTGCTTGGGCACGCTTTGATTCAGTAGCCACACCACCAGGAGATGCAGGGATAACCTTAAGTTTTGTAATTATCTACACAAAAATGTAACCAGATTTTTTTAGCAAAAAAAAAAAGAGAAAGAGAAAAAGGTGCTTGTGCTGAAAGATTGAAGTAAAAACACACAGCAGCTAGTGTTAGCTCCCTTTTGATACCTTGTTCGGATCATAAAAATCACGAAGTTTCAGCATCATTTGATTACACAAATCAGCGACATCCGAATTCTGAGTCAACACGCTCCTGTGGGCGCTCGCACAACCCCCTGCAAAGAGCGGGAAGCCCCAGAACTTCTTGCCTGAAATTAAAACGAGAGGAAATAATTGAACTAGTGAAAGTTGATCCATGAAGACCAAATCCAAAGAGCTCCATGATACAGTATAAAAATGCATGGCATCGTAAATTGGCAAAGCTGTTGAAGAGGAAGGGCATGTATACCAGAGTTGTGCGGCGGCGGCATGACGGCGAGGAGCAGGATGGTGTCGCCGTGCTGGACGACGTGCGTGAGAGCCCAGACGAGGGCGGCCTTGGAGATGTCCCTGGCGGCGGCCCGCACGGCCACCACAACCACCGCCTCCGCTCCCCGGCCCTTGTCCGGACCGGAGACCACCGCCATGTCCGAGAGCTCGAGCAGCCTCCTAGTGCTTCAAAAGCATTTCGGTTTCAGCAAGAAATGAAGTGAACACCAGCAGAACCAACAGGTGATGAAAAATTGAATTCAAAGACACCAAAATGAGAGAGAGAGAGACAAGCACCGCTAGGCTAGCTCCGGGGACTTTAATGCCCGGAGACGAAGCAGGCAAACAGTAAACACTAGTACTCCACTGTTGTGGTGACTGTGGAGTAGAGAAACCACAGGACAAAAAAGAAAGAAAAGGCCGTCTTTTTTTTTTTTTGCAGGGCTAGTTGAATGGGGTCAGGGAGGGGGTCCGAGCGAGTCGCTGCGGCTGCGGATTGAGAGAAAGATTGCAACTTTTATATGGGTGCTGCGGGCTTGGCGGATAGATGCATGGCGACGCGGGGAAGAAGGGCAAAATGGTGGGCGGCCACCCACTGTGTCTGCTACTGCCATCGTCTCTGTCCGGATTTCGGGGGATTCCTTCCATCTCCATCCATGGCGATTAAGCTTCCTTCCAATCCAAATTGGCGCCGCATTCCGTCGGGAAACACGGGAAGCTTCCCCTCCCCTGTTTATTAGTAGCTGAGTGGAAACATGCAAAACTGAGGAGATAACAAGAGGCCCACCCACCAATCCAAATTAAACACCGTCGTTCAACTGTAAGTACAGGGAACGAACACGGTGCCACCGCCGCAGCTAGCACGCGACGACCACCTCCTCCTCGCCGGAATGCCCCTCACTGGCGTTTCAGCCGGCAGCGATTGTATGCCTCGATTATCGTGGAAGAAGAGACGAGACGGCCATTGGCCCATGAAACGGAAACCCGATGTACTCTCCTATTACTACGGGTAAGTCAGTCCGGCTCCAGCTTCCGTAACTGCCCTTTGAGTGGGCCTATATCTACAGAATTGCCACTGCTGCAGTGCGGCACGGATGGGCCCCGTCTCGTCACCAGACGGCTCAGATGTGCCCACACGACAGAGCCTTACTTTGTGGACCCACGGCCGTGTCCTGTTTGGACGTGGACGGACAGCAAAAGTTTGTGTGACCTGTCGTGCTCCAACTGGGCATTTCCCCTGCCAACTCACCAATCTACTGTTTGTTTATAGCCTGGCTGGCAACTACACCAAACACTCTGACCAAACTTACTCCTATCTCCATCCTTCCATTTGATGAATTGCATGAAAGAGAGAGACTGTATTTGAGTTGTGATGAATCCATGGAGAAGCAGTAATAAATCGATCAGCTTTGTGTTGGTTTTGCTCGATCACTGCCAAACTGCAAGTGAAACAAACACAAGACGAGCGAGTGATACCTGGCAGTCTCAGTGACAGTCGTTTTTTTTTTCTCTCTGGCCTCTTGTGTTCGTCATAAGCTCCATCAGAACCTGATCAGGCAGGCAGGCAGGCAGCTCGTTGCCCCTGCCTGTCAAGGCTGCTACACGCTTCAATTATACTATTGCTCTTGCTGTTCAAACTGAACACTAAGCTTCAACAGTAGCAGTGATTGTACAGTACTTGATCGGATGGCAATGCAATGGCAGCGTGGTAAATAAACACCAAAGAAGATGGCACTTGCTGTTGCTGCCTGCTAATTACTCCGTCAGCTAGGCCGTCCGTCCGTCGCCGTCGATGGGCACGGGCTGACGGCGTCAGCACGGCATCGGTTTCGCTCAAATTAAAGATGATGTAACAACCACTGAATTCGATGCGTTTCTCTTTTTTTTTCTCTTCTCCTTTTGTGGCACGAACGTTAAGGCTGCTTTTTTAGTTTTCATTTGCAGGAAGAGGAGAGAGGCCGCTAGCTTTTCCGCTGATGAATTATTACAACTCCGTTGCATGTGCTTTATTGTTGCCTCGGCAGTTGCGCCTCCAACCTTTCTTCAATGAGCGACTTCCATCCCATGCATGTTTGAACTGAAATTCACTCCACCGCGCAAAAGCGCGCAGCCGTCAATTTTCAACTTAATTTGAAGAGATTCTGAAGCTATGGATCCATTCAATCGAGTTGACAACGCTGGGGTGGGAGGAGAGGAACATGTTGTTGAGAATATAGGCATATAATGATTTAATATATTTTATAAATAAATCATGACATTACAGATGTATACTAGCATTAACGCATCATTAGATCTACACATGTAAACTAAGCAGTAAAATATAAACAGATCAAATATGCGCAACATGTCGAACACGTACCGAGGTGGCGGAAAGACCGGTTGCTCGGCAGGAACTACTCGCAGTTGCGAGCGTCGACGAAGGCGCGCAACACGCGAGCGGAGAGGAAGGCGAGCCGTCGCGGACGAACAGGGAGCAGTCGCGCGAAGCGCTTCCCAAAAACCTTATTGCCGCCTTCTCCCGATGCAGGACGTCGAAGGCAGAGGTTTCGGAGACATGCTCTCCCGATCGCTGGTGCACGCTGGCGAGCAGGATGGAGTAGCCCACGAGCGACGGCGCAGCACAGAGGAGGAGGGAAACCCTAGATTGATTTCGTGTGTTTTGCGTGAAGGCGGCGGCTCGGTTTATATAAAGATAGGTCGCTTGATCAAGGCGCCCGTACGATCTCCACTCCGCGTAACCGAACCGGATAAGTCGCGCGTAACTTATCCGGACTCCACGCCGTTTTCACGCACCGGATTTTTCGGAATGTTTCCAAAACAAAACAAATCCGAATTTTCCTGCAGCAAAACAAAACTGCAACAATTTTGCGGACCATTCGACGCGTACATCGTGCACGCGCACCGCCTGCCCTGCCAAGCGAGGCGAGCGAGCGCGCGCGTGTTCCCCCTCTTCTCTCCACCACACATGCTTCAAGTGGCTAGGAGGGCATCCTCCCTTTTAAGGAGGTCCCCCTCTCCTAGAATAAACAAGGTGGTATTAAACTCCACATGCATGCCATCCCATGAGGTGGGCTTTTGTGATTTTCCAAAGAATTAATCTTCGAATGGGCCTTAGCCCATCTATTAATTCTAACAATCCCCCACCAAATCTCAAAATCCCACTGAGATTTGCCTTTTCCAATGTACTGTTTATATACTAGCGGTTCGATGGAGACCGATCAAGGTTAAACATCCACCTAGAACTTCAAGCTACACTTACTCACAACTTGAACAATGGACTACGCCTTGAATCGCAAGTCTTGTGCAAGCAAGTTTCACTCAGAGTCTTATCTGGTACTAGATCGTCTGTAGACTACCCCTCGGGTGGAGCGTATAAGTCATACTCCTAGTTCTTTAGTAAACTTCCTAGAAGATTCACCCAAAATCTTCATAGACTGCGACCAACAGTCAAGCTTACAAAGGTGAGTTCTTTCAAGAATGCTTTGCAGGACAGCATCTTCGCTAATTAAAGCCAACATAACTCATTAAGGCATAGCCAACCTGCCTTGCAGCTCACGAGAGTACATGCATCTTCACTTAGAGAGGGTATAGATTGGTACTCTCCTCTAGTTTACTAATGGTTTGTTCTTCCCAGGTTCTAATTCACGGGATCTCCGATCACATAGACTGGGTTATCACCATAGTATAACTCACATGGGTCTCAAACCCATCTCCTTCGATGCATTATCTATCACATTTCGTGATAGTCCCTTCGTGAAAGGATCTGCCAGGTTTCTAGCTGTTTAGATGTAATCCAACGTTATAACTCCGGAGTTTCTCAATTTCCTGACAGACTTCAATCGTCTTTTCACATGTCTAGATGATTTCATATTATCCTTAGAACTATTCACTTTGACAATTACCGTTTGATTGTCACAGTTCATAAGGATAGCCAGCACCGGTTTTTCAACAATAGGCAGATCCATTAATAGATCACGCAGCCATTCTACCTCAACAGTAGCAGTATCTAGTGCCATCAGTTCTGCTTCCATGGTTGACCTCATCAAAATAGTCTGTTTACAAGACCTCCACGAAACAGCACCACCACCCAGTATGAAGACATATCCACTAGTGGCTTTGATCTCATCCACATCAGAGATCCAGTTAGAATCACTATATCCCTCCAGTACCGCAGGATACCCAGAATAGTGAAGCCCCAATTCCATAGTACCTTTCAGATAGCGCATTACTCGCTCAAGCGCACGCCAGTGATCATCTCCCGGATTAGAGGTAAACCAGCTCAACTTGCTTACAGCAAATGAGATATCAGGCCTAGTTGCACTAGCCAGATACATCAGCGAGCCAATGATTTGGGAGTATTCCAGTTGATTCCTAGTAATTCTCTTGTTCTTACGAAGCAACAATCTAGGATCATAAGGTGTTGGAGAAGACTTACTATCAATGTAGCCAAAGCGATTCAAGATCTTCTCCACATAATGGGACTGCAAGAGTGTAATCCCATTCTCACCTCTAATTAGCTTAATGTTTAAGATAACATCAGCTACTCCCAAATCCTTCATATCAAAATTTTGAGACAAGAATGATTTAACCTCATTTATCACCTCAAGGTTTGTCCCAAATATCAGTATGTCATCAACATACAAGCACAGAATAACTCCCTCACCCCCACCATGGCGATAGTACACACATTTATCTGCCTCATTGACTGCAAAGCCTACAGATGTCAATGTTTTGTCAAATTTCTCATGCCATTGCTTAGGAGCTTGTTTCAGACCATACAAAGACTTCAACAATTTGCACACTTTGCCTTCTTGACTTTCAACTACAAACTCATCAGGTTGATCCATATAGATCTCCTCATCCAGCTCCATTAAGAAAAGCTGTCTTAACGTCCATTTGATGAACGAGAAGATCATGTGAGGCTGCTAGGGAAAGTAGCACACGAATTGTGGTCAATCTAGCAACAGGTGAGTAAGTGTCAAAGAAATCTTCGCCTTCTTTCTGAGTATAGCCCTTAGCAATAAGTCGAGCCTTGTACTTTTCAATAGTACCGTCAGGCCTGAGCTTCTTCTTGAACACCCACTTGCACCCCACAGGTTTACACCCATATGGTTGATCTGTCATCTCCCAAGTCCCGTTAGCGATAATGGAATCCATTTCACTACGGACAGCCTCCTTCCAGTAGTCTGCATCAGGAGATGCGTATGCTTCTGAAATTGACTTAGGAGTGTCATCCACGAGGTACACAGTGAAATCATCACCAAAAGACTTAGCCATCCTTTGTCTTTTGCTCCTTCGAGGAGCTTCACTGTCATCCTCCTCAGTAACATGTTCATGTGTATGTTCAGTTTGTTCTGGTGGTGTGATTGAATTGGGAATTATTTCAGAGGGTTGGCTAGAACTACTATGTGTATCCTTCATTGGGAAAAATCTCTCAAAGAAGGTAGCATCACGAGACTTCATAATTGTACCAACATGCATGTCAGGTACCTCAGATTTAACTATTAAAAATCTATAGGCAATGTTGTGGTGAGCATATCCCAGAAAGACACAGTCCACAGTCTTAGGTCCAAGTTTGCGCTTCTTCGTTATTGGTACATTGACTTTCGCCAAGCACCCCCATGTGCGCAAGTAAGAAAGTGATGGTTTTCT